AGTGGAAAGCTGGTTGCTTGCAACGCTTCTCATCCCCTAGAAGAACAATGACAGGAAGGAACATTTCTGAAATTAATTTTCTTCAAAGTCTTTAATTTACATTTTTAACAAAATAATAAAAGCAAAGCACAAAATATTGTGACAGCTCTGAAAAGACTATTTGGGACGATATTATTTTCTGTTCAGGATGAACCGTCCGACGGTTTTATCCGTTGCCCGACCGCATCAATAATGGGCGAAATGAAATCATGGACTGTGGAACCGGTTAACCGATATTTGTCCTCATCAATCACGTGAAAACGATTCATCACCCGTCCAATCGAAGTTTTCCAACGGCAAGTTTTGTACGTTTTATCCTATTTTTTTCATTGAAGATAAAACATACAAAGTTCGGAAGAATGATTTGTTAGTAAGACTAACATTTGGACAAATATATACATTATTTTAACTCATCCTCCTTTCACTCCTCTTTCTATATTCTTTACCATCTTTCACCTCTCTCCCTCTTACTCACCCTGTCTCTTTTACTTTTTCTCTCTATTTCTTTTTTCTTCCCTCTCTCTAAAGGAGAGGAAGAACTCAGGAGAGCATCAGATACAATGACATGCTATGCAGATAGCCCCAAACACACAAAGTAACCGGATCGGGTGTTTTCTGTACAAGCCCAAAATATAAGCAGTCAAACTCCAAGGGGAAATACATTTCGGTCTTTCAAGCAAAAATACATGTCATCAATGCTTGTGACTTAGAAAATCTTAAAAGAGGTTACACTGACAAAAAATTCTTATAAGACCTGATAGCCAAGCAGCTATTAAAGCATTACCGTGTAAAAAAATAATATAAAAATTAGTATGTGATTGCATCCAAAATTTCCAAAACCTGGGGAAACACTACAACCTGATGATATCTTGGGTGCCCGGGCACAACGGAATTGTAGGTAACGAAAAAGCAGACACATTGGACAGAGGAGGATGTGCAAGATTATATTTAGGCCCGGAATCTATACTTGGGATAACAAAAACAAATACAGACTCCTCCATCACCGAATGAATCCAAATACAACAAAAGTTGAAACGGATAAACTTATGCTCAAACAGCCCTCACCAAGACTGGTAAACTCAAGTCTGTCTCTCAGTGTAGAGGAGGAGTGGTAGGATTATTAACAGGTCACTAGCATCTGAGAAAACAAGTACATAACATGGACATACCATCGCAGAACTGTAATTACGAGGGAGAAACAGCCACGCATATCATCTTCGGATGCGAAGCAAGGGTTGAATGGAGAATAACCTAGCATATAGAAAAAACCTAGGGATGAAATTGTAACAACAACGGTCAATGATCTAATATTTCTGAGAAGAAGGATTGAGTGGATTGCACTGAACTAGGGAACTATCCCTCTATCTAGTTCTAATTTCTCTATTTATATTTTCTATCTATATTAATAAGTGCGTATACATTTTCCAGGAGTCATACTTTGATTTACCCGCCCAGTCACCGAAGTTAGGCTCGAGGGGCTATCAACAACTAAGTCATTTCAGACCCCACCTCATGCAGTTTTTATCCCTAGGCATTCTCATTCATTCTTATATACATGATTTTATGTTTATATACCAATCCGTCCGTTAACACACAATATAACCAGTCTGATCGAGGGTCGATGGGATACTCAATATTTCACCAACTGTCATTTTACACATTCACTCTCATAAATACATTTACTATCAATGTTCACAAAAGAAAACACAAAACGAGATATATGCCCAGTACTATGTACAATTTTAATACCTGTTTCCTCCAAATATCGGCCTCGCTGCTGTGCTCAAACATAATTCTCATACCGGGTGGCATCCTGCTCGCTCTCTATATAGAGCCAAGGAATGACACCCTTCAATTAACTGAGAGAAATCGGGCAACCTTTCTCTACATGCAGGACGCATAAGTAAAATGAAAGACGTTGTGTTTGTAAGGTTTTTATTTTATTTACATTTTAAAAACACTGTACTTATCAATAACAAAAAGTCATACTAAATTATTAAAATGATACTTAATTTTATTTTAATCAATTTAAATAACACCATTAACCTTTACAGGGGAGTAGGATGATTTAGGTCTATGTTGTTGGTTAATATCTTATTTTCTTCGGTGTTTGTTCTTGGTATATTTATTTAGTTAATTACGAAATTTTGCTTTTGTATAATTTATATCAAACCATTTGAGAACTGGAGACTTATGATCGTCTGACCGACTAACACCCCTATTTCTTTTCTTTGTTATAAACAGACAATTACTATAACTAGAAGGAGTTTGTTTAAATATAGTAGATGGTTTTTATCCACTTTCTTTTTTAAGAGATAGTCATGATACTTTTTCATGCTTTCTCGCGTGTCACTGATCAATAAGCAATTGCTTGTCATGAAAGAAAAGGGCAGTAAACTTCATAGAGCTCGTTAGTACCGCCTCTGTAAAATAATTGCAGGAATTAATTTTTCAATGTTTATCTTCCAAAATTCTCTGTTTATTTCAATTTCAAGTCACGCTCCGTTTAACGGAAGGGGTGCATTTAAATGGTCATTCCCCTGTTCCTCAATTTCGAAAATGCCTGCCGCCCCTGTCGATTTGAACTGGCGGCACATGCCCGAGGCCTCATTTAAATGAAATTCCGCCGGTGTCGTTTTCGTTGGGGGTGGATATTATATCATAAACCACTCTGTACGAAAGGGGAACGACCCCTTTGGTCGCCTGGAGGGTGAAGATTTCGGGTTTAGGGTTCATAGACGGCCGACACTCAGTAACTCTTATCAACTGGATTAAAGTTTTTTTAAAGGTGAATTTCTATTCAAATTGTTTCTTTGGTGAAGAACGAATTCACTTTCCTTTCGTACCGAGGTGGGCGGATTTTCACCTTACAAATGGTCCGGTCGGTGGCAGATTGCCCAAAAATCATTTGTTGCCTTTTTTCTCACGTGTGCGTGTTTCTCACTTGTTAAATACAAGAAAATTTTATATTTAACTGTTTCTCGTATTAGAAAGTAAAATGTATACCTCAAAACAGTAAAAATAAATAAGTTTCTGATAGGTGATAAATATAATTTTCAATGTGTAAACTCAGCGGAGTGGTTGTTTTATATATAATAAATATTTCGTGGTCCGATTGACCAAATAACTTCTTTCAATTAATTAATCTTTATGTGAAATATTGGTTGAAATGAAAAAGCTAGAGCGGGATTCGAACCGTCGACCTTCGGCTAAATACGCCGCTGCTCTACCACATGAGCTATCGTGACTTCGATCCTTATTATCATATAATAAATGGGGTGAGATATTGATAATATATGACCTTAAGTTAATTTATAGTAGTTGTATGTCAGTTAAAATATACCAACGTTAATTATTGAATAAGAAAATTAATGAGTCGGTAAGAATTTTGATTTTGAGAACAAAGGAACTTCAGTTTTAGCTACCCACTGGTTGAAAGCTCTTACAAGACCTGAAACATATTAAATATGATATTATGTTGATAATAGATAACCTAGTAACCTTTTAACAAACGTTAATTAGTCAGGAAGAAGACAACATAGGTCATACAAGAATAACGCACGGGCACCTTTTCTATCGTAGATGGCTTGACGTATTTAGACAATTTTGGCAAATCATCGGACTTTTGGTAGTCTTGGGGCACGGGAGTGATACATATACGTTAGGGTTATTGGGATTTTTAAATGTACATGTGGTTTGTGTAGTGTCTGTGTTGTGTTTGAGTTAATTTATTGAAATGAATGTAATTTATTAGCGTGAAAGGAAGGTTTTTTTTTAATCGGAGGTATATCGAATACGCTGAGGTGAGGGTGTGACTTCTTGAGAGCAAAAGTAAGTTATTAGAGAAAATGGAGTTGGTTCGACCTCGCCTCGAGGAATATCGAATACTACGAAAGAGTGAATGTGACCGGATTTACATGTTTGTATCGGATGGTGATGGGAAACCGGTATCGTAGGACAATGCTGCCGACGCCTGACTCCGACATAGTCTGAGATAGTGCCATGGCTTGGCTCGCAACCGTGTTTTCCACGGCGGGGTGCCATGGTTTTGTGGTTTCGGATGAAGCTCCTGGTATGGTATGGTATGGTATGGTAGAAAAGGATACTAGGAAGCGGGGTTTGTTCTCTCCGGGCACTGCAGCCTTCTGGCTTATTGTGCCTTCCCAGTTCCCTAGTTTAGTCAATAGACTCAATCCTTCTTCTCAGAAGCATCAAGTCATTGACTGTTATTGCTGCAATTTGGTTCCCTGTGTCTTTTTCGTACGCTAGGTTAANTGTGGGGTGGGAAGAGGGGTAGGTGTTGGGTTTAGGATTAGGAGGTGTCAGGTCCAGCTCCTGTCCCTCCATACCCCTCTTTCCGTTTGTTAGTTAACAGGGTACACCCGCATAAGCTTCGTGAAGGTGGAAAGTCGGAGTTGGGTATTAGAGGCTATTGGAGGCGCATAGTACCCGTTCGTACCCCTCCTGGACTCGCAAATAAAAGTCCTGGTGTCCTGCTGAGTGTCGCGTGTACCACTCGGTTTGATGGGCGGAGTCCCCGACGATTGCGGTGCTACCGGTTGTCGGATGTGTACGTCTGTCTGTAGTTTGTATGTATTTTTGTTTCTATCTGACAGTTGAAAAAGTGAGGTAGAAACCAGAAAAAAAAAGAAAAAAAAAAGAAGTAAAAACAAAGAAATGGCCGGCGATGAACTCATCAGTTATTTGTCGGCCCATAAACCTCCCACATATATATTAAGAAACTTTTAGTTCAAAACAGAGCACTTTAATTGATTTTGAGCAAACGTGATAAAAGATTTTTTTAATTATAAGAAAACCCCGGTTCCATTAAGAACCGATATATCGACTTAGAGATATTAGTCGGTCTGAGAATATTGTTTGTAAACTAAGCTAGATTACAGAAAGTTACAAGAGTGTTTGTAATCGCCTGTCGAAACTTGATATATGTTTTTATTTTCCAGAACAACAACTGGAGAAAAGTCCGAGGTGGCAAGGGGGCGACTGTACCTAAAGGTAGAAGGGGCCATTCCGCCCTAGTGCACAGGTCCACGATGGTTATTTACGGAGGGTATCGCGATCTGAAAGGGTCGTGCAACGAATTGTGGGTCTTCCATTTTGGTAAGCAATAAACGCTCGTGTTACTTATTTTTTTTATTGCCATTTTCCAGGGTCGAAGATGAACATACTTTCTCGAAAAATGTTCAATGTACCCTTTGTATTATTCTTATTTGTTAACTATTATACAGTTTAAAAAATGAACTTATTTGGTAAATGTTCATGTTCTTCATCGAGGCATTAAATTTATACTTACGCGAGAGTGATGAAATTGCAAAATGATCTAATTCTAAGACTTTCCCTTGAAATAATGGGTTCGATTAGGATCATCTACGGCATCAAGTAATCTATCGTGAATCATGTGATCATAATAAAGGGCCATAGATTGTACTTATTTCTGAATTGAAAATACATGTTAATAAAGACATAAGCCAATAATTTAATGTTTAAAGTACCATGTAATCTAGGCTTACAGTGCAAAATTAACGGCGCGCTGGTTATACTGTACAGGAAAACTTTTATGACAGCAGGGCTTAGAAAGGTTTGGAAAGGTTGCCGAGAAAAATAAATTTTCTGTCAATTAATTAATCTTTTTATGTAAGCTTTTGGTTGAAATGAAAAAGCTAGTGCCACGAGTGGGATTCGAACCCACGCTAAATACGCCGCTGCTCTACCACTTGATCCACTCGGACACCAACTCCCCATCTCAACCTTTCGAATTTTCCCTCCTTTTTGCCATTTTTCAACCAAAACCTTACATAAAAAGATTAATTAATTGAAAGAAGTAATTTGGTCAATAGACCAATAAATAATTTAATAATTTTTGGTTTGGCTTTATAGCCCAATATTGTATATTCAGGCTTTGGTATCAAATAATTTGAAATACACCTACTGACAATTTAATTTAATGGGTTGTTAATGAGAATCCAATTAATAATCAGACATATAATTAAAATTGTTTAATGTTCTCATTAGACATAAAATTTCAATGGCCAAAGCCCACACAGGTACTCCTTATGCAGAGAATGGTTGACAGAAGCTTGTCGTCCCTTAGCTCCTTACAGAGAGTGTGTAGGTGTATTGTTGAATTTAAGAATGGTTCTCTGGCCCAATAGGGGGTTTCTGGGTGACCTGTTTTGCTTTTTGGAAGACCTGGTATTTTTTAAATTATATATAGATCAGTTTTATTTTGTGGTTATTTTTTCCCTTTTTTTGGGTGCTGTGTGAGCCATTAGTGTGTGTGTGGTGGGCAGATGGTGAAAGAAATATAGTGTCACTATTGTCTTTCTAGTAGTGTGTGTGCTTAGGGAAGATGGCATAATATTTATAAAAATACTCGCCTGTCTATTCAGAATGAGTGCAATGTATGCAGGTGTGATTGTATTTATTTGTGATTGTATTTATTTGTGATTGTATTTTAGAAGTTAGTTAGTTTTAGGCTACTTTATATTTTGCATACGCTGGGGGCTGATATTAGCTGTCAAATGCACTCATTGGAGCTTTTTCTTGTTGGTTGGGATTTCTGGGATCTCCTGGATTTCTGGCTTAAGGGGGATACTCGTGGCCTACATGGGGTAGATGAACTCCCTTTAGGCGTAGACCCGAGGGTCAGCACAACCCTTTGGGTGAAAGTTCAATATAATAATTATTATAAATAAATGTTTACTGCTTCAGAATAGTTTATTACACATATAATAAATTATCTCCTTTAAAGTTTTAAGAGTGAGGTCCTTAGAAATGAGCTGTATTCTACTGGTCTACGAACTTGGCTGTTTTGCAATAATTGTCTAAACTTACTATTTTATTGAAACTATCTCGTGTAATTGATGAAAAAGACAAGTCAACAATCAAAAACAAAAAATCAGCGACATGCCCAATTTGAAAAAAGAAAGAAATCATGCTAGTTTCTTTGTCAAGCTTACAAGGAATCCCCTTTCATCAGGACTTATATTATAGATAATTCACAGGGTTAACAAATATTAACATCTATTAACAGTACTGAAAGTTAATGTTTCAAACGATTCTTAGAGGAATAAGATGTACAATTCATTGGTAGATGTTTATATTTGTTAATCTTGTAAATTGTCAATAAATGTTTCAAAGTCCTGATGAAGCTTATATATTCCTCCAAAGCTTCACGAAGTAACCAAATCTTTTCTTTGATTACCATTTAAGTAATGCATAAATTTAGTAATACTTAGTACTTTCCTAATGAAATCTATGTCTAAATATCAACCAAACAGCTGCAAATGAAAAAGCATTTTCAGTATAATTGTGCCTCATTATTGAAAATTTATATGTACAGAGATGTACAATAAAATTATAACCTGACCCTTTTGCTTGAACAAAGCATATTAATAAATATGTTTTAGGATTATTAATTTTCAAAAATAATAAAAGGTTTCTTTAAGTGTGTGGTGATTAGCGACCGTTAATCGATAATTATTCAGAAATCGTGAGATGCTGTCTGGTTTCTTTAAGTTTGTAAAATTTTACAATGGCTTTAATTTTTTTTCAGAGACTGAATCTTGGCATCTCCTCTCAAATGGAAGAGTTTCTCCTCCTGCTCGTCACAAACACAGCATGGTGATTCATGACAGTTCCATTTGGATATTCGGTGGTATGACTGATCTTCAAGAGAGATCTGATCTATGGCGTTTTGACACAGGTGATGAGTATAAACAAATCTTCTTTTTTTTCTAGTTTTAATTTTATTAAATTTTCCAGTCAGGAAATTATGGCTTCAGGTAAAGTGCAAAGTGCAACCTGGTTCCCTACACAGTCATGCGACGTGCAAACTACTTAGTTCTATGCTTATATTCGGCGGGGAGAGAGCAGGTCAGGCAAACAATGAGTTGTGGAGATTTCATTTTGGTAAGATATAGATTATAATTATAATTATAATACAAATGTTTTATTAAAATTTCCCTTTAAACCTTTCAGCAACAGAAACATGGGAGAAGCTGACTTTGGAGGGTTTGATACCTCAACCGAGATCTGAAAGCGTAGCATTGACAGTCCCTGAACTACTTTTGCAAGGAAACAATTGTATCAGTAAATGCTCACCGAAAAGGGTAAGGAGCGGCAGCTCAATAGAGCGCCAAGTTAAAACAAGAAGTTCTCTCAACCATAGGCCTAACACAACTCCTACAGCATCAAATCTCAGCATTCTCAAAGAAATCTCCAAACTCTCACAAATCAACTTAACCAGATTGGGGCAATCGGGAAAGTGCAATTATTCCGTTTTGAGCAGTACAGAAAGCATATCAGAAACTTCCTTAGTTGGTGAAATGGTAAAGTCCCAGAGCCATCATATAATTGCAAAATCCTTGATTTCTCCAACTACCAGTGTGCAGCCTACACTTCCAAGAGATCCTATATCTGTGCCTAACTTTTCTTCCTTAGCATCTTGCACACTAACACCTGTTGAGGTCACAAAATTAGTATATCTGGATGATGAAGAAGCACCTTCGAGTACGGCCAAACAAGATTTTTTCTCCATCCATCAGCAACTCCAGCCTAAGACGAGAAAAGGATTTCCAAAATCAGCTTCTGTCCGTTTTGGCAACCCCCTCACTACCCCAGAGGAAAACTGTGATGAAACGTCAGATTATGCAAGCATTGAGACAATGAATCGAATATCGTCAAGCTGCAATTTTGAAAAAACCAAAAAAGAGAACAAAGAGGGCCCTTATAGTTTCTCCAATCCAAACTACATGGGACCAGATATCAAGGAAATCCTCTCAGATAACGAGTATGTCAAAACTTTAAACAGTCCTCCAGATAGCGTGTTAGAAGATGCCCAGGGGAGAAGTAACAGCAGGCAAGAAATGATTGAATTGAAACCCATACCACCTAAAAGCTTGCCTCTTGCCTTAAACTCTTACAATTCTCAGATGAATATTTCTACAGACAGAAGAGTTAGAGCATCAAGCGCTACACGGACAGAAAGAGAGACAACGAAATTTTGTGTATTCATCATCGGCGGTAAAGAACGGGGTCAAGTCACTGTCTTTAAAAGACCTATTTCAATATGGAAACTCCAATTGAACCCAACCGTATATTAATTTTTTTTAAAAATATTAATAGAGGCCTAATTTATTATTAACTTATTGTGAAAGATGAAGAAATAGTTACGCTCAAAACTTTTCCTTGTAGGTTTTTAAATGTCCATTAAATTGGCCAGACAATCAAAATATTTTGTAATCTTTAAAAATCCAGTTGTGTAAATTGGTTTTACTATATCAATTTCAAAGAAGAAATAATTAGATAAAAAATTACTTGTAATACAGATAGCACTAAATAATGTTCAATAGATATTCACATAGCCATAGAATGACATAAACAGTGAATAATTTTTAATACAAATTAAATTTTTGTGGTTTGTTTGGCCAATAGATAAAATATTGTATTTTCATCATTCTTAAACATCGGTAATTAAGAAAAATTAATGTGATGAAAGCCAAAGATTGTTATTTTATTATTATTTAAAAGATATTAAACAAACGCTTAATTGGTACCTTGATGAGAGAAGGCCGGTGTGAAATATTTGGCCTTACCTTGGGGAAAACCCTTTTAAAAATATTTCTGGAAAATTAAACTTAAAAAACGCAAGGGATCACTTTTTAGAATTCCTCCTATTAGAGATTGTAGATTGTAATGTTTTTCCTCGATGAGACTAGAAAACTAACCAGAGTATTAAATTGTGTTCATTTAAATCGTAAATAAATGAATCTACAACAGGTCAATTCCTTGTAGTAACAAGAATATTTGGGATTGACGTTAAAAAATGGTACCTTTTAGAAGCAAATATCTGGCATTTTAAAGTCAGAGGTTTTCTAGAACAAGGTAGTCAAGAGATTGTTTAGTCTATTGACCAGAAAAAATTGTTAAAAAATATATTGCCCCAAGGTTTTTAATATAAAACAACAAAAAAATGATATTTTTGTTAAGACTAATGAAAAAAGCTATGAGATGTGTGATTTAACTGTTTCCTTTATGATCTCATTTATGTTTTCTTCTAAAATGAAACATTGTAGGTAGTTTTTAGCATTAATGTTTTATTATTTGTTAATATAAATTGAGTGGCCAATTATTAGAACTTTGATACAAGGGGAATCATTGATTCTAAAGTCTGATTTGTAGATCAGTACCTGCTAGGTAAATAGATTTTATATATATATAACAAAAAGAAAGACTAAGTGATGCTAGACTAGAATTTGTAAAAAATTTTTAAATCATTTTTACAAGATATAAATTAAGGTCCAATAATAAATAAACATAGTTTTCAGGGAAAGAAAATTATTTACCAATGTTACAATATGTAGAGGTCACTCAAGTCATTGTCATACATTTTTTCTTATTTTACCTATATACATAACGTTAACCAGGGTTTTTTTAAAACACATTTTATATAGATTATTATTGGTATTTGTGAATTGTAATCTATTTAGTTATTTAGAAATGTCTTCCTTATATAACTTAACAAATGAAAGATTTTTTTACTAAGTATTGTAATTTGGTTGTTTAAGAACAAAAAAGAGATATACACAACACCAAAAAATTATTCCTAAATAAAAAAATGATATACATGAAAGTTCATTAAAATATTCATTATAATTATCATTACATGCCAAAAATTTTAGTTAAATGTTTGTCTGCCTGGATGTAGTTGTGTATTGTGATGAAAAATTTCCGGCCGATACTCCATCCAAATTTCAGTGCAATCTTATAGCAAACACCAGGATGAAAAATCTTTAAAGAAAGATTTCATCGTTTTGGATATATTAAATGTTTGCTTAATGAATATGCAATCTACTTGGCACAGTTCTTCACAAGGGACGAACAAAACTTAAGTTGTTGACGACTGTCAATACTGCACATTTGACATCTGAACCCCTTGTCGAAAACTCAAATCATTAATTGTTAGTGATTGTAGATGTAAAACTGTGTAGATGTTTTATGTTGATAAATATATGATTGTTGATTATAGTCTGTATTCCTTTAACCTGATTTTTTTACAACATGTTTATTTCCCCAAGCGTAATCCTCAACCCGGAGGTTTATATTGTTTAGAACAAGAAACAGTTCAAAAGTGTTGAAACATGTGATTGCAGTTAATAAAAATTTTAAAAGTAGTTTTTATAATTTCAAGCCTATTTCACAATGACTGTGTCGTTCAAAAATCCAAGGGAGGAAGAGAGTAAGTCTGAAAATTTGTTCATTGTGGGGTCCTGTGAGGTGATAATAAACCTGATAGACAAAACAAAAAGCTACAAATTTGTTCATAAGGGGAACTTATATGAAAACAAGCTTAAATACATATTTAAAAAAATTCAAAAACGCGTTTTGAACTTCACTCCTTTTTTGTTTTTGTTAGGAAAATACCATACTTTAGAAAATTATAAGTGTTTAATTTTTCATCATGAATCAAAAAGTATGTTTAGGTTTTAATGTTGGTTGTATTGCAAACATATGTCATAATAATGCGAATTCCCCATACTTCACAACGAGCGAAATTGTGTTTCAATAATTGTTTATTTATATAATCATTGATCGATAATGCTGATCATAGTATCCACTTTATCCCCCTCTCATACATTGAAAAATGTATTTTATAACAGAAGAAAAAAATTCAATAATGCAAAAATCATTCTTATAAATTTTAACTTGGGTTACAACTTTCAGTAATATGTACAAATTTATGAAGCATCTTAAATATAATTATTCATTTTCCTTCATCATTAGTGTTAAATGTGATCATTATCAAGAGGTGGTTGATTTCAAATTTGCCACAGTGCTGCTTATGTAATTGATGTTTAAAATTTGGTACACTTGTTTCAATTTGAAAATATTAAAAAAGTAAATAAATAAAACTGTGAAATTCTGTATATGTATATTTTTCAATATAGCTGGAGTTTCAGTTAGGGTTTTTCAGCCACATCTTTTGTCTCAATCAAGTCCTTGTTTGAGGACCACCGTAGCCACGTAGTCAGTGTTATAGACTGGTCGTGGGTTCGATTCCCATTGTCGTCCTTGGTCCTTTTTTGCATGCATCCCTTCCCCCCAACTATATAGAGATGATACAACCAACGAAATCGTACGCTGGCTAATATGCAAGCTCATAAAAGCTTAAAAAAAGTCCTTGTTTTGTGCATGTTTTTATTTTTGACTATGGATAAAATCTGTTTGATCAATCCTAAATCATAATTAAATAACAAATTGACATTTCTATTGTTTTTTTATTTATTTGTTTTCAGAAATCAGTTTAATCAACTACACAGACCCTAGGATCCGTGTAGGCAACTGGCTTCAAAGACAGTACAAATTCATAAGACACAATATAAAAAAAGAGAGCAGCTATTCCATCGATTATAAACCTGCATCGATAGACTATAACTGCATAGAAGAAAATGCAGAAACTGTAGCGACTAAAGTCAATGAGGCCTATGTAAGTCATAGTTACTATATTTAAGGAGACCATGGTGGCTGAGTGGTTAGTACGTCTGACTCGTATTTGCCAAGCTAGAAGTTCTTGGTTCATATTCCATGGCTTTTTTTAATTGACAGTAGTTTGAAAAATGTACTGTAAAGTGGTTTGACCTTTGCCCACAACACTTAATGGGTAGTTGGAAGTTAAGCCTTCCTGAATGACAGGAATTACTTTACTTTTTTAGTTTATTCACTATATTTACCTGTTTAACATTTCCTTTCCTTCAGGGCAAACCAGTCGCTGATAACTTAATTGATGAAGAGTTTGAGTGCAACTTTTTGACACTGTACGATATCAATTACAACAATATATGGCGAAGGTTTGGCAATAATAAAGATTACTTGGCCAACAAGGTATTTATGACGTGCATCTTGATCCAGAGGAAATTATTTTAACAAATTAAATTAATAGCTTATCATCTCTGATAATCTGCTTATTCTAGCTGATTTTGTTTTTGTTGGCATTTTCATATTTTCAGCAGTTGGTGTGTTGTTTGTCCCTTTTTACACATTATCTTAGTTCTTTCAGAGTATTTGAATGATAAAATTTGTGTTTGTTTCTTTGTTCCAGTCAGTTATTGTTTATTTTGATGTTGTGTAGGTAGAGTACTACTGATTTGACTGCTTTAAGCCTACAAACTTTTGGATATTTCCAATAAAATTACAAACAAAAATAAACGCGAATGACGTAACAGACAATAACACAATTCCAAGCACTGAAGATGTCAAAATGCTGAACTTTGCCTCACAGACATAAGTGAGCCAGAGTTGATGCTGGATGTTGGTCCGAACTAAAGCTGGACTGAACCATCGTTGGGTCTCAACTCATGGATCAACTGAATTACTCAATTTTCAGTATTGCACCATCTTCGGTGAGGAACAGTCTGTCTCATTGTCCGTGTGAGGTGTATATACCACTGGGTCCTCACTGAAGTGGCGCAATGCTGAAAATTGAGTTTGAGTTCAACAAACCCGCGAGAGATGTCAGTTCAGCATAAGTGAACCAGTTTTATCAGGGACAATCATCCTAATAATTATGAGCTAACAGTAAACAAAATTGATTTAGTAATCTTTAAGATATTTAATTGTTGTATTTTTTTTAAAGATTAATGCAGTTAACTATGGCTTGATAAAAGACAAAAGGCAGAGATGGATAGATGAGCACAATGAAATTAATAATTATTTGTCAGTGATGAAGCGAGACTATGTTGCTCATGAGCCTGTTCCAAAATACCCAGTTAGAAGAGAGCAAGCTAAAGAGTAGGTTTTTTATTAATATCACAGTACGAAGATGCACAAAAAATTAAACTCGTTTCTAAATTTAAATCAATGAATTTCAATTAAAAGCAAGGGGTCATTTACAAGTTTTGGATTTTGAGTTTATCACTTGATCTGTAATTGTTTTATAAATGAAGGCATTGTAATTTTTTTTTATTTTAAATTTCAACAAGTTTGTATATTTTATAAGTTTATCAGCAGCAGACAAGGGTGCAACACACAATACACATAGTAAATTGGTTCTCTTACATTAGATTATAGAAGGGGGAAAAAACAAGCAATGCTCTTCCATATGATTGGTGGGTGAAAAAAGGAAAATGGTGCATTTACGTGCAACTAATTGCAAAAATTTGATCTAGAAATTGATATTTAACAGTCAATTTATGCCTGACTTCTGACTTATTCTGAATTTCACAAAAAAGGGGATTTCCCCAAATATTTGCTTTTACAAAACAGCATTTATTTATGTCTTACCCCAGAACAATTAAAATACCTGGAAGATGGCAAAAGGAAGAACAAGAAAAATGGGTCATTTTTAATGGATTACATTTATTTACAAATATCTGATTTTGTCTTTGAATTTCCCCTTTTTAAAATGCTACAAACTTACTTTGCAGTCCAATATATAATTTGTAGGTGCTTTAGATATGTTAACTACATACAAAAAAACAAAACTTTTTAAAAAGATATTATATTAACAAATGATTAATAACAATAATGCTAACTACACAATCCATAATAATAATATTTAAGATATACATATATTAATTTTTTTAAACACAGGCACAAGTTACATTTATAACAACAATATGAAGAAAACAAGTTATCTAATATTTTATTTTTGTTTTAGGGCTGATAAAAAGAGTGTCTGCAGGATGTTTATAGATTCGTTGAATTTAAAAACTAGAGAAGACAAAATATGCTTTTGCCCTTGTCATCCTGAAATATGCGCTGCAAAACCGAGAAACCCGAAGGAGATCCTTCCTTAAAGTCAGTGAATAAAGCATTTTTTTAAAATAATAGTCAGAGCCCTTGCACATTTTAATCCTTTAAACCCCCCCCCCCAAAAAAAAAAAAAAAAAAAAAAAAAAAAAAAAAAAAAAAAAAAAAAAAAAAAAAAAAAAAAAAAAAAAAAAAAAATTAGCACGCAGTTCAACTAGAAATAAATCAAGTACCGAATGAGTAAAATAACGATAACAATTTCTTTAAAACCAACAGAAAATGTAAGATGTGCCAACTATCCCTCCCGGTGTACAATAACTTCATATTATTCACAAAGTAAAAATATATAAATTTATACAGTAGTCAAAAATCTCTTGACATTAAATATTCACAATACACTCTCTCTGAAATCCAATCTTTCATGCAAATAAAGACGGCTGGCATCACAAAGTGCACAATCACATGAAAATAATTAATCAAACACTTAAAAAAGTCTGTTAACAACTATTGCACTGTTTAAAATATAATTTTGGTTTTTGAACTTTGAAATTTATGCTTCACTGACTGGCGGTGGTACAACAACGGGTATAACAGGTATAGGGGGGATAAGAGGCACTGCTTCAGCCTAAAACACAATTAAAATTTGTACGTTAATATTTTGAAATCACTTTTAATAAGCTATCTTTAAATTATTTCACTCACAAAATGTAAGTAAATTCAAATTTGAAAACAATAAAATAAAAAAAATAAAAAAATTAATTGAAATTTTCTACCATTGTTAAAATATATAACATATCACAAAATAGAAATTTGGCATTTTAAACTTAACCATTTGTACTTTTAAGCTATAGTCTGAGCAATAAATAATCTAAATCGTAATAATCAAGATGATGACGTTAAGTTTAATAAATCGATCTGAGAAAATTAAAAAGTATTATTCTTATTTTTTCAATAAATACCTTTTTCAGTTATTAGGATATGGAGGATATGTTTAACATTTGAAATACATAAAGCATCTGATTTGAACATAAGTAAGCTTCATCTTATTTGAACCAAATTTATGAAAAATTAAAAAAAATCAAAATATGATTGCCAAATAAATTGTTGTATCTTTTTGTGATTTTGGTAAAATTTAATTGTATTATTAAAGAAAACTATAAAATTCACTTAAATCTTTTATGGACCTAGTCAACTAAAAATCAGAAGTGAATTTTGTCCAATAAAAAAAAACAGAAGAATCAGTTGGCTTATTTGAAAAAGAAAAAATGCCTTACCAGACTGCAAATTAATATTTTTTGATAAATGACAATATAATCTTTAATTTTATAACAAAAAACCTAAAAAAACAATTAAGGAGAGACCTTGTTAAATGTATAAAAAGTCCCCAGCAACCCAAATAAACCTAAGCATCATAGATTAATTATACCTCTCAATGCGTGCATTCCTCCACCTTTTCAGCCCTTAGAAATTTATTTTTTGGCATTTGGATGTGAAAGAATTTTAATAAGTTATTAGTTTAAGATTAGTATTTCAATATTAAGTAAATTCAAAATTCAAGTCAATATTAAGTAAGTTAAAGAAAGAGGGGGAAAAATTTTATTGCATAAAGAATGAATTTTTATTGTATTTCAGAGATTAAGCCAGCAGCTGTACTTCTAATGTTTCAATTGTCATATCCAAAAGTTTTAAATTTCAAATTCAAAATAAATTATAATGATCCAAGTTGTCACATCTAAAAGAAGGAAATTTAAAGACAACTTCCGTTTTTGACAAAAATTTTGAACAGCCGGTATTATAGCCAGCATTAATAAAATTATTAAGGTCAAAGGATTAATTGCTAGAAAAATAAATTGTTTTTAAAACTCAAAGGTTAAGAACAACAAAAAACAAGTGCTCGCATATAATTTGACATGATTAATTTTGAAAACACAATAAATTAATTAGTGTTTTTAACTGTACATTTGCATTTATGTGCATATTTATGAAATAAGGAGTGCAGGCCAACCCAAAATTTCAAACAATAAAGGGGAAAAATAGCATGCATACACTACGAGGACCAATGTTTAAGAAATTCAAATTTGTCTTTATGCCATGTTGAATCTAAGGCTGGGCTATTTATGCTGTTTTTCATATTTCTGTATGGCCAATTGGCACACCTTGCAAATGACAATAGTGTCGTGCACATTGTAAGATTATCACATTAAATAATAATTCATTTTTCTGTCTGAGTATATTTAATTTATTTCACATCATTTAAAATAGAATAAACCTAAATAACTTGGCCTTTTACCAACAATAAAATATTCCAATCAATGGTGCTTTGATTAAGTCTAAATTTATGACATCCAACCGGCATAACAAGCAATTGGCCTAAATGCGCTTGTACACGTCTATTTTTTTTCATCAGACAATGGATCCATAATAAATGGACATTTTTGTATACTTGTAAGATTTTCGACAAGATGGATCATAGCTTAGATCAGTCTCTTCCTGGCTCAGCTATGAACTGGTAGCCAAGATTACACATGTGATAAGAAAAAACAAATTCTATTGGCCTACTATTTATACAAGAAAAAACAAAAAGAAACAGAAAAACATAAAAGGTCATTATGGGTACATCCTATATTATTAGAAAGGGAAAAATATGGTGCATTTCATACTCTTTTTGAGAAATTAGAAGATGAAATAAAATTTTATAATTATTTTTGAATGTAAAAAAAAATTGTATTTACGATAATACATGATAAATTAAAACACGTGACAAACATGATAATTTAAAGAAGCAGGGATGGCAAGCAATTTGCAGAAAACACGCGATACATCAGGTAGCGTCTAGACACATCAATTCACTGGCATGGTTGACAGCACTTTCTTATGCTGGATCGGTGTCCATTGCATGAAGGGGGGGGGACAAGCACCCAACAGCACATAGTTGCCGATATCTGATGCATGCACATACTTTCATTATAGCCTATACAACATTGCAAGTCTGGTAAAAAACATTATCCAAAGGAAAAAGAAGAAAAAAAAAAACCGACGTCTATAAGCGCACTAATAGTATAAAAGAGATCATTTAAAAAATATGTATATCATCACTCAATCAAGGCGTTTTAAAAATGAATATGCACATTAATTATCAATAGGTGGAATGGGAGTTTTTCTTGAAAAAATACTTATTTTATTTCAAACAAATAATCTATTTTATTTTGTTATTTAATATAAAATAGCATAATATATTATTATTTTGAAGTGTAATCCTTGTACAAGTGTAAACTTGTATAGTTTAAATATTTATTATATGTACATAAAATTATTTGAACTGCCTTTTTTTTTTTTCAAAGTACAACATAAGCAAAATCATAAATTATCATGTACAAAAGAAAATAATTTAATTGTGTAAATATAATTTAAAACTGTCTATAATACAGTTAACATGGAGAAAAAAGATCTGCAAGCCTTGATTGGAGGTAATGATTTTACTGAAATAATATTAGGAAATTATTAAAAAAAATGCAATAACATTTTTTCTCTTACAGACCGTAATTATCTTTTATCAACAATAAATTTTTTAAACCCCAGCCTCTAGTTGACATTGGTAACTAATAACAAAACTGATTTGGAAAAAAACAAGGCCTCCACCAAGAGCAAGTATATTATTTACAGTTTTTAAGTGATACCATTGGAAACAAAAAATTTTGTAGTTTAATTATTTAACTTTTTAACTGGCAATTTATTTACAAGAAAAGCGTGGAATAGTATTTTAATGTTATTTCCTTCTTTAATATGTTACACATTAATACCACCCTGGTAGCAGAACTCCTTGAACCCCACTTTTTATTTCACAGGCGAAACACTGATCAAATAAGGGTGTCATTTTTTTTTTTCAGATTTCACCGAGTGCTCTTACTCTTTTCAGAGGAATATTGCTATTTTCTAAGGATTGGGATAGTTTGTCCAAAGGGCGGTTTAGTGATTTAATGACAGAAGGTATCACCTGTCACTTTAAATTAATCACCTTGCCTGTGTTGTTGGCACTGGCGTATTTCGGCTTTCCATGAGTGAAAGGCAAATAGCGGTATTTTATCATGTGCTGTGAACAAAAATTAGAACAGTTAGCAACAATTCTTTAATTAAAAATAAAATGACTCAACACAGACCTTGATCTGCCTCTTCATTGTAATCGCTACAAGCGTGATGAAGTACATGACAAGAATGGGCCAAAATACTGGTATATTGAATATTTCAAAAAAAGTACAGGTAAATGCTATGAGAGTAGAGTTTGATACCGAATACCAGAATTTAAATTCTGGTAACCTCCTGATAAATGGTTTGAACTCTTCATTTGCCCTAGTCGGAAGTTCTGGCCCTCCGCCATCCTCTAAAACAACAATACACAAAATAAATAAATCGATATACTCCAAAAAACCCAGACCTGACACTGAAATATTTACCTTCGTACATCGCTAACGCTGGGTCACTTTTTGGGGTTAGAAATGCAATAAATAAATTTAAATGGTAGATTCCCAATGCATAAGCAACTATGTACCAACCCTAATAACAATTTCAACAATAATTAATAATAATTAAGCCCAAAAAATAATTATTAAAAAAAAGTTGCTTAAAAGGTAAATCACCTGCATTATAAAAACTCGAGCTACGAATGCTAAAATCATTAGACATGCACCGATCCATCTTCCTGTCACAAATGGAGTGAGGTCATCTAAGAATTTCTGATACCTCTGAGAAAAAAAAAACAATAATAAATTATTACTGAAATAATTTTAAAACACTTATAGACAATGAATTTGTATTGCTATGATAATAACTGAACATTTTCTATCTTTAGTGGTTTGACTGATGTGCGAAAGATAAAAAGAACCAAACTCTTGACTGATGATAGCAAAAAGCCAAAATGATTATAAATGAACCCACAGAACTCAATAAGAAATCTCATAACTTAACCATTTATGCTAATAACATAAATTTTAATTTGTTTCAAAATGAAGTATTTTTGATTTATAAAACTTTTTTATCTCTGGAATATGTATGGTTGGATAAACCACAGAGTTCACCATAATCTTTCAGATTTCAGCCCATTTGATAACAACAAATCATAAATTTTTTAATCTGTATCAAACCTTATGGATTTCCATTCTCTAGGGCCCACCAACCTAATTCAATTTGCTCAATTGTATTGTAAACTTTACGAAAACTGTGAATAATCTATAGAAGGATACTATAAATTCTATAAATGTAACAACTGTATTGACAAAGGGACAGCGGACAGTATAACAAAGTCAAAGTGCAGCGGGCAGATAGGGGCTTGACTGGATTGACTATCTATTGATTTATTTGACAAATCATCAGTTAGATTAGTTCAACTTTTGTGTTTGCACTCACCAGCCTAACAAACATTACGAGGAAATAAATAAAATTTGTCAAATCCAATTCAAACCAACATTACTACTAAAAATTTTGGAAGATCACTAAATTTAACATTTATAATAACAATTTACGTGTATAGAGAGGATTTAAAATTCTGTACTGATGGCAATAAAGGAGCATCATTTTTATTGTAAAGGATATCTACGAATTGACTGACTTGAAATTTAAAGTATATGGTTGAAAACAATAAGAAAAATTAGTTATTGTTGATCTATAGCGTTGATATAGTTTTATTTTTGTACAACTTTTGGTACTGATGTTCTGTTATTAAGTTTTGTTGATTACAGGATAATTAACAAAATATACATTTCTTGGATGTGATAAATTGTTGGGCACAATTGTTTTGCTTATTGGTTTTTAATAGCAAAATATAAAATTATGTGTTTGTGAAATTTATTACGTTTATGTTTAGTAGGTACAGAAAATTGTTTTTCAGACAAACAGGTGATTTCACTAACTGCAATTAGTGCTAACTGACTGCATTGAAGTTAACTCATTTTGGGCAAAATTAATAAGCTAAAGGCATCACTTCTCCTACCAAAGAAATCAAATTTCAAACTTGCAGGTGCTTTTGAATGAAAAATCTACATTTGATTCAAATTGTGCTGGAATTCGCTTAATCCACAATGTAAATATTGTAATTAACAACTCAAAACAGTGTCTAGATTTAAGTATAATAACCATCATAAGTATCATAAGTATAATAACCCCAACCATCCCTAAAAAAGATTTTCTGAGCACAGGCGAATTATAAAAACCATAAATAATATTAATATAATTATATATAATCATAAATCATTCCACAATGGCAGTGGGTTAGACATAAGGTTTCTCATTTGCCGAAGTTATCATGAGTTTAATTCCATGGATACAAAACTGTACTTTGTTCTTGGGACACTTGCAACTTTTGTTTATTTATTTTGTGAAAGAGTAGAAAAAGCAGTCTTTAAGTTATTTGCGCTCTGAACGCCAAACCTAAATCTTTTCCAAAAAATCCAGGAAGTCATCAATCATTAGAAGTGGGCTTTGCTGGGGCTCCACTGCAATTCCCTAATTGTGTATATATTCCTTTATATGACCTTGTTCTACATAGATAGGTATACCTCACAAAAATATGAATACTGTTTACACTGCATTTTGAAAGAATGTTGAATGTAGATTCTTCCGTAGCGCACAAATTACCTTCAACACTGTCACGGAGGAATGTCGCTGCCACTAGGGTAAAGGTTATCTTAATTGGGGATACAGGTGGTTAAGTAGGACGACACTCCACATCACAAAATATACACGATATTTTCAATGTATACATTAAAAAGGACATCTAAGCTGTTTATTTATTTTTTTAATTTAACTGTATTCTACAAAACATTTGCCTATTTCATTGATTGTTTTATCAAATTATACCACCAAACATTACCCATGGGTACGCATATATACCAGACTAGTGTTTTTCAACTAGAACTTTCCACCATTGAGAGCTATAAATATAAAAAAGACCAAAAATCTTTGGTGGAATACAAGTATACATTATTTGTAGAGCGGAAGACCTTTCTCTCATGGAGCCCTCTTTATATTGAACTCAAAAAATTCAATTTTCTTAGAAGACTTGTGTAATAAAAGGTTTGAGAATGTACAAGAGAAAGCAGGAATAAACATAAGTGAGACAAGTTGAGTGACTCATGTCTGAGCAATGAACTTTAAGTTTTTTCGGTTAACGACTGGTATTTGCCTGAACTCCAGTTGACTTACAATTTCATAGGGGCTGCATCAAAAAGAAATTCTTTTCATTTTTTGAAATGCTCAGAATCCTGTGCGTTAACTCTCCATGTCATTCTTTGGTCTATTTTTTTCTTTTTTACACTTGCCTATTTTTTTTCTTCTCCTTTAGTGTTAAAGCAGCTGCGGCAAAAAGGAAACTTTTTTGTGGTCATCCAAGCCACACCAACAAGGAGAACTGACATAACTAAAGAAGAAAAACAGAGGAACTGGATGAAAAGCCAAGCTTTGCATACAAACATTAGTTGACTTAATTGTTACGTAAGATTCTTCCAATTAAAATTCTGTAAACTTGCAGATAAACTGCAACTGTTAAAGCTGCTACCAAAAGGCAAGATAATTTTCTGTTTAAGATTCAATTTCTACTGATATATCAATTGAGCATGTCATTCTTGCTACCATTTCTAAAAGATGAAACTGCACAGTTCAAAGGCAAAATTTCTGTTATTAGGTATGCGTCTGAGACATCAGTTTAATCTGGTTAACTCAGTTCATTAAGCTTATTGTTGTTCAATATGGCCAGTTAAATAAAAAAATTTCATGATTGTTCCATAAAAAAAGGTACAGCTCTTTTTCATTTCTTGAAATGTACAGAATTCTGTGCCATCATAATATATTCTTCTATTGAACCATTCCTTGGTTCATACTCTTATTTTTTGGGTTGTTTTCCAGTTTTCTACTACTTCAGTCATAAATTGCATTTTCCAACAATACACAAGTTGATGTAATTTACAGGGACATCAGTAAGGCATTTCATTGTGTCAATTTAATTTGCTTTTATAGAAATTAAATTTTCTGGCCTTCGATGGACCCATATTGTTGTGGTTTCATAGTTATTTGCATGGTAATAGACAGCTTCAAGTAAATATTAACAATTCTTTGTCTAAATTTATCGACGCAAAATCTGGAGTGCCCTAGGGTTCTCATTTAGGCCCTTTATTATTTTTGATCTTTATTAATGATGTTGCTGAATTTCTCCCTCAGAATAAAAACTTCTTGCTCTTTGCTGACAACGCAAAGCTGTACCATATTAATAATGATAACACAAAAATACTTTCAAGTTCAATCCGCTATCGTTTATAGAATTTTTACTGTTAGTAATAAGCATACTACCATTAATATGTTCAACTCAAATACACTTGGAATAAAGAAATATTTTCTCTGACTATACAATTGCAAATAGTTTTTTCTCTCTCTTCTTATATAAGTAAATGCTTTTTTAAAATGTTGTTATATACATATTTGTGTTATTTTCTTCAATATTTTTATATGAATATTATTACTTGGCATGTTTATAACTTTAGATTTGTTATTGTTATTGTATCTTTGTAAATTGGCCTTCTTACCCGTCTATATTAATAAATAAATAAATAAAACAGCTACCGAAAGGTAAAATGATAATTTTCTTTACTCAAACTACATAAAAAGCTTAGCTGAGGCCATCTTCATCATCAGTTCACTTAATTGTTTTGTACATTCTTCTGTTTAAGAAACGGATAAACCCGGCGTGTTAAAGGCTCTTGGTTTTAATCTGGTTAACTGACTAGTTTGTTTGGCTAATTGTTTATCTTTGTCAGATAAATGAACTATTTCACGAAAGCTCGATAAAAAAAAAGAAAAAAGAAAAAGAGAAAGCTTTCTTTCATTCAGATCACATTCTTCAGTTTGTGCTGATTTCAATTTTTCTACTGCATGTCTTAAAACTACTACCTCAAGGAAAAACAATAATTTTCTTTTGTTAATCAAAACCCTTTTAGTGTAAGATCAACACACATCCAAGAGGATGAAAAACTAATAACCAAAGAAAAATGGAACTGATCAGAGCCACAAGGCTTTAATCAGGTTAACTGACAGTTCGTTTAACTAATCGTTCAGTTTTGCCAAGTAACCAAGAGGGCTGCACCAAAAAAGAGAAAGAGCCATTAATTTATTGAAACATCTTTTCATTATTTTCCCTGCTACAATGTTAAAGTATCACCAAAATTTGTTGATTGAACAATTTAACGATGGCTGCATCAAAAAAGAATAGAATCAATAGAAACATACATAATTCACCAGATATTCCCCTATTCAACCATTCCTGGGTCCATACTCTTCCTTTAACAGTTTTTGTGTGAGTTTTAATGGTTTGAGAAGCAACCAGCTCAATGTGCTTCCTCATCTCAAATCAGTCTGTTTCTGCCGGCGTTCTGGGTGTGTACCCTTCCAAATGGTGTCACAATCTGACTGGAACCATTGAATGGTTGCAAGAACTTTTTTTTTTCTTTTGACCTGCACCTATTTGGTGACTTGTACAATTAGAGCATGCTGGGTCCTGCCGAGGTACTTCACCTGAAGGTTGTTTTTCATCTGGCTTGTCTTCAGTAATGTCCTCTCAGGAGGTTTTCTTTCCGCCTCATCAATGCCAATTCGGAACTTTCTCAACTGTGTATGTGGATTGAGAAACTGCACGCTTTCTCAGACAGCACTCCAGCCACATATCCATATTGGAGTAAATAACTGGGAGAATTACACAAATAGGTGGTGCACTCGCGAGAGAAGTTTGAGCTTTGAGTCACATTTTCAAGAAATAACGGCTTTTTATATATAACATTGGAAAAATCCAGCATTTACCGGTATTGGAGGAGATCAGTATCAACAATGAAATTCCTAGGAAACCATCCTGTCCATTCCCGTCCATCTCAATTACCTTACCTATTTTGGTTATGTGTGCAAAAATAAACTTAGAATGAATAAAAAAAAATTCAGTATTCATTGTTGTATTTTAATTAATTATTCTTTTCATCTAAGGTTTTTGTTGAGATGAAAAATTAGTGTCACAAGTGGGATTCGAACCCATGACCTTTGGCTCATTATGCCGCTGCTCTAACAACTTAAGCTATTATGACTTCGATCCTCTTGGGCACCAACTTCCCATCTCAACCTACAACCGTTCGAATTGAAAATATGACAAAAAGAGGGAAAATTCGAACAGTTGTATGTTGAAATGAGAAGTTGGGGTCTGAGGAGATCAAAGTCATGATAGCTTAAGTGGTTAGAACTGCGGCGTATTGAGCAGAAGGTTGTGGGTTCGAATCCCGCACATAACACTAATTATCAATCAAAAACCCTAGATGAAAAGAATAATTAATTGGAATAATTAATGTGGACAATTATGACCACTAAAAAAATATGGATTAATTTACTTTATTTATTCTGTGTTTATTTGTGTAATCATTAATATTTCTCGAATTTCCCTGGGATCCACGGACCAATTTGGGAAGCCCCGATGTAAACAAACTAGTCCAAAACACGAGATGTGGTGCTATACACAGTCTAATGTCTTATTAGAGAACAAATACACAAATTACTTATTTTTAATGCAAGGAGAGTAAACAAAAATTAGGTTTGGTTTGTTATTATGTTTTATGTTCTTGAAAGTGTATAAATTGTAAGGAACGTATCGTTGGTATTTGGATTGGATAAAACATACTTCCGTCGGGTTTCGTTCGTTGTACCTGTCAAGTAATGAGAGACTCACCTGCTCGATGTGCTTTGACGTCTGTGAAACGAAGTTCGTCGACGACTCAGGCCCGATATCTTGCATCATTCCTTTAAAACCGAAGCCTGGTTAAGATCCGGATGTACAACTTGACAAGAAGAAGAGAGAAGAAAATTAGGATTAATTAAAAGGGCGCAGTAAACATTGCATAATAGTATGAGAGTGAAACGTTTGGTCGGATCAAAATATCGAGACGATAAGGCCGTTGAATATTTACTAATGATTTTTTCACTTAAAAAAAAATAGTTTGGGTCGGATGAAATAGCAGACACCCGGCAAGAAAGCTTCAGGAAGAAACGTCAAGGATCTTGACAATAACCTATTTCTGACGTGAAACCGGAACGACATGTGTTTTCCTGTCGAGTTCCGAGGGAAGTAAAGGCAGAAAAATCGAAAGAAAATCAACATAAACAGACTCACCGACTGGAAACGAGTTTCGTCCACTTTCATTAAATTCCCATTTTGGTCGGCTTTCGGTGTAGAAATCTGAAATCCACGTAGTATGCCTAAAATCACGAGACGTGACGTCCAGGGGCAAAGCCTCCGTGAAAAGCATTCTTGCCAACCGGGCGCCCCTGGCACTCCCCGCTTGGTACTTGGTAGTCTTGCCCGGTAACCAGCAAGCGAGGAGCGTTTGTTTTCATATTTGTTCTTTTTACGTTAATCTTTGACATTTTCCAGTTTTCACATTTTTCCTTTCAATTATGGACGAAGTGAAGAAATTGGAACATTTGTCTTTGGTATCCAAAGTATGCAGCGAGCTGGAAAATCATCTAGGGCTCAACGACAAAGATTTAGGTGAGTTTTTCTCTGAAAACACGACCTTTTCTTTTTGCACGTTTTCTCAAGAAACTTTAATTTTTTAAACATCAATTCTAATATCATTCTTGGTAATTTTGTACAATTTGCCCTTTTAAATTCATGACGTACAGTTTAAGAATCTACAACGCACCTGCTCAAGCTCCAATAAAAAAACTGTTAATCTTGTCAAAAACCTTACAAACCGACCAAAAATAGACTAAAAGTTCAAGTTTTCCAAGAAAATCAATTGGAAAATATGGGAAAGATTGCATGGTTGACCTGAACTTTTTAAAATCTTAGAATGAACTGTTTTCACTGAGAAATGAATGCAACATGAAAAGTTGCCTCAATTCATAAGTTATCTCAGCATGCTCCACAACATGCCATAAAACATCAAAAAGTCTAGTGGTAAGATTTTGTGGTTGCCCTGACCTTTTGACAGTCTTTGAATAAACCCTTTCTACTAAGAATCGTGGCATGAAAAATTATCTCAATTTAAAATTTCTCCAAGCATGGTCTTATGTTGAAAAACAATGAAATATGAACACAAAGTACAATTTAAGTATTAAATAAATTTGAATGCTGTGCTCTTATTAATAAGGACTGAACAAATCAAGTATTCTCTATTGAAAATTAGTGATTGCATGGTCCATTGGCCCAAAAAAGAAGGCATGAAAATTTTTTCAATTTAAAATTTATTGTAGCAAGATTCAAAACTGATGGTGAACAAAAAGTTTGCTCTTTTAGTTAATTTGCCAGGTTTTAGTTTAATTGTTGTTGATTATTCCATTAAGTAAACTATTTAAGAGCAATGGAATAATACAAACGCAAACAAAAGGTTGTTAGAGTATCATAAAGTAATAAACACATTTTAATTTGGTCCTTTTATTAATGCAAACTGAACAAATCTAGTATTTTCTCCTGAAAGTTGGTTATTACATAGTCAAACATTTGCCACAAAACAAAAAGAAGAAGCAAGATTCCATAGTTGTCCTGTTCTTTTGAAAGCATTTTAATTAACCATTTTCACCGAAAAATGAATGCAGCATGAAAAATTTTCTTAATCCAAAATTTATCACAGCATGGTCCAAAACTTGAAAACTTAAGCATCAAAGTTTAGTTTTCTTAGCAGATTTAGTGAAAAAAACCAATCAAGACAAGATTCCACGGTTGTCTTGACCTTTTAAAGGTCTTTGAATGAACTGTTTACACCAAGAAATGTATGAGATATGAAAAAAGTTTACCTCTTCCTTTCAGTTGAATTTAAAATGTAATGATTTTTCCAGTAAATAAACAATTTAAAAACAATGTAATATGAACTCAAAAAGTAATGTACCATATAGTATAAATAAATTTAAAATTTGTGCTCTTATTAATGAAAACTGAACTAATCAGTAATCGCAATTCAAAGTTTATCACAGCTTAGACCAAAGCTTGCCAAAAATATAAAAAAATACCTGGTTTTTTTAGCAGAATGATAGGAAAAACCATAGGAGCTATATTGCATATTTTCCTGATCGTTTGAAGGTATCTCAATTTAAAATTTATCCCAGTATGATCCAAAACTTCTTATGACTGACCAAAAGATTTAATTTTCTTTTCAGTTGATTTGCAAGGTTGAAGTTTATTAGATATTCCAATAAGTAAACTATTTAAAAACAATGAAATATGAACAGAAGCAAAAAGTTGTCAATGTAGCGTTAAGTAGTAAATAAATTTAGATACTGTGCTCTTAATAAAAATAACTGAATAAATCAAAGTTTTCAATTCAAAATTAGTTAGCTCTTCATCCACTATTTGCCGCGATACGTCAAAAAGCCTAGCTTTCTAAGTAGATTAATTAGAAAAACAACAGTGGCAAGATTCCTTAGTGACCCTGACCTTTTTAAAGGACTTCCAATGAACTGTCTTCACGGAATATTGAACGGCATGAAAAATTTTCTTAATCCAAAATTTATTACAGCATGCTCCAAAACTTACCACTAAACACCAAAAAGTCTATTTTTTCTGTAGATTAATTGGAAAAACAACCGAGGCTAAATTCCATGGTTGCCCTGATCTTTTAAAGATCTTGAATGAAATGTTTTCACCAAGAAATGTATGAGGCATGTAAAAAGTTTACACTTCATTTCAGTTGATTTGCCAGGTTGAAGTTTTATTATTTATTCCATTCAATAAACAATTTAAAAACAATGTAATATGATATATTTTTTATGTAATGTTTAAAAAAAAATTTGTGTGATATTTTTATTATTTATAACAATGTAATGTAATCTGTGCTCTTAATGATGAAAACTGGAAAACTTATCACAGCTTAGATCAAAACTTGACAAAAAAAGCCTGGTTTTCTCAGCAGAATAGTAGGAAAAACAATAGGGGCTAAATTGCATAATTGTCATGATCATTCTAAGGACTGCGAATGAACAGCTTTCACTAAAAATCGAGGCATGAATCTTTCAATGAATGTCTCAATTTAAAATTAATCCGAGCATAGTTCAAAACTTGCTGTGACAGACCAAAAGTTTATTACCAATGTGTGGTGATTAGTGATCGTTAATCGATAATTATTCAGAAATCGTGAGATGCGGTCTGGTGTGATTTAGGTTTCAGAAAAACATTTTCCTTTATTAAGATCATCTTCAGGGCCTGGGATTTACAAACATTATTTACATTTAACAAATATATGTAGGATGTGGAAAAAAGTGAATTTATAAATGCAAAATAGATATTTTTTTATATTCAATCAAAGTAGATTGAATATAAAATATATATATACATTGCTTTTTTCCACATCCTACATGTATTTGTTAAATGTTAACAATGTTTGTAAATCCCAGGCCCTGAAGATGATCTCAATAAAGATCGAAACGTTGGCACGATAAAGGAAAATGTTTTTCTGAAACCTACATCACACCAGACCGCATCTCACGATTTCTGAATAATTTTATTACCAATTTTCTTTTCAGTTGATTTGCCCCATTAAAGTTTATTGGTTATTCAATTAAGTAAACTATTTAAAACCAATGAAATATAAACAAACATGAAATATATATAAAACATAAAGTTGCCAATATAGTGTTAATTAGTTAATGAGTAGATATTAAAAAAAAAACTGTTAATCTTGTCCAAAAACCCTACAAACCTACCAAAAATAGATTAAAAGTCTAAGTTTTTCCAAGAAAATCAATTGGAAAGACAATAGGGGCAAGATTCCATGGTTCCCCTGGCCTTTTGTCTTTAAATGAACTGGTTTCACCAATAAATGAATAAAAATGAAAAAAAGTTTACACTTCTTTCAGTTGATTTGCCAAGTTTGAATTTTATTGATTATTTCATTAAATAAACAATTTAAAAATATGTATGTAACATGAACTCAAACAATAATTAAAGCTCTTATTAATGAAAACTGAAATGCATGAACAAAACTACCATGTTGAAGTTAATTGGTTTATTGTTGAATTAGATAAAGGATTTAAAAACAATGGAGTTCTAATCAAACAAAATGTTGATAAATATGGTCCATAAAAGAAAAATTCAAATTTTTTCAATTTAATTTTTTTTTAATGTCCAAAACGTGCTATGACCAACCAAAATACGAGGTTAAACTTTACTGAATGTGCCTTTTTAAATCAACGATTATTTAGAGACAATGGTGTATGAATGCTTACAAAAGCTTTTATCCAAGGGGTTAGCTATTCCAGTCAAAAATGAAATAAATACTTCACTTCAAGAAATGTTCTTAGGCGATGTCTATAATGTAAAGTAATTCTGGTCAAAAGTGCTTACCTTAGACTTATGGACGAAGGATTTGATTCGAACCCAGAAATATTAGCTATTTTTGAGTTAGACACCCTATCTGATCATGTATAATAATATTATGTCTATGTATCAACTGTTTATAATGAATGTCATTGAGCATAAAAGTCAACAACACCACAGACAAGAAGCTTAAATGAAATAAGAAAAGATAAATGTAACACTATCAATTTGAATGTATGATTTTAATTAGTTTTTTTTCTAGCTGAATTCATCATTGATCTTGCTGAAAAAAATGACACATTTGAATCTTTCAAGAAAGCTCTCATTGAAAATGAAGCTGAATTTTCAGTAAGTAGACTTTTTTTTTTTTTTTTTTTTTTTTTTTTTTTTTTTTTTTTTTTTTTTTTTTAAATAACAGTGGTGTAACTAAATGAACTTGTTTAGGAGTCATTTATTGCAAATCTTCTGCGTATTATACAACACATGAAACCCAAAGCGGACAAGCCAAAACCCAAGGAACAGACAAAACAGGACAAGTTGTCTGCAAAATTCCCTGGCTTGGCCATTCCGAATGACATTTCTGCCAAAATAAATGGGGCGAAGGAAGAAAAACCACCAATCAAGGAGGAAGACCTTGATGATGTTGTCGGTGATGCTATGGCTGAGTTGGAAGCACTTGCTCCATCGAAAGAATCGTAAGTAACAATTTTTTTTCTTTCTTGTTCTCGTAACATTATAAAAAAAACTTTTAATTAGGACTAGGCAGGTCAAGCCAAAACAGGAAAGGAGCAAATCTCCAGACAAGCATAAAAACAGAAAGGCTGACAGAAGGAGTCGCAGCCGGGAGAGTAGAAAAAAGGGCAGAAGTAGAGAAAGAAGAAGTAGGAGTCGTGAACGAAGGAGCAGGAGCCGTGAAAGAAGGAGTAGAAGTCGAGAACGGAGAAGGCGCAGCTCCAGTCGTGACAGGTCTAAAAGAAGAAGCAAAGAAAGAAGCAGGGATCAACGAAGCAGAAGTAGAGACCGAAGGAGGAGAAGTCGTGATCGCAGAAGGAATAGAAGCCGCAGCCATGATAGAAGGAGAGATTTTGATTCAAGAAGAAAGAATGGAGATGACAAGTGAGTCTTCACAAAAATAAATTATATTGATTAATTACTATATAATAAAAAAATAAAATAATTTTTTCAGAGCAAAAGGGGACGAACCGAATGAGCCCGAAGTTGGTAAAATTTACCATGGCAAGGTTGCAAACATGGTTGCATTTGGCTGTTTCGTTCAGCTAGAAGGGTTAAAGAAACGATGGGAAGGGCTGGTCCACATTTCACAATTAAGGCGAGAAGGTCGAGTGACAAGCGTTTCAGATGTTGTAAACAGAGGAATGAAAGTCATGGTAAATAAATATTAAAAACAAAACAAAAAATGAATATGTTAGTAGAAAATAATGAAATATAATAACAGTATAAGTATTTTTAATATCAAACAGTAGATCATAATAATTTTATCACTACTTTAGGTGAAAGTTTTATCAGTTACTGGACAGAAAGTTTCTCTATCAATGAAAGATGTAGATCAAGAGACTGGTAAGGATTTAAATCCTGTTGTAAATCAAGCAATGAATAAAGAAAGGTATGTATATGTCTATGTAATGCATGTATATATGTTAGTATTGCTAAGTGGTCTATTATGAATAAATATTTTTAGGGAAGAAGAAGCTTCAATGAGAAATCCAGATCGTCCGACAACACTTCTCGAATTAGGGTCCTTCGATGACAATGATGATTTCCAAAGCAGAAAAAGAGTCAATAGAATATCATCACCTGAAAAATGGGAAATAAAACAGGTAATTTTTACAATTTAAAATTGAACCTCTATCAATATAAGGTTTTAATATTATTTCTTGATAGATGTTAGCGGCTTCTTGCATAGACAAAAGTGAACTGCCAGATTTTGATGATGAAACAGGTCTACTGCCTAAAGAGGCAGCAGAGGAAGAAGACATCGAAATTGAAATTGTAGAAGAAGAACCACCGTTTTTAACAGGTCATGGTAGAAACCTTCATGATCTAAGTCCTGTAAGTTTATTAGCAAAATTAATCAAAATTAGTACTATAAACTTTTTTTTAAATTCATGCTTTGAATATTAGGTGCGTATCGTTAAAAATCCAGATGGGTCACTAGCACAAGCTGCTATGATGCAGAGCGCTTTAGCAAAAGAAAGGAGAGAGCAGAAGATGCTCAACAGGGAGCAGGAAATCGAAACAGCACCAACTGGACTTAAAAATTGGATTGACCCACTTCCAGACAGTAAGTACAGAGAAGTCACACTAATCTGAATTCTGTCTAATCCATTTGTCATCAGAGAATACTTTCTTGATTTTTTAAAATATAGTGTTTTTATTTTATTTTTTCATTTTCTATTTAAATTTAAAAGGTATTGGTCTATTATTTTGGCTCTAAATTCTACTGGTGATTTTGCTACACTTTAACCCTTAAATTGTAAGGTCTTGCAGGTGATTTCAGACCTGCAGTTTGGTGGTTTCTGTATTGGTCTGTCAGTCATGTTTCAGTTTATATCCATCTTCAGTGTTGGATTAATAATGAAATATAAAGATGGCGATAGTTGAAAAGGAGGATAGGCGGATCAAAATGATTAGAAATGTGAAACCATTCACTCTCACCCTTTTCCAGATTTCTCAAAATTTCCAGCTTAGTTTTCAAAGTAAATGTATTTGTACACGTTGATTCTGCTTTATTTCCTTAATGAACCAGACCAATTTTACTGTTTGCTGCATTATTGCAGTTATTCAGCTAATAAAATTTTAGCTAATCTGAACAGTTCGGATCAACTAGACTCTACTGTATAATGATTTATGTGAAAAAAATATCCAAATTTAACTTTTTATTTTTCCAGATGATTCACGTTCATTCGCAGCGAACATGAGAGGGATTTGGCAGACAAACCAGGACCTCCCAGAATGGAAAAAACATGTCATTGGAGGAAAGAAAAGCTCATTTGGCATGAAAACAAATATGACACTTTTAGAACAAAGGCAAAGTTTACCTATTTACAAACTGAAGGATGAATTGATAAAGGTAACGTTACATTTTAAATTAAAATATCACTAAAAATATACATATTTTATTTAGAGAAAAATCAAAGTCAGTTTCGTGCAGTGTATAAGGCAGCAGCTAATTTCACAACCAAATACTTGAAAATTTCATGCTGGCTCAATACTTCTACATTCGGCATGATTTTTTAAAAGTATTTGTTTGTGAAATTAACTGCTGGCTTTTGCGCTGCATAAAATTGAGTGTAATTTCCCTCCTTTCCATCTTCTCCCCTCCGAAAGATGTTTGGATTAGACAGACATTCGGATTACCAGGACTAAACTGTATATTGTATATGTTTCGTTCAATATAATTTTATGATTAATAATATATTCAATTTTTGTTTGTTAATTTTAGGCCGTAACAGAAAACCAGATTCTTATTGTAATTGGTGAAACTGGTTCTGGAAAGACTACGCAGATGACTCAGTACCTTGCAGAAGCGGGATTTACCTCAAGAGGAAAAATCGGATGCACACAGCCCAGAAGAGTGGCAGCGATGTCTGTAGCGAAAAGAGTAGCGGAAGAATTTGGGTGCCGTCTCGGACAAGAAGTCGGTTATACTATACGTTTTGAAGATTGTACAAGCTCAGAAACTGCGATCAAGTAAATATTTAAAATACAATCTTAAAATTATTATAAAACAATTGTTTAATTATTTATTTTGCAGATACATGACAGATGGTATGTTGTTGAGAGAATGCCTAGTAGATCTTGACCTGAAAAGTTATTCTGTAATTATGTTGGATGAGGCTCATGAAAGGACTATCCACACTGATGTTTTATTCGGTACGACAATAATTAATTATCTTATAAAATAAATTAAAAATATATACTAAGTATTTGTAATTTGTCATAGGTCTTTTAAAACAAGCGGTACAGAAGAGAGCGGAACTTAAATTAATTGTTACCTCAGCTACATTAGATGCTGTGAAATTTTCCCAGTATTTCTTTGAAGCTCCAATCTTCACAATTCCTGGTCGAACTTTTCCAGTCGAGGTACTGTATACGAAAGAACCAGAGACGGATTATTTGGATGCTTCGCTTATCACAGTCATGCAGATTCATCTGCGAGAGCCTCCTGGTGACATTTTACTCTTTCTTACTGGTAAATTATTTTTGTTCAAACAATTAATAACATTTCATGAAAAAATAGAACTAATTGAATATCTTTGTCAAATAGGGCAAGAGGAAATTGATACTGCTTGCGAGATATTATATGAAAGGATGAAATCCCTCGGACCTGATGTACCCGAACTTATTATACTTCCTGTTTATTCTGCTCTCCCTAGTGAAATGCAAACTAGAATTTTCGAAGCAGCTCCACCAGGTTCAAGAAAGGTAATGTAAACTATTTTTTTTTTTTTTTAAATTGTTAAAAACATATTTTGGATATTTTATTTATAAATAAAACATATTAGGTTGTTATTGCTACAAATATTGCTGAGACTTCGTTGACAATCCATGGGATTTTTTACGTTGTTGACCCTGGTTTTGTAAAGCAAAAAGTCTATAATTCAAAAACAGGCATGGATTCTCTAGTCGTCACCCCAATTTCGCAGGTATTTTATTTTTTAAAATTTAGTTTTTTGTTGTTTTTATAATGTAATAATCATATTCAGGCACAAGCTAAACAAAGGGCAGGCAGAGCTGGAAGGACTGGACCGGGAAAATGTTACAGATTGTATACTGAGAGAGCGTACAGGGATGAAATGTTACCTACTCCTGTCCCAGAAATCCAGAGAACCAACCTCGCTACCACTGTAAACTATTTTTAAAAATAATGCATTTCAAACAGGTTTTAAATACAATTTTTTGTTTTCAGGTCTTACAGTTGAAAACTATGGGTATCAACGATTTGATTCATTTTGATTTTATGGATGCTCCACCTGTGGAGAGTTTAATAATGGCCCTGGAACAATTGCACTCACTCAGTGCCTTGGATGATGAAGGTCTCTTGACCAGACTCGGCAGAAGGGTGAGTAAAAAAGCTATATTCTTATAAATGTATGTAATGTGAAACATTCAATGCAACATAAATTATCATGTTACCTTGCAATTTGGAATGAAACTAATTTTTTTTTTTAGATGGCTGAATTTCCTCTAGAACCCAATCTATCAAAAATGCTCATTATGTCTGTCCACTTACAGTGTTCGGATGAGATTTTAACTGTTGTTTCCATGCTTTCAGTACAGAACGTATTCTACAGGTAAGATAGTTTATTGTTATATTTTTTTTATTATATAAATATTGTATAAATTATATTTATTTATTATATTTATTGTATAAATTTTATTGTTATTAATTAGAAAAAAATACATCATTTTTAAATTTGACAGGCCAAAGGACAAACAAGCCCTAGCAGATCAGAAAAAGGCTAAATTCAACCAGGCAGAAGGTGATCACTTGACACTTCTTGCCGTTTATAACTCGTGGAAGAACAATAAGTTCAGCAATGCCTGGTGTTATGAAAATTTTGTGCAGATAAGGACTTTAAAACGAGCTCAAGATGTAAGAAAGCAGCTTCTCGGTATCATGGACAGGTAAATGTTACATAATTTTTCAACAAAAACGCATTTAAATTAAAATCTTGTATTGCAGACATAAATTAGATGTGGTGTCTGCTGGTAAAAATACCGTGAGGGTCCAGAAGGCGGTTTGTTCGGGTTTTTTCAGAAACGCCGCCAAAAAAGATCCTCAGGAAGGCTACAGGACTTTGGTTGATAGTCAGGTTGTTTACATCCACCCGAGCAGTGCTTTATTTAACAGGCAACCCGAATGGTAAATTTCTATTAATTATTATTTAAAAAAAAAAGAAAATTTAATTAATCTTCTCCAATAGGGTTATTTATCATGAATTGGTCCAAACCACAAAGGAATACATGCGGGAGGTGACGACAATCGATCCAAAATGGCTCGTCGAGTTTGCTCCAGCATTCTTTAGATTCTCCGACCCGACAAAGTTGAGCAAGTTTAAAAAGACACAGCGCCTTGAACCCCTTTATAACAAATACGAAGAGCCTAACGCCTGGAGAATATCCAGGGTCAGGAGGAGGAGAAATTAAACTGTATATAATGAATTATGTACATATCTTGTAAATGATTTGCTGTATAACTGTAAATACTTTAGTCTGATGCATTTTTCTTTATGTATAAAACGTAGAATATATTTTTTGTTTAGTCGTTTTTTATGTATGTGACTTTTAAAAATTAAATCATTATTAAACCTTTTTTTTTTAAAGCAATTTTTATCTATAAAATTATTTATATTGAACACTAAATAAGCCTTAATGCCAGAGATTGTTCTCTATGAATTCCTAAAATGCAGTTTACTTAGCAAAGCAATTCAGCCTTGACTAATTTTTCAACTCTCAAATATGTAAATGTATTTAAATAATGTTAATAGGTAGTGGTGGATTGCATGATTATTTATTTATAAAGCTAAAATCGTAGGCGTAGAGATAAACATTTAGAGTTTATGAAGCAGTCAGAAATATATATTGTAGATTGCCTTTGAAAACAATAAGCAGGATCATCAAAATCCAGTGTTAGATTCCATGACATAACTATATTAAAAATCAGTGTTCGAAACTCAATAATGGCGTGAAATGCAGTTGTTCCTTTTAGTATTTTCGCAAATTGTGAAAAAGATAATGAAAACTTCCTAATTCAAAATGCAAAAGACAAATTTTGAAAATGAGCACCTCTTATGCTACAGGAGCATCCATAGGAAGCATACTTCAGACTGTCGTGTGACACAGGTGTCTGTAGAATCATCAGATTCTTTCCTTTTAAGACAATAATCAAAATTCAATACAATCGATTCCATGAGATAGTTAAATTAAAAATTAATGTTCAAAATTCAACAATTATGTGCAATGCGGTCTAAAGTCATTCTTCAAAATTCAACAATTACGCACAAGTCCTTCTTTCTTTTCAAAAGATAAAGATCTCTTAATAATTCAAGATACACAAAGCAAATTTTGAAAAAAGCGCCTCTTGAGCCACAGGAGAATCTGGTAAAACTCATACTTTGAAATGTTGAGAGCCACAAGTGTTCTTTCCTTTCTCCTAATGTCCTTTCTTTTATTTATTTTGTCACAAATTGAAAGAGGTATTGAAAATTTCCCAATTAAAGGTGCAAAAGGCAAATTTTGAAAACGGGTTCATTCTGGGGACGCATACTATGAAGTGTTGAATGTTGTAGGACTCCTACAGAATAATCATTAGATTTTTGCTTTATAAGACGGTCATTATGATAATCAAAACTTTAAAAAAATTCCATGACGTAACTAAATTAAAAATGCTGTTTGGAACACAACAATGATGTGAAATGCAGTCAAAGGTCCTTCATTTTTTGTCTTTCTTCCAATTGTATAAAAAGATAATGAAAACTTCCTAATTTAAGATGAAATAAGGAAATTTTTAAAACAGACGCCTCCTGGGTTTCAGGAGCATCTGGGACGCATACTTTGAACCGTCTAATGTTACAGTTGTGTCATATATTCACCAAATTGCTTTTAAAGACAATCATCAGGATCGTCAAAATGCAATGTAATTGATTCCATAACTAAATTTAAAAATCAGTGTTTATACTCAACAATGTGAAATGCAGTCAAAAAGTTTTCTTTTTTTTTATTTGCCTTTACTCAAAAGATAATGAAAACTTCTGCTTTTGAAAATGGCCAATTTTGAAAACTCTACAGGAACGTATGAGGGACTCATACTTGGACTGTCATGTGCCACAGGTGTCTCATAGAATCAACTGATTTTTGCCTCTGAAGGTGATCATCAGAATCATCAAACGCAATTCTGTTTTAACTTTTTAATAGTCAAAAATCAGCTTGAAATGCAATCAAATCAATCTTATAGCCTTTCCCCTAAATTGTAAAAAAAATATATAATGAAAACTTTCTAATTCAAAAGGCAAATTTTAAAAATGGACGCCTCCTGGGTTACATACTTTGTACTGTCAATTTGTCCCAATTTTCGCACAAAATCTCTAACTTTTAAGAATTGAGTAACTTAGAACTAACTAAACTAACTTAACTATGAAATATAAAGCAGAAACTTAAGGAACAAATTGCTGTAAATAATGTCTGAAATGTATAACTAGTGTGACACTAGTAACAAAATATCCTGTATATGATTCACAGATATACGGTTTTTCAAGGAATCCATTTTTAGACAATGAAACACCAGAAAATTAACATAATCACTTTTTTTATTTACATCTATTTTAAAATAATGAGGTCATTAAAAACATTTTACAAGTTAAAGAGAATACATTCTTTAAAAGTAACAAAATTTGGTTGTTTTTGAAAGAAAAAATTTTATGAGTGAAAGTACGAGGTATTTTCTATAATAAAAATACTACTACAATTAAAATTTCAATGATTGCCACACTTTATATTTCTTAAAAACAAGCCAATAAGCTCACAGAAAACAAAAATAAAAAATAATGTAACCATTATATGCATATTTGTATTTGTTCATTTATTTACACAATTTACAAAAAGATAATTTTCAAAGCAACGCAACAACGGCTTTGAACAGTTTTATTTTAACCAGTGAAAATGTCAATACTCACAATCAACAAAGCATATCATCGCGATCGATGTATACTTTTTTGACAACACTATGTACAAAGTAGTCTAGAAAATTATTAAGCAGAGAAATAAACAATACAGTTTGTCTACACATTTACTTTTTGATATGATTTAGTTTTATTATCAACTGACAACTCTTTAACAATGAGGATTTTGGTAATGGTTTTTACTCTGTAAGCCCTTTCTAGTTTTGACTAAGAAATCTGATTTTGACTAAAGACTAAAAAGAGTTTCTGCAAAAATATAAAATGTTAAAAGGATGTACAACTTACACCTAAAGATTAAAATAGCTTTTTTTATAATGGAGGAAAAAACTCCCATTCCTCCATACGTTTTAAGAAAGAAAGAAAAAAAAGGACTAAAGAACAGGTTGGTGCCAAACGATGCGACCAGTAAGGCAACCAGAAACAAGTAGGCAATGGCGGGGAGAGAATTTGGTGCTAACGACTAAATTAGTGTGGCAGGCTTTGGCACCAATTTCATGGAGTTTGATAGGACCTTCCTTCGGTACGCACGAAGAAAGCTCTGAACACTCTTCTGAAAACGCCAGAAGGCGCACTCCGTAGCCGAAAGGGGAGCAGATGAGACGGCCGTCTGCTGAAAAGCAGAGCTCTTTGATAAAACCTTTTCCAACGTTGGATTCTTGTATGTAGTGAGTAAGCCTGGAAACATTCCGGTGGATTTTGTGGTTCTTGGGCACCCTTATTCGGTGGCCAGTCCTGTTCGGCCGGCTTACGATGTAAAAGGAGCGGTTGTTGTACCTCGAAGTCCCTTCTTCAAAATTGTCATTTATAGGTGGACTTTCTGCTACAGGTTCCTCTCCTTCACTTCTCTGCTGAGGTACTCTTGTACTAAAATTTAACAAATAATAATTAATTAAAATTTTTAAGACATTCCATTTTGATAATTAACTATATTTACCCAACAACAATTGAAGTAATAAATCCAGGTTCTCTAGGCCTCACACCTTCTATGCCACTCTGCATTCTAACAATTCTAAACCTTGAATCGTTATCAGCTTCAGGAGCTTTAAAGAAAGTAAAATAATAATAATAATAATTACACAAATGTTTTAACTAACCAATGAACCCTCAGTGTGCCAGTGGAGGGGGAAAAATTCAAAATAAACGAACCTTCAGTTCGGCGTTCCCTTCTTGCCCTGGCTTCTCGTATGGCGACGAGAGCTTCCCAAACATCAGTAGTCGCAACCCTGAATTCACCTCTCTGGTTGGAAGGCACCTGAGCCCTGAAACCCCTGAAGGCATTCTGTCTGCGAAGGAATCGCCTCGGAAACCTCCCGCCGCCGACTGTTCCAGTAGAATTGGACACCACCCTGGCACGGGAGTTGAGTCCGATTACAAATGATGCCATTTCAGAACTGGTCGGTGCTTGGACAGCCGGTGGCTCGGTTTCTGTGTCCGACTCCTCCCCACCGCTCTGCTCGGGTGTCATTTCTTCATCTGAGACGTTATCCTCCAAATCCTGTATATCGTGGACACATGTCCATTCTGAATTCTCATCATTAGAAATGTTTCGACTCAAAGCACACCAACCTTGTGGATGGACCTGAAGGAATACATCATAGGATATAAATTAAGCACGTGATCAAAGGATCCTTCTTTTGACTCAAATGGTCCTTTTAAATGTGAGCATTTTATTTTTATTTTGAGAATCTCACATTTTTGATGTCAAGAAATTGGTTTTGGATGCTGATAGTAGCATATTATATAAAAATTAAACTATGCACCTGTTGAAAATGGTAAAAAAAAAAAAAAAAATTCCAATTCAATGACAGGTAAATCTCACCAATGATCCACCTTACAATTAAAGCGAGAATGTTTTCTATTTAAATGGGCACATATCAGTTAATGAAGCATGCTGACAAACGACCAAAAAATCCACCTGACGGCCCATTTGGCAAAAGCATATGGAGGTCTGGTTAGTTAAGATTAAAAAGTTATTTATAAATTCACTAGTTTCGTGGTCCGCTTGACCAATTAATATCATACAATTAATTAAGAAGGAAAATTCAAAAAGGTGGGGTTGAGATGGGAAGTTGATGTCCGAGTGGATCGAGGTCACGATAGCTCAAGTGGTTGAGCAGCGGCGTATCAAGCCGAAGATCGTGGGTTCGAATCCAGCTCATGCCACTGACTTTTTTTATCTCAACTAAAAACCTTAATTAATTGTATGTTATTTATAAACGTGTTGCCTCTGTTTTGTCCTATTCTACCCTAGTTTATTGTACGATTATGAAACTTTACAATTTAAATACGGTGTGAAAAGGCGTAAAGAGGTGCTTACAGATATTAATCTATCGTTCTATAAGACTGCTAATTTTACTCTAGAAACATTTAAACACAAATAATCTGCCAAATTTGATTTTTAAAAAATATTATAGTTTTCATATCGTGTGGCAAGCTCGATATATTTTTCTAAATAAAAGAGAAAATCCAATTTCAAATTAATCAAGTAGAGCTTTTGGAAAATTTTATGTGGAAATCAAATTACCGATGAAAAAAGAATCAAATAAACAATGGATATGTTGAAGAAAATAAATATTCAGTTAAGAACTAAGTTTGAAAGTAGGGAAGCTTCATTATTGCATCAACGCGTCAAAATTGGAAATAAAACATCTACTTAAATAAGCAGATTAGAAAACAATTGTGAAATCAACTAGTGATGGTCTCTATTACCTATGTAAAATAGCAGTTAAAAAAAAAAAACATTACCTGCAATGACGAGACAACTTCTGCATCATCCCCTTCCGGAAAATCAGTCAAAAATTCGATTCTATTTTTCTTCCTTTTCTTTGAGAAAAGGTGAGTAAAGCTAGCTGCCACTGGTATAGTGGTTTGACTAAGTTGCATCAACCTATACATGTTTGGCTGTAACATAATAATAATTAATTACAAATAAATCAAATTTTTTCTTCGAACTTTTAAACTTACCTTAAAACCGTCGAGATCTTGGGCCAACGTTCGTAAATCTAGATTGTGAATGAGAATCAAATAACCTCCGGTTGTACACATGATCATTTTACTAGCGTCTGGATTCAGTCTTGTCCTCATAAGACCATTAGTATGGAACACCCGATTATAGAGGAAACTACCCTCGGAGTAACTAAAAAATATATGTTTAAGATAAAGTTATAGACAAAAATTGATTCAAACTTACCTGTTAATATCCCATGTGTAAATCGCTCCATCAAAGCCAGACGTTACCAAAAGGCCGTCACTTTGGGAGAATTCTATGTTTTTGACCCAATTTGAATGCCCGGTGAGAGTCCTGATTCTAGACTTGAGATTCCTCGCATCCCAAAGAGCGACTGTTGTATCATCGCTGCAGGTAGCAAACACTCTTGAGTCCAAAAACCTTGAAATTACCCAAATGAAAATAAATGATTTGTAAGTTCCTAAATTATATAAAAAGAAAAGTGAGATTATTACCTGACACAATTAACACAATCATAATGTGCATTATCAACAGTCTTCAATAATTGTCTTGATAATGGATCAAATATCATTAAACTTCGCTTTTCACAAGCTGCCACCAAAAGGGACCTAAGATAATTTAATAAAAATTATTGTCTGCAAATTTAATATCAAGTTATTATTGTTTAATTTATTTTCTACCCAGAATAACATTATAAAGATGAGTAAATTTATTTTTAAATATAGGACAATTTTAAATAAAATTAAAAGCTGAAAATCACTAGAGAAAAATAAGTCTGACTCAGACAATTTTATAAACAGCAAAATCTCAGATATTTGGCTATCATAAGGAAGTACAGAAATTTTGGCAGAGTAAAACTAAAAAATTTGATGTACACGTTTCGGTAATTGTACTTATAGCAAAATTTTGTATATTTTGTGTGTGGATGAAAGGTATAGGACGAAATTTTGGCAGAGTAAAATTAATATTTCTGATACAACAAGTAGAATAAAGGATCAATGAAAAACAAGCATACCAGTAGTAGTATTGATTAAAATTTCTTAACCTGGATCGCACCAACAGAGACGTTTTGACAATTTTATACATAGCAAAAGTCAGTTCTTTTGCGTGACACTGGAAGGTTGGAGACAAATATTTTCTCAGAACAAACCACATATTTCTAAGTCTGACCAAAGAAAGCAACGCGTCAATGTAAAACATGCACCCCAGGGTCCTATAGTAAGTAGAATAGCTTGTTTCACTTCAGCATAATTGTTCTGACTGTTTTACATACAGCAAAATCTCAGATATTTGGGCTATCGTAAGGAAGTGCAAGATGAAATTTGGCCATTGTAAAACTAAAAACTTTAATGTAGATGTACTTATAGAAAAATTCCGTATATTTTGGGTGTCGCTGGAAGGTATAGGATGAAATTTTGGCAGAGTAAGACTAATATTTCTGACACAAGTAAAATTTCTTAACCTGGATTCCTTTAGCAGAGACATTCTGACAATTTTACATATAGCAAAATTCAGTTATTTCTGGTGTCACTGGAAGATTGGAAAAAATATTTTCACAGAATAAAACAAATATTTCCAAGTCTGACCAAGAAAAGCAATGCGTCAATGCAAAACATGCACCCCACGGCTCCATAATAAATAGAATAGCCAGTTTCGCTTCAGCATAGTTGTTCTGACTGTTTTACAAACCGCAAAATCTCAGATATTTGGGCTATCGTAAGGAAGTACAGGATGAAATTATGCCATAGTAAAACTAATAACATTGATGGAGATGCTGTACTTATAGCAAAATTCCATATATTTTGAGTGTTGCTGGAAGGTATAGGACAAAATTTTGGCAGAGTAAAACTAATATTTCTGACATAACAATGAGATAATGGATCAATGCAAAAGAAGCCTACAAATGCCATAGTATGTAAAATTTGTTAACCTGGATCACTTTAGCAGAGACATTAGGACAATTTTATATATCAACAACTTAGAAATTATAATTTCTGTTAAAAACGTGTAGAGGCATATTTAAAAAATTGTTGACTTTTAAATGGTTATTACATTATCATTTTTATTTAGGACGTCATACATTCCTCTGAGGAAGGCCAAATATAGAGCCGAAAGCTTGGCAACATAATACAGTGTATGATTCATTGAAGGACTCCATACCCAATAACATCCCAAACCAAATTTTATATATAGCAAAATTCAGTTCTTTCACGTGTCGCTGGAAGGTTGGAGACAAATATTTTCTCAGAATAAGCCACATATTTCTAAGTCTGACCAAGGAAAGCAACGGGTCAATACAAAACAAGCACTCCAGGGTCCCGTAAAAAGTAGAATAGCTTGTTTTGCTTTAGCATAGTTGTTCTGACAGTTTACAAACAGCAAAATATTTGGGCTATTGTAAGGAAGGGCAAGATGAAATTTGGCATCGTAAACCTAAAATACGCCCAAAATAAATCAAGTTACTTAAGAGCAATGCATCTGAAATTAATCAACTAGTGTATATTTTTCAATGATTGTGCATGTATCACAATTCCAGATATTTTGGGTGTCGCAGAAAGGAAAAAGACAGTATTATGCCCGAGTAAAATCAATGATTCTTTGTCAGACGAGGAAGAGCAATATGACAATTTGAAATTAGCAATGCAAGGTAATTCCCACAATAGTGTTTGATTGTAGAGTAAAATGCCAGACTTATTTTGTACTTTTAGAAGAGATCTTGACATAAAACTAATATCTGCCTATGTTGGGGCTAGAATTATCAATGAAAGATTACAGCAGCACCATGCTTGGTAAATGTGCTGTTATTAAAATGGATAAGAAAGTGTAAGAGCTGTGAAAAAATGTAAGATCAGGGCGATTTTTGGTAAATTTTGGCAGTCGGATTTTTCTGGGAACTTGAATCTTTGAAGTACTTACCCATCCGGGGAGAATTCCAGGTTGAAAATCCCACCGGGAGAAGCGTTCTGGAGGCTCTCGTTGTGGTCCCAGTAGTTGCAAGGGCGGAACGACGTGTAGAGACCTTTCATGAACCTGTCGCTGCTCCCTATCTTGGGAGTCATGCCAAGCTCCCGGTTCCTCAGGTACGCCGCGCTCAAGCCCATCGCGCTGTTCCTGGTGAAGTTTTCCATCCTCGGCGCTAAGCTAAGACTCGAGTTGGAAAGTCGCACTTCTCTCGTGTGCAGCCTCTTCCGACGGACTGCCAGCAACTTCCGAAACGCTTCATAACAGGCCTGAACTGGCGGCGTACGCGATCATAAATAAAACTGATCGGCCTGGTTGTATTAACACCGAAAAACAATAAGGTGTTAATGCCCCTGATGTCGCGATGGCCGTCAGCTGAAGATCCAATGTTCAATTGAGCTTTAAAAACTCGTTTTGAAATTAGGATCTCGTACCGCCTGTAGGTCCTGACAGGCAGCCCCGGAAAAATGCCAAAGCAGTCCTTTGTTTAGAAAAGGCCGTTTAATAATTTATTTTGGAAGGACTGCGGAAATAAAGATTCCCGTTATCATTGGTAGGGGGAACCGTGAGACGTCACCGCGCCTGAAAAGACCGGCCGCAAAAATTCAAACCAAAACCTCAAAATTATCCATACTCTTTTCAAAAACAAGATCAAAACACTTATTTAAACAAAGCAAAACTTCTTAAACCGTTTCGAAGAGTTACCATATAAATTTATTAATAAAGTCTTTTGTCAGGTTTTATTAAAAAAAATATTTAATAATAAATCATTACAAAAAACAAAGAAGAAACGAGCAATAATGTTAAAATATATTATCGGGCATTTGAAGACAAAAAATCGTCAGAAATGTCAGGAAGTTAGGCTTTCAACAAACCGATCTTTGAAGGATTGATTGAAGTTGATGCGGTTGGAAGGCAGCCGCACGGCCGGCTTGCGAAGCTGATCCGTAGACGAAAGTGCGCGTCTGATCGGTGATCAGCTGTTTTCTGTTTTCCCCGACGACATCGTTTATTTACGTGTCGATTAGGGCTGGTTGTCGTTGAGGTTGATTGTCGTCAATTCTGCTCGCCGAGTCCGGGCAAGGATGGCGGCTTTGGAGAAGCTGGTCAAGTCCCTCGAGTCGCTCAAGTCCCTCATCTCGTCCAGCGCACCAGCCGACGAGTCCGGGATGAGGTATTTATTCAAGCCCCGTTGCATTTCGAACTAAAAACATTTTAAAAAATAAATAAATAAACCAACCCTTTTATTAAAGAAATTTATTAATATAATAAAAATAACTCTTGAACCTTAAATTTTTCTTTCTGGAATACACAGGAAAAAATGCATACACTTATTATAAAAATATTATTTCCCATTAAATTTTGAGAAAATATTGTTATACAGTGTGTATTAAAAATATGAACCTGTTTCTCTCTTCCGTTAAAAAATATGTTTGATATACATAAAAACATATTTTGTGATAGAATGACCAGGGCTTATAAAGTTTTAATAGTTTATTGACGATATTTTTTTTTTTTCGCATAAGCAGTCTGCGAGATCAGACCTGTTGACATTTCGAATTATTGCAGTATGTGTTAATGTCGAAAGGTTGTTTACAATGTGGCGTTAAACTGTACATTGTGGTATGTTCTTTCTTTAACGTATGACGGGCGACTATGAAGCAACATTTCTGTAGATCCTGCGTACGGCAGGCCTGAGCTTGCTGGCCAGATAGAGAAAAAATAATAAATACACCTCTTTGTAAAGAGGGACAGATACGAACGTATTGCAAAATATGTTTTAATTGATATTTTGAAAACGTGGAATGGGTGTTGTCTAACAATAATTCATTAGACATGAAGCAGATGCCTGCAAAAAAACATTCCTACCAATTTTTTTAATAGTCTGTTTAGCATTAAATGAGATTTTGGTATTTGTTCAATTCTATGAGAACTGCTTGCAGGTGGAGTCTCTTGTAATTTTGAGAACATATAAAAAAGAATGTATGAATTCTGCAGAGAATGGAAGGTTTAGTTGGACCCTATAGTTCCATGCCATATGTCCATACTAACTTTTTCCCGCAACTTTGTCCATGCGGGACTGTTTTAATATTTCTTTGTGAGCGCTAATATGGCTTTTTAATATAATGTCTCATTTTCAAATTATTTCATTGTAGGAATGCATCATCAAAATTTCAGCCCTTTAGAACCAGCGGTTTGGTCTGTGTGTTTTCTTTCAGTCAGTCACGGAACTGTTTTATATATATATATATATATATATGCCGAAGAGTCTGTCAAGAGCAGAGGATGGGTACAACACCCAGTCCGTGCTTTCTTTAGTGCAATTTGGAAATGATGGTGTAATGGTCTGGGCTGGTCATTTACTCTGGAGGACGAACTGGACTCCACATTGTTGAAGGCAACCTCACCGCAGTCCGTTATGCCCAAGAAATTTTCAAGGAATATATCTCTCAAACCAGGAATCTCATTGGCAGGAAATATTCTATTTCTTCGCGACATGCCAAACCTCATACAGAAAGAGTCATTCATCAATGTTTAGAAAACCTGAGCATTTCCCATCTGCTCCCCTATGTATATTGTCTTACTTTACTATACAATAGATTTATTAGATATGAAGCAGATGCCTGCAAAAAAAAAACACTCCTACCAATTTTTTTAATAGTCTGTTTAGCATTAAATGAGATTTTGTTATTTGTTCAATTCTACAAGAACTGCTTGCAGGTTGTCTCATAGAATGTTGTGTACATCTGCAAAAATGTCTGAATTCTGCAGAGAATGGAAGGTTTTGTTGGACCCTATAGTTCCATGCCATATGTCCATACTAACTTTTTCCCGCAACTTTGTCCATGCGGGACTGTTTTAATGGACCTTTGTAATGCGATACAGAGTGATAGTATGACTTTTTAATATAACGTCTCATTTCTCACATTCTTCTCTTAAAAATTATCCATATGATCCTCTTAGGGATGGAATTTACAAAACATTCTTTCTTAGCCGCTATCCTTGTCATTGTAGGAATGCACTGTCGAAATTTCAGCTCTTAGATCCAGCGGTTTGGTCTGTCAGTCACGGAACTGTTTTATATATATAGATATAAGCCGAAGAGCCTACCGAGAGCAGGGGATGCGTACAACGCCCCAATTCGTGCCCCTTCATTTGCAATGGTCTGGGCTGGTCATTTACACTGAAGGATGAACTGGACTCCACATTGTTGAAGGCAACCTCACCACAGTCCATTATGTTTAGAAATTATCGGGGAATACATCCCTCAAACCAGGGTTCTCATTGGCAGTGATTTTCCATTTCTGATGACAAAGCCACACCTCATAGAGGCAGAGTTGTTCATCACTGTTTAGAAAACATGGGAATTTCCCTTCATTTTCTACAGATCTCAATCCCACTGAGCACATGTGGGATACATTGCAGAGAAGGCTTTTTGATTACCATCCGCAGCAAGTTGACCTGCAAAAACTGAGTGCAGCATCTATGGAGTAAAATTCCTTATGAAATTAGTGACAACCTTATTAACAGTATGCTTAACAGGTGCACAGAGGTTTTAGCTAACAGAGGACATTATACACGATGTAGTATAATTAATTGTTTAAAAAAGTATTCTATCCAAGAAACCAATTATGGAATTGAAAACTTTTATTTTGTCAGTTTTCAAAACCCCTTAATTAAATTTTCCTTTAGTAAAAACCGATAATTTATAATAAATTTTAATGCAATTTATAATAAAAATAAAATAAACATGCTAGGGAAAGCAAATATACAAAATTGGCAATATCCTGGTTCATTTTTGAGCAGTTTAGATTGGTTTCAGTGTTGAGTTGTGTATGAGTATTTTGTTGTTGAGAAAGAGTTTAGAGCTTCTCAGTAATTAAATTGCCGGTCCAGTTCTGTAAGGGAATTCCAGTAGATAAAAAGTCAAACAATTTTTTATGAAGAACCCTTATTTTTTAATCTTTGATATTGTGCTAGCATTTCAGTTTATCGATCACCTCCGCTTTTAACATAATGAATTAAATGCATTTCAAATAGATAATATGAAATTTTGTTTATCATTTAATTAATCTGTAATTTGGTTGTTACAGATCATACTAGTTGCTCTGTAACGTGTCAGCAGTTGGCCATCTTTAAAGTTGGATTTTTTTAAATATTTACCTTTAACCAATTAAAACCAAACCTCATAGTTGATTAAAAAAATTATGAAAAATTGGCAAATTGCTGAACTTTTATTTCAAATGTCGTGACAATAAGCAGTACATAAAATACACTTATTTGCTATAAAACAAATAAATAATTAAGTAATTCAGTTTATTTTTTCTATACAAAGAATCATCGTCTGAGGCAATATTTTAAATTCTTCTTTCCACCGGCGATTGACATTGATAGCCATTTTAAATAAATTATTATTTCCAGACATTGTCAAAAATAATAGTGTACTTTATAATAATTTGTATGATTTTTACAACGTTACAAAAAGTTAAGGCAAAACCTGTCCAATTTGATGTTTAGGAAGGTGGGAAAATTACTGTTTTCTCCATATCAATATATTATGCCAATTTTTTCATCATGTATTTAAGTTTGCTAGATTACTTATGTGTCTCATAAACAAAGTTAATTTGATATAATTTCTCTATAAACACTGTGACTTTGAAAACAGTTGCAACAATTAAAAAAAAAAATGATCTCTAGTTTTAAGACATTTTTTAGTGAATTGCCATTAAAAAAAACTTGCTGGGTTTTATAATAATAATTTGCTGGGTTTTATAATGATAATCTATTATAGAGAATAATAATCCATATATGTATTTAGTAGTCATAATTGTCCATATTATTTATACTTTTTATCTAAGGGTCTTGATTGAGATGAAAAAGCTAGTGACATGAGCGGGATTCGAACCCTCGACTTTCAGCTCAATATGCTCTAACCATAATAGCTCAAGTGAATTTGTATCACGCTGGGATACTAGCTTTTTCACCTCAATAATTCACCTTAGATAAAAAGTACAATTAATTAAAATAGAGATTGAGATTTCAAAATGTGGCCTTTTTGTTATTTTAATTTCGCACATTACGTCACATGCATTATTTCATTTTTTTATAATGCTTTTCTTAGCTTTACTTCTCTGTTTTATTTCTTCCTAATAAAATAAATATATTTTTCTTTCCCCTAAATATGTTTTAATGGGCAATTCTTGAAATAGAATGTTTATCAGTAGTTTCACAAATTCAAGACAAAACTGGCCAAATTTGTTTAATGTTTTACAAAAGGATAGCAAGTGTTCTGTGATCTTTAATATCAACAATGACTTTCATGCCTTATTCTCTGTTTATTCACTCATTAATGTCAATTCTATTTCATTCCCCTATTCACAGAACAAATTGCTTTACTCGGCTGGCCTGTTTTTTTGCACAGCGTATTTTATTTTGATCTCTAACAATGAGATTTATGAGTAAATATTGATGACAAACGTCAGCAACTTTTGTACACAAAGTGAAAGTCAGTATTTAGCTTATGGACTATTTTAAAAAATTTCTCACAGTGTGTCAGCATTAAAATAATGCTAATATTCATTAATATTCAGCAATGATAATTGAAATACATTACAGTCCTAACACTTATCCATTTTGTTTTTCTTACTTTTTCCTTCTGAATCAGATTAGAAGCTTAGACCTAATTATTTCTGTATTACTACAAATGAGATAAGAATGGACAGTGAAGTGAATAAATTATCCTATAATAATACTTTTGGTTGGATTGTCAATTAAAAAATTAATTTTATAAACAGACATGCTTTACTGTTATTATTATGTACTTATTTTACATTGGCAGCATTTGACTATCTAACATCTATATTAATTGATTTTCAACTATTAGTGTTTTAAATAAAAAAGTATCTATTTTATTATTCTTTGTTTGCACTTCTTTACTTTTTCATCATTTTGGATAAATAAGAATAAAACAAGGACACTGTTGATACAAGATTGTGCCTAGTAATCATTGATATGATTCATACAATATTTCCAGATTTTGATGATGGGTTAGACTTTGGTCATTATTAATTTGAAGAGAACTGGAAGGAGTCTCTTCAACTTAATTATTAACCGAAGGTCGATCTAAACGTAATTAAGTTATTCATTATTTCCTTGCACAATTTTCTTCATCTTCTGTGCATAATTATTTTTATGTGTGGTAAAAAAAACTCTTATTTTTATTTTCCAATTGTTAATGAAAATTACCAGAAAATCAATTTTTATGATGTGGTGCATTTATTATGAATTAACACAATGTTTCTACATTAAAACTATCGTATTGTTTATTTAAAATAAACTAAGATAAGCTCTTCCTTGTTTGCACTTTTCAGATTTTTTTTCAGCCTGATCAAATCATTCTGGTCTGCCTATCGTTCCGTGTTGGTCTGTTAAATGCCAGAGTCAAATTAAAGATCAACACCGATGATAGTGAGACCAGGATGATCAGTAAAGACCAAATTTATCTATTATTATTGTTTTAATTATTATAGATTAATCTTATTTATTTATGACCACTCTGCAAACCACAGAAATTTCACAATAATCATTGAATTCACTAATTTCGTGGTCTGCTTGACCAATTAATATATTACAATTAATTAAGGTTTTTAGTTGAGATAAAAAACCTTAATTAATTGTAAATAATCATTGATATGACCTGCACAAAAGTAATTAAAATTAAGACAACAGTCTGCCATTTAGTACTAAAACCAATATTATTACCAATTAAAATTCCTTGGGCTTGGTTGGAATTCAAACCCAAAACTGCGAGCATGGCAAATACGCTAGATGCCGCTGGCAACCTGTACCAAATTATGCATTCAAAAACTAATAAATTCCATCTTTTTTTATGAATATTTGTTTCTGTTTAGTTTTCTTTTCTATTTTATCAAATCGGTCAATTTTTATAATATGCAAGAAGTATGCATGTTACTCCGTGCATCATTTCATTCTGTAAAGGAAGTGGCCAAGGCTGGTCGCTAATTCTTGTTCAAGTTAACAAGAATCAGTCTAGCATGAGATCTCTTTACATAACTCGGCACATTGTTTATAGTTAAATATATATTTTTTAATCCCTGATTTTTTTAAATTGTTATAAATAAATAAATGCCATTTCCTTATAGACGGTGCAGGCGTATGAAAAGCAAAATTAATTTGCCTGTTTGCTTAGGGTTTTATGGCACAGAAAAAGATATGGGTTGGTTTTGAACTTGCAGGCCACAATGTTGGTTGTAATTTTTATGATTGTTATTTTTATCTCTTTTGGTGTGTAAATAGATAAAAGTTCATCAAAAACAATAGGAACACATTTATGGTATATACATGTAATAAAAAAATAGAAAATAAAATAATTCCAAAAACATTCTATTTTAATTTGAAAGAAAAACTTACACAAATGCATAAATTGACTTTATTTTAAATTTTAGTCAACATTTATTGTTTCTTCCTCTAGCTTTGTAAAGTGTTGATATTCTTCATAGTATGTAAAAACAAACCAAATATGATATATTTCAATTATTCTTTTTATCTAAGGTGTTGGTTGAGATGAAAAAGTTAGTGTCATGAGCATATTGAACCCATGGTAGTATTTGTCTTCTCATATTGGTCCTGGTTTTTATTACCTTAATTATTTGTGATAACCTTAGATTTTTTAAACATGTAGTACACATTGTCTAATCTCTCACGATACTTGATCATTAGAAAGCCTGGATAGAAAAGCCCTCCTGAAAAGCAGGAATTACTACGTTTTTTCTCTGTCATTTTTTAAAAACTTTTTCTGTGTTCTGTATTAAGAAAATATTGCCCATCACTGAAGCCCAAATCAAAGCTTTACTTCTATTATTTATGAAAAGAAATGATAATTGACTAAAAAATTGTCATGTGTTAATGTTTTAGGTCGAAAGAAAAAATGAGTCTGTGTGTTATAATCACTGATATGATTTGTACGCCAGAGGCCAAAAAAGTCAAAAATTTCCAAAACCTCCTTTCATACTCGATGGAAACCCTTTTGAAGATGTGCAATGATGAAGACTCCAGCATAAGAATGATAGCTGATGAATGTTTAAACAGAATAATAAGAGTAATTAAATGTTTAATTTAATATGTTGATTTTTGTATAATTTAAACATTACTTTTAAAGGTTCATATGGACTCAAACATCATCAGAATCAATATCGAACTGTACAACGAAATAAAAAGGAACCAGAGTGCCAGGTCGTTAAGAGCGGCGTTATGGAGGTTTGCCGAGTTGGCACATCTCATTAGGTAAATTTGATTAAATAAGGTGGAAAGTTTATTTATTTTTAATTAATTTTTTTTTTAGACTTAGCAAGGCAAAAACTTGCATGCAGAGTTTGGTTGGATGTATAGTAAATATAGCGATGAGAAAAGAAGAAACAGTATTAGAAACGTTAGCTACTTCTATTCCCAAAATTCTCTCATCGCTTGGGTGTTTTCTGACTGACAGTGATGTCAAGGTATATTTTATTTAAAAAAAAGTTTTATTTATTAAATTATTGTCTGCTTTTACAGTTACTTTTAGAAACATTTATGAAAAACATACATAGTGATAATGTCGTCATGAGACGGACAGCGGCTAGCAGCATACTTGGGATTTGTTTACACTGCCCGAAACGACAATTTTTCATAATCCACACACTTAGCACTTTGCTAGGTATATTTTGCCATAACGATCTTATCTTTCTTTTGTATCTTTTTTTAAAATTAAATTTTAACAGACAGCGTACTACCGTTGAGTGACGACCACAGTACATATACAATCTTAGGCGTTTTAAATTGCATACGAGGTCTTATCAGCCACTTGGAATCTGATGGCAAGGAAACGTCTCTCTATGGCAGTTTTGGTGCAAAAAGAAAACACAATAAACAAGTGGTCTTATCAGTTGATTCTGTTATTCAGGTGAGTAATGATCAAAAAATAAAGCAATAATCAAAAACTTCAGCTTATATTAATAAATAATTAAATAAGTTATGCTCTGTGATAAAATTTCTTTTTGTGCCTTGCTGTCCAATGTGTGTAAAGTGAATAGTCCAATGATGTAATATAGTTTTTATTTTTGAAATAGATCTATGAATTGTGCCTTTATTGGACGCATCACAGCGATCACAATGTTGTCACATCTGCACTTGAAACGCTGAATGAGCTTTTGTCATCTCCACCATCCCAGTTAGTGAAGATCCTCACTGACAATCAAGGTCTTGAACGTTCGAGGATACACGTTGCCTCTAATTGGAAACTTACAAACAGAACCTTGAGTATGTTTTCAATATGGCATTTTAAAACAATTTTTCACAAAATAAGTTTCTAGTTTTTTTTTTTCAAATTGATTACAATTTTTTATTCTTTATGTTAATTTTTTTTTCTCTTAGGTGAATTGAGTGTGGCCACTGCGCCTTTGCAAGAAGATCATCTACTTATGGAGAACATAGATTTTTCCCCGACAACAAATTTATCTGAATGGCTGCAGGACGACGACACAAACGGTTTGAATCTGCCAAATACACCTGGCTTGGGAAGCATCAGCCCAAACCCTACACTCGATTTGATTCAAGGTGATAAACTTAATTAAGCCTAAGGTTTAGGTTACAGTGGTTGCGAGTTCTGACATAATTTTGTTCTGATGAGTACGTCCGAAATCCATGTCAGAACAATTTGGTAACATAGTGCGCGTTTTCTGATAGTCAGTACGTTTCTGCCTCCCAGCAAAATGGTTGAACTAAATGAGTTTTAGTTTCGTGAAAGTCCGTTGATTAAGTTATTGTTGATAGCTGGTGGGAAAACCAGCATGTTAACCACTTATTTTCCACAAGAGACGATAAGGAGAGTCAAACTTATTGCTGATCCCTTAAAAAAATGCAGCACTAATCCATGTATGTTTAGTGATCATAATTGACGACATTAATTAAAGTGAAATTTGCAAAAGAGTAGTAGGTGTCCGAGAGGATCGAAGTCACTATAGCTCAAGTGGCGTATTGAGCCGAAGGTCGTGGTTTCGAATTCCGCTCATGACCCTAATTTTTCATCTCAACCAAAAACCTTAAATAAAAAGAATTATTCATCAGAATAATTAATATGGTCAATTATGACCACTAACCAAATATGGCCCATTGCAAGTGTTGATTTCTTGAGCAAATTTCTTTCACTTTGTCCTAGATATATCTCTGTTGTGATAGTTTTTGCCTTTCACGTCACAGAAACACCGATTCGCAAACACAAGACAAATTAATTTATCAATATCCATAGTGTAATAACTGAAACTCTTTAAATTCAATGTCAGAACACACGAAAAAATCAAACTCGTCAAATGGTTCTGACGACATCGTGCATGTTCTGACATGCACTTGCATTGGAAAACAAGTATTTGTTTGAACGAACTCGACAGAATATATTATTGTCGGAATTCGCATCCACAGTAACCGTAGCCTAATTAGGTTAAAAAGTGATCAATATTTACTTTTGTTACACAAAAATGTAGTGAATTTAGTTTTTAAATATTTTTAGAGCTGGTGTCAGCCTAAGGACTAATAATATTTGTTTTTGCTTATCATAATGTAATGCTAATTTGAACATAAAGTATGCACATACAAATCTTTTTAAAGTGTTTATAAGTAATTATATTTTTAACCATTTTAATCATCGTTTTTATTGTCTAAAAAATAGATTATCCTGACAGTGAGTCTGTTACAAGCGAAGACCTTGGAATGTTGTTGAAACCCCATAGGTCTAGATCTCCTGAACCTGACATGATACCATTAAGGGACTCGCCTTCGCCTCCTTTAGAAGTGCAAAACAACATGGTAAGTTGTTGCGATAAGGTGTCAAAGATATTTTATTTTAATTTCTTCCATCTTTGAAGGACTGGGACATTGGAGATGCCGTTGAAAGCAATCAATGCCCTCTTGTTTACTGTGCACGACGTCTTGTTACAGCTTTTTTGATACCCGAATGCTGTAACGCTAGGGTGTCAGTTAAAGCTCTCGCTCTCACTTGTCTCACGCAAGTTGTACGACTTAACCCACATGTCTTTCTCCAAGAGGTTGACAAAAATGGCCTTTCGACTCTTCAAGGTTGTATTATTAATCACATATGTCTTAAGGAAAATTAAATTTTATTTATTTTTAGGATTTTCTCATATCTGTGATGTTTTCTGCTTTGCAAATCACACTGACCCTCAGTTAAGAGGGCTTGTTCGAGTCTTAATAGGCACATTTATAAGTTCTATGTATAATAAAGGATTGACTGGCGCCAAAGACTGGTTTTCTAAAGACGTTACCTTGAGTGAAACAAAAAATTTAAATTTAGAAAAGTTGATTGATTTTTTTATCGAAGTAGGTCTATAGAAAATAACTATTAAAATTTGTATTCTAATGAGCATTAAATATATGGTTTTCAAGGGTTTAAGTGATGAATCATCAGTGTGTGTTCGACACACTCTAACTGGACTAGGACTTTGTTTAATAAATCTCATGGAGAACATGGATTTCACAGTGTGCACACCCGTTTTGGAAAAACTTTTAGATCTCGCCTACAACCCATACTGGCTGGTCAAGGTAAACAATGAGAAAAACAATTTTGTATCTGCATTTCAGTATGTACATTTTCAGGTGAAATTAATAGAATTGTTGTGTATGCTGCCATACCAATGTATATACTATATAACAGGAAATAATAAATATCAGACTAGAGTGTTAGATAGCGTTTTGGAATTGTTGGCGAATGAGGATGACAGAGTTAGAAAAACTACTGCAGAAGGTGTCATAAAGTAAGCCATACTTTTATTCATTTTGATTATATATTCATTTTATTGTATTTTTTCAGCCTTGTAAAAAATTTATACTTTCCTCTTGATTATGGGCAAAACAACGTCATCGTCGCAAGAGGTGCTATGTTAAGCCTGAGTACTTTCGCGAATGTTTACAACATGGAAAAAGGTTTGTACAGTAAATAATAACATTTTTGAACGATTTACAATGTCATTCCTGACTTCTAGGCGAAACAGCAAAATTAAAGAAACTAATGACGGAAAATGTCCTGTCCAGAATGGTCCAGATGTTAATACAACATTTGTTAGCGTCTCCTTTAAAATATTTTTCGGTGAGATCTAATAAAACCAGATTATATAACAAAATATATATATAATCAATTTGTTTAGTATGGATGCATTGAAACATTAGCAATGTTGTCACAAGTATTCAGCCCGACTGAATACCCAAGAGGTTGGCAGCTTTTGACTAATCTTGGAGAGCAAAAGGATATTTCTAGGTGTGTTACATATTATTTATTTATATTTTAACTTTTACAAATAGTCCTATTAATTATTTGATTTTTCTATAATGAAATATTGTTTCCAGCACTATTCTAACATCAAGTAATCTTTTCTTGTTTGGAGTGACATTATTGACAAGTTCTTCCATCTCACTAGATTTAGAATCTCATCAGTGGCTTCTAAAACTTGTCAGCAATCTTTTCACAGGTACATATTGATATTTCGACAAGTTTTGATAATTTTCTTTTTCTTTTTCTTTTCTTTAGGCTTGGCTTCAAATGGTCTTTCCAAAAATGATAAAAAGGTCAGTTTTCTTCTTCTTCTTCTTTTTTTTTTCAATTTAAAATGGTTCATATTAAACAAATTTTTATCACTGACCCATATTCATAACAGTTGGTAGCTGGCGTTGACTCTCTTCTTACGCATGTAATGCGTGTCTTAGCTATTTTTGTTCAAGTTATGGAAGAGAACACACAGTCGAGGTCTTCTGGAACTTCGCCACTGAGGAGGAGGACATCAAGAGCTGCATCACCTACAAAAATATCAACAACAGGTATATACTAAAAAAAGTAATCATAAGTTGATTGTCTCCAATCATGCTGGTCTCTTAATTCTTGTTGGTTTTATCTATGCTGCATTTTGGCATTCTGTTATTTTCAGTAGTCTGTTGGATTGTCTGACAAACAAGTCAGGATGATTATACATGAACAATTTCATCATGGCAGATATTTTACAAATAATATACATTTTTTTAAAAAGAATTTGTTTTTGATGTTTTAGATAAGGAAGGTAAAGAAGAAAAGAAGCTAGTAGTGGGCCATTATGGTTCGAACCCTCATTATATGAAACTTTATGATATTGTTCGAGCTGGATACACAAATTATAAGGTCCTGCAGTTTTAATTTTACACTTAATAAATAAAATTGAATGTTCTTTTGTTCTCAATTTCAGTTAACTCTAGAGTTTGCAGCCAGTGAAAAGTTTCTTAATTTGATCTGCTATACTCTAAAATGCATGGAGAAACTTGCAGAAAATCCCTTCTTAATTGAACTGTCTTCGGTGATGGAGGAACTGCTGCAGTATCTTAGAGTAACCTTTGTCCTTGATTCAGCTGCGACAGTGAAAGTGGTCACGCAGTTGATTAAAAGCTGGCGCCCGACTCAAGAACCACAGAAAGTCTTGAAAGAAGAGAATACTTATGCGAGTTTTTCTGGAGGTTTTTACACCTACATTCTGCAAAAGCCGGTCCAGGAACTTTCTTTTTACCTTTCTAAAAATTATGAGCTTCAGGAGAATCCTAATTGGTAAGTATGTGATTTTTTGGAGACATTTACCTCATGCTACATATAAATATTGTAGGAAAAAACAAGAAAGTGAAAAATCTTTAGACGAACCACAGTATAATGTTGAAGAATTAAAAAGAAAAATCAACCTATTTACAGCTATTGTAATCCAGTCTTTAACAGTAAGTTTGGTTTTATTATGTATGTATGTGTGCATAATTAATGAGACAACTGTATTTACATTTTGTAGGAATATATGGTTACAAATAATGTAAAACTTCAAGTTGAAGTTTTAACTCTTCTGATTGAGTTAGTTAAGCTTAAAGTCAATTATTGCCTTCTCGATGCTGGGCTGGTATTTTTGAATTTTGTGAAAGGCCAATTGGAATATCTCGAAGCTGGCCAAATCTGGTACAAGAACATAAATAATATAATATATTAATTCAAATTCATTTTAAGTTTGAACATAGAAATACTTTTTTTCACTTCAGTCAAGCCGAGTTACTAGTCCCGCAGATTTTCACATTTCTTGTGAACCTCTTGAACAAGCAAAACCAGGCAAAAACGAACATTGGAGTGCCACAGATCATCCAGATGTGTGATGGCTTGATGGCCAGTGGGCAGAACCCCGTCACACACAGTGAGTAAACTGGGTTGTCTTCACGGAAAATAAATTAATTTGAAACTTTTACAGGTATTCCAGCATTGGGCCCTGTCATTCATCACGTTTTCATGTTTAACACGACAGACATGAATGATGAAAAAGAGCTGGAAACACAGCGCGAAGTTGTTCTCGCTATGCTTATCAGATTAGCAGAATACCCTCAAGTATTCAACATTTTCTCTTTATTTATTTTTAAAATTTTTTTAAAAATAGTTCCTTTTTTACTTTAAATTTGTTTTAAGGTTTTAGATATGATATATAAGTTAATGAAGGAAGGGTGGAAGTTTGAAGAACACTGGAAACGTTGGTATAGGCAAGTTGTTGATACAATACGTCCTCTTCTTGCTGAGGGTCGCCTTCTTATAACTGACTGCAGTACACTTCACGCCTTGCTATCACTCAACAAAAGCTTCAGCGCTCCATTAAACAACATACTTGCCCTGCTTTTTACTCACCAGGTAAAATCACCGATCAATGATAGTTTTTCAATTTATTTATTTGGGCTTTTATAGCAAGAGGGCCAAACTCTAGAGCAATGGTTGGGAATGCTGACGACAATGCTATTTTCAATTTGCACTTATAAAGAAGAAAGAGTGCTTCTACAACTCGAAGAGATGAATCTTTACGTCAGGGAGGAAGGGGACGATCCTTTAAAAGTAAACACAATTAGCAAAACTATCGCTCCCCAACACCTTCTTGCAAAGTAATTACTAGGTATTTTAGTTTACAAAGTTTTTTTACAAACAATTTTATTTGTTTTTAGGCTTTTAACAAGAGTAATTCACACTTGTGCACTCAAGATTGAAAATATAATATCGGGCAAAATTGACGGAAATATAGTTGATCTGGAAAAGATATTTTCTAATTTTTTCCTTTGCTGTGTTCTTCTTTTACAGCCTGGTAGTTATTTTAAATTAAAATGTGTTATATTAAATTGTGCAGTGTTATTGTACCTTGTATCACTTTTAAGGTAATTACAAGGAGGTGTCAAAATCGTTATTGACATTGTTAAATTCCAATACTGAGCTTCAAGAGATGCATAAAATGTTTGTTGGGATGGCTTGTAAATGTCCGATGATCACTCTTTTATGGGCTGAAATACTTGTTCTTCTTGGGATCGGCAATATTGAACTTTGGTCGGAGCTTATAGTAAAAAAAAGAGGGTCCCATTCTTTGAATTATCACGTTGTTAAAGAAGGCTCAGTTATTCTCTATTGCAAATATTTGGTAAGTGGGTATTCTAAGCGTGTAAATCAGAATGACTAACGGAATTTGTTTAGGCGAGCCGTCCTGATGATACTAAGTCGCTGAGATGGTTGCTGGACAACCATATCGAGGATGTTGTCAGCAACTGCGAAGAGCAGCCTATTGTAGAAATGCTCAATTCTATTTATAATATAGAAGAAAACAGTAAAATCCTCCTTGACGCTTTGTCTACATGCACATTGGACGTTCAGGTAAAAATAAACAAACTAAAATTTCATTATGACTTAAGATAATAACATGAGACTAATTTTTGATCTCAACAAATCAACTTAAAAAATAAGAATGAAATATGACCCATGGCTAATTATGGCAATTGATGCTGCAATTTTCAAGAATTGGCAGAAAAGGGAAATTCTATTAATGTCAAAAAACCAGGCACTCGTATTTTGTATATTGTAATACAACATATGTAAATTATATGTATTTTTATCATTATATTAATTACAACATACTTATTTTAATGTATTCTAAATTAAACTAGATCAGAAATTACTGGGGTTTTAATAAATGAAAGTAAATTCACTAAAACACTGAAAAATCATTTATTGATAGGTTAAAATTTAACAGTTTATTATCTAGCTTTCCTCTTAATAATGCAAACTATGTCTTTTGATCTCATGAAGGACCTTAATTCTCGTTGGCATGGTGTAAATAAGCAATCAGATTTTGTCTGGAAACAGAATCCCATTCTTCAACCAGAGCAATTTGAAACTGTTCACTGCTTGTTGTAGGTGGTGAACGATGTCTTAAACCCCCCCCCATCTCATATCCTGTATCGTAATCTCATCATATCCTGTAAGTGTTCTATAGGGTTCATTTCAGGAGAACATGCTGGCCAATTCGTTGTGGTAATCCCTGTATCCTCCAAGTAATGGGTGACAACTCGAGCTACATGTGGTCGAACATTACTCAATAATGTTTGGTGATTAGTGACCGTTAATCGATAATTATTCAGAAATCGTGAGATGTGGTCTGGTGTGATGTAGGTTTCAGAAAAACATTTTCTTTATCTTGCCAACGTTTTGATCTTTATTGAAATCATCTTCAGGGCCTGGGATTTACAAACATTGTTTACATTTAACAAATACATTTAAGATGTGGAAAAGTGGATTTATACACTCAACACTAACACCATCCACTATTACTAACAATACTACATTAAGTTATCAAATACAAACAAACCAGCATACATCTCCATGCTATTTATTCAAGGCCTATCTCATAAATTAAACACATTTCTCTCGCCCGATAACTTCAAAATAGCTTTCAAAAATTACAAAACAATGCAAACACTTTTTTCCAAAATTAAAGAACCCACACCAATAACAAATAAATCTGACGTAATCTACAAGATCAACTGTTTTAACTGTCTGGCAACTTACATCGGTCTTACATCCCAATATCCAGACAAGAGAGTAAAGCAACATATCTATGCTTGCAAAAAATCCAAGCAAAATCCTACAACATTCGCTACCCACCATTTTGAACACCAACACAATTTCGACTTCAAAAATCCAAAAATATTACCTACAGAACAAAACAAACATAAACGTAATTTCTTAGAAATGGTTTATATCAACAGAGATAAACACAGCATCAATTACAGAACAGATACATGTAAACTCAGTCGCAGCTACGCCAATATCATTAATCAAATTCAATATAGATAACATACATATATCATTACATTACATTCCACACACCAAATATTTTTCACATAGTCTAATTGTCCAACAATTTAGCTTTCCTTTTCCTGTTTATCCCCTTTCTATATAATCTTGAAAGGATAATCTGACCGAACTATTACCAACACATTGTTCCCCTTTGTCCGCTCTTTTCACTTCAAAGAAGCCGACGCCTTACACAAAATTGTCTTTTATATACCGACTTCCTTCCCCACCCCTTCAAAATCCAACGTATATAAACATAAAACAGCAAAATCTCACTGGCACTCTCAACACAACAAGAATGGCACAATTACACAGAAGACAAACTCTTTGAATGAGTAGAAATACTTTGATTGAATATAAACAAATATATTTTGCATTGTATAAATTCACTTTTCCACATCCTAAATGTATTTGTTAAATGTAAACAATGTTTATAAATCCCATGTCCTGAAGATGATCTCAATAAAGATCGAAACGTTGGCAAGATAAAGAAAATGTTTTTCTGGAACCTACATCACACCAGACCACATCTCACGATTTCTGAATAATTACTCAACAAATAGAGGGAATGGGACTACATCTTAAAGAAGAGCTTCCTCAATGTACCTTACTGCAGTCAAAGATCCATTGTGTATAGGTGTTGATTCCACCCATACCAATAACCGACTTGCGTTGAAAATGCTGAGACTCACGCATGGCACATGAAGTAAAGCATTCTCCATGTTTTCTCCATTGGTTGTCTGATTGCCATAAATCCAACCGGCACTCATCTTTGAAGGGAACAGCCGCCCTCATTGTTCCTGTATCCAAGCGAGATACTGATGCTACAGTAGGTAGAGAGATGTGGGACATCTAGAGACTAGGCTTTTCTCACGAAGCCTCTTGATGACTATTTTAAAGCTCACCCTTACATTATGGACCGTTTGGAGTTGACATCAAGGAATCTGTTAAATGAAGATTCCATAGTGCGATAAGAGCAATAAAATTATTTTCTCTTGCCGTCATACATCACGGTCGACCATTACCTTCTCCTCGATCGAACCGCTGTAGAGAATTGTAAATGGTAGAATGACAGAGCATTGCACACCAAGGACTCACTCAACAAGCTGGCTCTGGAAATTATGAAATTGAACTGATTGTCTTTATTTTTAATCTGAAGAGTGTAAAAGGATTAGTAACACTCTACAATGATAAAAACATGTTAATGGTGGTTTACATTTTAAGTAAATATTAATCTTTGAAGTATTGATGATGTGTAATGTAGTCAAATAGTCCTTTTGTTTTTATTTCTCTTTCCACGATTTGTTCCAAATAAAAACAAAAAAGGACTATTAAACTGTTAAGATTTAACCTAGTTATTATGGATAATAAACAAATAAATACAAGTGTCCGGTTTTTTATGTTTTTGAGTGTATGAATAGTTGTAAGTTAAGGTGGGAAGTTGGTGTTTTGAAGGACCAAATGTCACAATAGCTCAATGGTACTGGAGTATCTATTCAAAAGTCGTGGATTCAAGTCCTCATGACACTAATTTTTCATCTGAACCTTCTTTGCATAAAAATTAGTATAGCAGAAAAATAGCAACAAAAAGATAATAACTTGAATATTATCTTTTTAGCCTGTATTTTCTCATAGGTTGTTACAAACGTTAAAAAACGTCCATTCAAAATATACTGGGTCTGTCTTGTGTCTAGTCGCTTCATTTTTAACGGAAAATAAAAACATTGCAATCGCACGACTTTCAGCCGCATTTTGCAGTAGGTATGCACTTTTGTATTAACCGTAGTCAATATTCTTATATTTTTTACATTTTTATTTATTTCATAAACTACATTTTATAGAACAATTGAGTATATGTTGACACTGGACAACAGTTCGGTAGAAGAGTTACTAGAAAAGGATAAATTAATCACTCTACTCAAAAAATTATCTTCATGTCCAAAACAGTATAAAAGGTTTGTTTAAATAAATTATCACTCTTCAAATTTAATTTATTTTTGTTAACTATTCCAGACACAATGCGTTAATAAGCCTGTTAAAGAAACTCGGTGAACAAGTGTATGGTATCACAACCTTGGATTTTGAAACAAAGCCAACGATTAATATGGAAAATATCTCTTCAGTGAAACTTGATAAATCGTGGCTTTTGAATCAAATCATTAGCAAGTATGTTTTATCACATTTGCTTTATTTCTATTTTTTTGTGTGCAAAACTATAAAAAATCTGTATAAATAGGTGCAGTAAAACTGTGGATTCTGATAGAAGAAAGTGTGCAAGGCTTTTAAGCATGCTTGGCGTCGAGGAGTTAAAAGTTGTCATGTCTTCGAGCAGCTTTGATACAAACATTCTGCAATATTGCTTTATCATTGGAACTCAATTATCTTTGAAGGTAAGTGCCATATTTGATAAATATTGAGTTATCAAATAAGTTTGTAGCATTTTTTGATGGTGAATTCAATGAAAAATTTTGCATACTTGAGCTGGGCTACTAGCCAACTCTGCCCTGGGTCTTTTGGGAAGACCTCGATGTGTTAGCCAAGTCGTCTACTCTGCCATACCTTTACCGAACTATGTTCTTTGAGCTTAGATCGAGGTGCGCTGGTTTTCGGCTCATCTTTACAAACAGGTCTAAGACCAACGAAGGTGTGGCATGTGCCTGGGTACTTCCTGGTCGCTCCATCCCACTAGCGTTTACAAGGCAGAACTGTATGCCATTTGGCACGTGCTTGGGATGATTCGAGATGATGGTGGCTTTGCCTACCTAGTCTACACTGACTCCCTCAGATTGGTTGCTGCAATCCGTGACAGGTTTTGTGTTGACCCTCTCATAGTGCTTTTGTTATAGAGATACCACGAACTGGAGCATTGGCAAATTGGTGGTTGGTGTCTGGGTACCTGGAGGGTAATGAAAAGGTGGGCGAGGCGGCTAAGGATGGGGCGCCCCAATCTCAGGACGACCATTGCGATCCAGCCCTCTGACACTAAAAATGCAATAAAAAACCTGATTCAAAGAAGATGGCAGTGTCAGTGGGCTGGACCGACAGAGAAGCCTCGCTTATAAAGAGCACTGTCGATGGGTGCCCTTCAGAGGATCTGACTCGATTAAGAATAGGCCATGCAAGGTTGACATAAGGACACAGTAGTGACTGTATTCAAGAATGAAAGTGAGAACGAATGGGATTAGAACTGCATGTGTTGGGTGCTAAATTGACTTAGCTGTTGACAGTTGTTTGCAGAGCCTACAGAGAGATGAGTAAAAATCTGAAAAGGCAATACCAGGCAAATACAGTGGGTGGGGTAGCACATTCCAAGCAAGCTCCAAAGAAGCTGACAATTCTGCAAAGACAGTGGAGACGAGCATTGGTGAAAAATAATTGCCTTGTATTGGGTTGTCCGGAAAATAATGCAGGATTTTGGTATTAAACAAAAAAAAAGAAACTAGTTACTTTAAAGCAATGTTCTTTAATCAAAATAATTTCCCATACTCTCAATACATTTCTCCCAACGTGTTGGTAACTTATTAATTCCGTCTGAGTAGAATTCAGAATTTTTAGAATTGATAAAGTCAATAAATGCATTTTCCAGTTCCGTTTGATTTTTGAATATTATGTGTTGTAAGTAGTGGTCCAGGTGTCTAAAAAAATGGTAGTCAGTAGGCGAGAGGTCCGGAGAGTAGGGTGGGTGAGGCAAAGTTTCATAGCCAAGCTCCAATAATTTTTGTGACGTTACACGTGACACATGTGGTCGAGCGTTGTCATGCAACAAAATGGGCCCTTTCCGATTGACCAAAGAGGGCTTCATTACTGCCAATTTCTGATGCATGGTATTAATTTGGTTACAGTATGATTCAGCATTGATGGTTTCGCCAGGATTTAAGAAGCTGTAGTGTATTAAACCAAATGAAGCCCACCATACCGTAACCATTACCTTTTTTTGATGAGTTGGGGGCTTTGGAGCTTCTCCTTTGTCGAGCCACTGTCCAGAACGTCTAGTGTTATCGTAGAGAATCCACTTTTCGTCACATGTAACAATTCTGGCCAGAAATGGGTCATTTTTGTTTCGACAAAGAAGTGATGCACAAACATCAAAGCGCTGATTTTTTGGCGATCGTTTAATGAGTGTGGAACCCAATTTTCGAGTTTTTTCACTTTTCCAATCGCCTTGAGGTGGTCAGCGATGGTCGTTTTACTGACTTTGAGTTGCTCTGCAAGTTCTCGAACAGTTGTTTTGGGGTTTTCTTCCACCACTGATCGCAGAACATCATCATTAAGAGAGGAAGGCCTTCCACGACCTTCTTCATCTTCAAGGCTGAAATCTCCCTCCCGAAATTTTTTAAACCACCTTTGCACAGTGCACTCATTAACACAACCCTCGCCCCAGACTTGGTTAATGTTTCTAGCCGTTTGGGCTCCGCTTCGGCCGAGTTTAAACTCGTAAAAGAAAATCGTACGAAATTCTCGCTTTGACATTATAAGGATGACTGAATTATTTCCAAGTAGCGGAATGCTACAGAGGTAAACAAACAATATCATTTGGAAGAGGATTAATAAGTGTTGACATTCATACAAATGAGTAATCCTGTAAACGTAAACAGAATATTTTATATAGATTTTTTTTAATGAAAACTTAAAATCCTGCATTATTTTCCGGACAACCCAATAATTAATGAATGCTGGTCATTTTTAGTCACTTACTGGCTTTAATCACTCCCATTGTGTGCAGTATAAACTAGAATATTATTAGTAGTTTGGTTGGGCATAAGTAGCAAAAAAATATGTGGTTTGCAACAGTAGAGGTCATATGTGTGTCAGGTTCGAATGCAGGGCCAGGGATCCTGGATTTGAACCCAGACCTGTAATGAGCACCGTGGCGATACGTTAACCGTTGTGGCCGCCGATGCCTCTCTAAGAAAAGTCCAAGAACTTTTGGAGTTGTTAAAAGTGAGTAGCTGCATTTTCCCCCAGATATTCCTCTCAGAACATTGTTTAAAGAACCCTCTTTTCATCAACAGTTATCAATCTTTTTTTGTATAAATGGGTCATTTACGTTGCCTTTTAGGTAGGAATCGCAGATGGAAATGAGGCCCAATCATCTCAGTCAACATGAGAAAAAAAAAAATATATGTATTACTCTTTTCACACACCTGCCATCTATCTTGATAAATTGAAATGGTTGAAGACCTTCGATCCACAAGTTTGTTTATTTGAAATAAAAAGTGTATAGAAATTAGTGACCGTTAATCGATAATTATTCAGATATCATGAGATGCGGTCTGGTGTGATGTAGGTTTCAGAAAAACATTTTCTTTATCGTGCCAACGTTTCGATCTTTTATTGAGATCATCTTCAGGGCTCAAAGTGTTTGTCTTCTGTGTCGAGAGTGCCCACTTTGAGCCCTGAAGATGATCGCAATAAAAGATCGAAACGTTGGCATGATAAAGAAAATGTTTTTCTGAAACCTACATCACACCAGACCGCATCTCACGATATCTGAATAATTATGTAATGAAAAGGTTGGCATTCATATTCCTCTTAAAAGGTTCATGCAAATGGGTATCCTGGAGCTTTTTTTTTCTTAACTTTGCTGGTTATTTATTAACCATAGAGTACTGGGGAGATGGCGCAATGCCAGGGAGCTACAGACCCGGCTTCAGCAGACAAGCCTGGGATATAAGCAGGTTTACCTTCCATATAAAAGCTAACATTTATTGCCTAAAACATCGAAATATCCAAAGTTTACATCACCTAGACCTCATGAGCTGATCATGCTCATGGAACCCTCTGCTCTCCCCCTGAAGACCCTTGAAGCAATAAAAATAAAAAACTATATTCCACTACTTCTTTTTTCTTCGTCTGTACTTGAAATTTCAAAAACACACTAATCTAAATGGATATATTTTATTGTTGTTTAGCAAAGCATCAAAGATGCAAATTGTGTATTGCCCGAATGTGTTGTCCCACTGTACGATTGTGCACGTACTCTTCTGTTGGCTTTGATTGCAAAAATATGCCGTGCTTTGCCTTCAACAGATGAGGTAAAGTTCATCCTCAGCATAAATCGCTCTAAGTATATAATTTGTATAAAAAATTATTTTTTAAGGAGATGAAACCAAACAAAGGGAAACTAAACAACATACTTTGTAAAACGAATCTAAAAACTGATGTTATGCCAGTTGTGAAAGGACTTATAAATTATTTGCAATCTTTTAAAGATTTGCTAAAAGCTAAGGACAACATTTTGAAAATAATTCCAGAAAAACAGCCTCAGAATCTTATGAGATTTGGCATGTTTTGTTTACAGGTAATTAATTTTTTTAAATCTTTCAATGTCAAATAATTAAGAAAATAATCACAACATGTGTTTTAGGTGATACACTGGAAAATTAAAACAAACGTTAAAAGATATGATGAGTGGCCATGGATGCTTGAAAATTTGCTGGAGTGTGCTTCAGCTGTATTCAGCATTGACATATTGTCCTCTCATTTAACAATAAACAGCATATCCTGCGTGTCCGCTTGTTTATTCGATTTGCATAAATCTGTATGCGGCAAGGACATCCCTTTCAAAGACTTGAGATCTGACTGTGGTATGAGTTATGATTTTTTTGTTATGCTTGAGAAATAATAAAAATCAATCTTTTGTTAGATATGGAAGAGACTAAGGATAATGACGAGATAATAAACTCTTCACTTCGAGTTGCTTCCCTTGTTTCGTCTATTGATGTTTTAACTTGTTGTCCCAACAATATTTATAAATGCCTAAGGTTGTTGAATTAAACAATTTATGGGAATGTTCACGTGTAAAAATAAAATATATTTTTAGGTCAATAATAATTTCTTTGGGTAGGCAGCAGAAAATAAATTGGTTTTGTAGAATACCTGTAGAAGCTTGGCAGTTTCCAATCGATGGTGACATTCCTCCTCCGATCCCTATGCATTTACTTCATGATTCAGAAATTCTCAGTCAGATTGTCAACAGGTTAAATTGCACCTTTGTTCACGTACTGTAGATCAGTTAATAAATTTTTCTTCTAGGATGTGTCTACTCGGTTGGACTGGGCGACACCAGTTTGAAGAAATGTGGGTTTGTCTTCTGAGCGCACTGAGCCCGAATCCTGACTTGGACAACACAGACCAAGAAGAGATATCGTCGATCATGCAGGCCAATAGTCTAGCCATTGATGGGATAACTTGGCTGGTTCTGAGCACTTTGTCGTCGGTTGGAAGCAACTCATCTGATAACAGACTGCTTCATGTGCCAAGACTGCCAAATGATAAACTTTACAAACTAAGGTTAAAATTTTTTAAAAAATAAATCAGTGAAGATATAAAATATAAAACACATCTGATGGACAAAGTGCAAAAATAGGCAGACAAGAATGATCAAGGATGAAAAATGTTGGCAATGTAAACCTATTTTCTATTTTTAAAATTTTAGATATTGGAAGCGTTTGGAAGAGATGAATGAGATTCTTTGCTGGAAAATGAAATCCTTGGCGAATGAAGATAAACCACAATTGATGCGAGTTGATAAAAGGCCTAATTTAGAAAGAATTCAGGATTTTACAAGGTACAACATTTATATTTATATTTTCTGTCAGTGTTTCAGTTGCATCTTATTTCTTTAGATATGGATTTGGACAGGTTTCCATTTCTTACCTCCAGGCTCAAATTGCTGAAACAGATACTCAAGGAACTGGTAATACTCATGATTTGAATTATATCAGTATAATGTTTATCAAGTTAACATTTCAGATGATCGAATGCTGGCATCTTTATCGAGGTCTGGAAATTACATCGATATCCGCTCGTGTGTTCAGTTTGTTTTGGATTTATATGGTCAATGGGTTCTTCCTAATGTATGTATTAAAACACAATTAATCTTTAAAAATTTAATTAATTTGATTGGTTTTAAACAGAGTGGAATTTCTCTTAATCTTCAACTATCCATGATCAAATCGGTCCTGTGCCTTTCCGACATGTTCACTGAAAGAAATCATTTTACCTGGATGTTCAATACGTTTATGAATTTGTTAAAAACTCATCCTCATCATGATGAAATTTTACATCAGTACATAATAATCGGGATCTGTAAAGCAGCTGCTGTATTGAATATTTGCGTAATTTAATTTTACTAATTATTCTTTCAAGTGATGATTTGTTGTTTTAATATCCTCAAAATGTGTTTTTATTCAGGAAGATGAAAGAAGCGAAAAAATATTGAAGATATTAGATAGCTCTTTGAAAAGCTCGTTTGTTCCAATGAAAATTGCAGGACTGAATAGTTTATTGTACCTCCTACAAAATGTCCAAAATATAAAGGTTAGTAAATAAAGTTGCATTTGTCAAAATAATTTTTAATTTCAATTGTTTAATTTTGTAACAGAAACCGGAACCGAATGCAGAGGTTCCCAAACTCAGCCCCTCTGACTTTAGAAATAAAATAATCGACATGGCAATTGATTATGTTTATAAACACAGCCATGCAAATGGTGAAGAGTAAGTATTTTAAAAAGATTATCAATAAAATGAATAAACAGTATTGATTTTTAACTAATTTTAGAATAACTGATGAAGACTCTTTACTTTTACTTGCTCTCGTTGTGTACCTTCTGGAAGTATTTCCAGAGGAGAGCATTGACAACATTTCAGCACCAACAATGCTAAAGACTGTAATCCCATTCATACAATCGCCAAAGAACAATTTAGTTTATTTAGCAAGCATCCAGGTAGGTCAAAATGTGACGGTTATTTCATCCTGAGATCTGGGTGATAAATCCGTAGTGACTAGTGTGATCATTTCCAATCATCCTGGTCTATCATCACTGCTTTGGTCTTTTGGATTTATTTTTAAAATTTTGGCATTTTCCATGGTGGGTGTTTTTAGTCATATTTAATTGGTGATGAGAAGGAAGTTTTTTTCCAAACCATTAAAATACCTAAATGTGAGAGGATCAGCAAACCAGGATGATCGCATATGACCAAACTACAAAAAATGTGATATTTGATATATATACAATTTATATTTTGTTTTATATTTTAGGGACTGGAAAGATTAGTTTTGGTCGGAAATGCTGGTTTCAATGAACAAATTACAAGATTAGCTTTAGACAGGTTTTCTGATTCTGATCCTAGGATTAGTCTCCCTGCGCTTCAATTGCTTATAGCAAGCATGTACGCTGGTGAGTGATAAAAATATAATTAATTATTAAATAAGATTAAAATTAACTTAATTACATCCCACAGATAAGACTGATAGTGATAGAGGTGATACTGAGCAAAATCATGCTGGCAATTGGCCAATGGAATTAATGGAAAAAACTGCAGCACTTTTTGATAAGTAAGTGCTAAAACAATATTGTAAGTGTTGAGGAAACTCTATATTGCTATTTAGCATTTGTGTTTATTAACATTTTGTGTGAAAAGGAATTAAAATTCAAGAATAAAAAAATAAGAGAGAATAGGATTCATATATCTCACACTCTTACCTTCCTTGGGCCTCCTCCCCTCACAGGGCGAGACTGAAGGAAGGTGGTAAGTACCCCAGGACCCAAAATTAGAAGTAAAATGAGATTAGAGGCCGAGGTCCGCCGGTATGGGTTCTCCCTAAGGTACGGCAGGGAGGTGGAGGGATAAAAAAAATACCTTACACTTTTCTGGACCAATATAATATTTAATAATGATTGAATTACTTATAGTTATGATAGAAACAATTCTTAACTGAAGAAATGAATTTATTAACAATATGTAACTTGACAAAGACTAAACTTGACGACACCAGATTTCACGTACTTCAGCCTTTTCTGATGTTTCAGCATCTTTTTTCATCTGCCTTCACACAATGCTCTTTTTACATTGGATCTAAATCTATTACGTCTTTCTTTTGACCCAATCCTCCTGAAACCTGTGTATAGTTGTCCTCGATAGGACCTCTCCTGAATCAAGGAGCCCTGAGTCCTTTCTTGACAGTGGCACTCTTCCACAACATCTACCCTGTTTCAGAGGGTACACACTGTCTTCTATTTGCTAATCCACTTTTTTTTATTAGTCTCAAATAAGTGTGTAGGGAAGAAAAAGCAATTTTTGAAGCCTGGGTGCCACAAATTTGATATGATAGTCAAAGCTTTTTCTCCTGAGGGTAGATCATGACTTATGTCTACACCTGCAATAATTGGGGATCTTCGGTTATGGAGTTCCTTACCATGGTCAATGAATAGTCTCCCTGCGTCTGGGCTCAAAAGCCCATCCTGTTGCTGCAGTAGCAATGTTTTTTTTCCTGAGAACTTTCCCACTCGTGCTGATGTTTGGCCATTCTTGGACTTTCTACATCCTCCAGGTCTAAGAAACATTTCTTTGTTTCTTTCTGGATTCGTGATTTATCAGATTCGCTCCAGTAAGTAAAAACTTTTATTAGCTTCTGTACAACATAATTGTGTAATGAGGTACAAAATCTTTCTCATTTAACATTGTTCCATTATGAGGGTAGCCAGTAACCATTGTTACTATTTCTACTTTTTTCAATAGTTAAATGTTATTTACTATAACTATGAGGTCCCGGGGTCATATCTGCTTCACCTGACAGTGTCATTATGAAGGGTAAAAGAAAGAAAAAGTAACATGGGTGCATTCGCTGTCATTTACTTTAATACACCTAGTTTAATCCATTTGACTATTCACATGCCTGGACCTCCTCTGAAGCAATTATAGATCAAGTTAAGAGGATAGCGCAGTTTTGTCATTGGCAAAGGAAACAAGGAGGTTATCTGAGATACAAGTTTGGTCTCAGTACACTGCCCTGTGACATTCCTACTCCCAGAGGTCAATATTTAGAGTAGTTTGATCCTTGATCAAATCAGACAGTCAACAATCGGAAGAATCATTCCATTAGGTGGGAGTGAAGGATTAGATACAAATTATTTGGAAGAATATGTTTAGTTGTAAAGGAGATCCACAGTCAAACATGTCAAGAAGAGCCCTCCTCTGTTTTTGGGGAGTAGATATGTTCCCCATACATATCACTCCAAGATATGAGGATTAACTGATCGTTAGAGAAGTAAGAAAAGTAATTGTGTTATATTAAGCGTCCAGTATTTGTTGGGTCAAAAAACCACTTAAACAATAACTTTTACAAATTATTGCGAATTAAAATTCCAAGGTCAGTGTCAGGATTTGATCCCAGAACTGCTAGCATGGCAAATACAAGTCATATGCTCTAACCATTCTGCCCTCAATTGGGATAGGACCAATCCCTCCCTTGGGATACCGGTGCAGCTTTGTGTCTTATAGCGTTACATTAACATTAACAAATTTTATTTGTTTGTGGGTTTGATTCCCACCATCACCACTGAATTTCCTGAGTACTTCCATTTCTCCCAAAAAATATTCTGGCTATGGATTATCAATCAATATGGTTCTTTGGCTAATGATACTGAGGCATAAGGCCAAGTTTTTTTTTTACTCTAACTTTCCAATAAAGCTTACAAAACTATGTTTATCGAAAAAAAAGAAGTATGGCTAGTGATATGATCTAAATATTGAGGAATGATATTTTGTAACAATTCGCTCACATTGTAAAAATAACCATGAATGTAGAATGTAATTATTTTGTTTTTCCACACCCCACTTTGACAGTTATCTTTTTAATGATAAGAATGTAATATTTACACCATTTATTCTGAATTCAATTAAATAAAAAAAAAATAAAAAAATAAAAACTGTAACAACAAACCACACATTGTTGGGAGTTCACTCATTTTTATAGGATAGAAAAATGCAATTAACACTGAAAAGTACTCATGTCATGATGTTGAAAATGTTCTATTAATAAATAAAATTCCACGCAGCAGAATGTGTTCAACAATGTACAATACAAATAATAAAATTATAAAATAAACAGAAAAAAATTTAATAATATTTTTTTTTAAAATTAAAAACAAATTTTCAGAATAAAAAGAGGGTACCCAGTTGAGGTTGAGATTGTTTGTGAAATTCTCCCAGGAATACTGTCTGATTTCTGTCAGGCGTCAGACGTACTAACTACCGTAATCGGGACATTCCTCAAGCCAAACCAGCCTCATAAAAAGAACATGGCTGCCGTGGTTTTCCAAGTCTTCACACAGGCTTGCTCAGAAAAACAGCTGCCGCTACTTCAAGAATGGGTTGTGCATTCGCTCAACAACTTTATCCACAATCTTCCGGCTGTGACAGCAGTCTGGTCTTTGTGCTGTTTTTTCATTAGTGCTTCGTCCAACCCTTGGCTGAGAGCTATGTATCCTTTAATTACAATGACTTCTTAACTACGATTGCTTTTTTGTTTAAATTTCTTTAACAATTAAATAGATTTCCTCATGTCCAGTCAAGAATTAGACAATATGATTATGAAGACAGACAAATATTATGCATTGCAGCTATAGACTTCTATAATCAAGTATGTAAATCTAGTTTTCTATATAGTATTTATCTTTTATTAAAAAAAAAAAAAAAAAAAAATAAAATGGTTTTGTTTTTTCAGCTAAACCCACAGCAGCAAGAGATATTCCGTTCATCGTTTAAGGATGCAAGTTCAAGTCAGAAAACCATCTTTTCTGACATTATATCCTGTCTCTAACTTAACATTTTTAAATTATGGTGCTCATCCAGTATTATTGAGTTAGTTGAAACAATCTGTTCATGTTGTTTTTATTTCATTGTACAAAGGTATAGAAATCTTTATTTGGCCCTTTGTGATCTCCATTGATGACTTCCAAGAGAAATTCTCTGCCAAATGTGAAAGAAAAGAAATGGGTATAAATTTCTGTATGTACATAAATATTTCAAAAAATCTTGTTTTAATATTTTTAAGGAGAGAGTATATAAAAAAAATAGGTTAGTATAAATTATTCACTTTATCAGATTATAAATATGTATATTTTTATGTAAATAACATTTAAATAAAATAAGTTGTTGGTTTTTTAACATTTCGCTCAACTTTTCTTTATTCCACAAACTAGTTCAACTAATTATATTTGTAATCAATTGCCACAGGAACGCTGCTTATTGTGTTTTTTGGTAAAAAAGAGTGTAATTTTTTTTCTTTTTTAAATTTACGTGGTGTGTTTGGTGGCATGTCCAGACTATGCCCATCAGGATGAGATGCTAAATGACCTCTTACAGACCTCTGAATGACATCTTATAGCTCCAACATTATGCAGTGGATCAAGGAGTGATCTACATCCTGAACAGGGCTACTGCATATGCAAGCTGGCAGTGTTGCAAGTACTAATCAGTGCATGGATTTCATGTTTATGTTCGATGAGTTTTTCGGGTTGCTGAATCGTTCTCATAAAGTTCAATCTGACCCTGTCATCAGTTTGAAAATTTTTTTTTTAGTTGACTACTTGTAAGATTTTTTAACAGACTCCTCATAAAGGTGTTTTTTAATTAGGGATGAGGGATATCGGTTGTAGTCCAACAGTATCAGGATGTCTTGCGCCTTAGCCGGCAGGGCTGCCTCTTCATTGCCTTGGAAGCCGACATGCGCTTTTACACAAATCAAAGCCGATTCTTTCCCCTCATAGCTAAGTCGCTTTGCTTGAACCCGGCTCGCATAATCAGCTATGATAAATTCTGTATCGACATGGCTACTGTGCTGTCCATATAAATAACATTTTGGATCCCCGCCGAATTGCACCTGACCTGGGTTAATTCACCACAGTGACCTTAAAATCGTGAGAGACTGGTTATTGAAAAAAGTTTAGAATCTATACTTTCCTGTGTAAATTTTTCATTCTTATAGAAAATGACAGATGAACATATGATGTTTCCAGCTTACTTCAATTGGTATGTACACAAATAATATTTTTATCGCCAAGACAAAAATTGACAGTTGTAAGGTCTTTTATTTCAACGGCGTCAGTAGAATAACATCCATGAGTTATAATGTACTGGCTGATTATATGCACCCTCGACGCCCTCCAGAATCTGGTTTCTATGGACTATTTCATACTTTTTGTAATGTTAGTGTTATGAAGATGTTTATGTTATAAAATATAGAAATAAATACGAAGTAATATTTTTCTTTTCTGATAAAATTTAAAATAAGATCTGTACTGAGAACCTTATTTGCACAGCATTGAGTTTTTCCTTTTAAACAATACTCATTAAATTTGAACTATTTGTTACATAGTTTAGTCAAATTTCATCAAGTTAAATTAAATTTATGTCGATAATGCTTGTGAGTTGCCTAATGATTTGTTTACATACCATTGTTTCATATAAGTTTTACTCTCAGAGATGGGAATTAATAAGTAGCATTAAATTATAGGTCTTTGAAATGGGGTAATTTTTGTCAATATCATTATTTTAGCCATGACATGAAAGGAGTGAGCATCTATTTTCTTGTGTCAACAAATGCTTTTATTTGATATCTAAATGGCTGAGTTACAATACTTATATCAATAGAATTAGAACTAAATTCCCATTTTGCCAATATAGACTGTCTGAGAATGTTCAAAACATTTATTACAATTTTTCTTTTATTTCAAGCGACTAAATGCTTGGAGATTAATATGGACTTCACAATTAATGACCAATTATCCAAACTCGCACATCAAATTATTAGAAATTATTTTGACAAGAATAAATGCATAATAATCATAAAAGAGGATAACTTATTGACGGATTTTCCCAGAGGACACAATGCATTCATGCAAATTTTAACCGAAGATTTGTGTTTTGATGAGCTTGCAAAAAGCAATATTTTACAAGCATTTTCACAAAACTGCTACGGGTTGGGCAAATAAACAAATCTAGATGGTAATTATAATATATAGCTTGAATTTTTTTTTCAGATACATCATTCAAATCTCCAACCCCGAGTGCTTTATGAAAATATGGACAGAAATGCTATATTTGTCAATACAGAGGCCTAATCCTAAAATATTTTATTTGCCAGTTGTAAAAAATGAGACGACTAACATATCGCATGACATTTATTCAATGAGGGAAACTGAAATTTCTGACAAAATTCTTGTAGCTGAATATTCGGCTGACCCAAGTATGTATACTAAAATGGTAATTAATAATATTGTTAAAATTACAAGATAATTATGTATTAATTAAAAATAAATTATTAATTTTTTTTTCAATATCAAAGGGTGTACTTGAATTTGTATGTATATTAAGTACTGATGATATTATTTTAGATAAAAAATAAATAAATAAACAAGATATTATTTTCTAATTGTACTAAACAAAATTATTTTATTTCTTGAGGAAGTATACGATTTTAGGTGTACTCATAGGCATAATGTGTGCTCATGATAAAGGTGAAACATGATTCTGAATTTTAATAATTTTCAGATTAAAAAAACAAAAAAACAGCAAAGAATAGAAGAACAAAAGAACAAAGAATGCAAAGAATATATATATNTATATAGAAATGCTATTTTTCATTTGCAATAAAAAGTCATCTTTAAGGGCTTTAAAAAATGCTTAAAACAAATCCAAATTGGTTAAACAATTTTTTTTGTAACTACTTTATGAGAAATGTTGTTCTCGTAACTTTACATTTATCTTATCTTACTTGCTACAATCCTGCAAATTATTTTCTTTTCCTAGATAAGAAAACAAAAACAAATCAACTGATATATCATAAGTATGAAATACATGCACAACAATTTTTTTCTTGGCTCTGAGAGTCCATTCGCAAAAATATTCTGACACCTATCTATTATTTTTTGAGCTATCACCAAAAAAGGTTTCATTAAAATTGGTGTTCTTCCTTCTTCTTGTAAATCTTGAGGTAGTTTTACAAATCCACGATATCACAAATAAATAATCGCTGAAGTTAGGAAAATATTGAATTATTAGAGACTATATTGTATTATATTTACAACTTAAATTTTAAGTTTTCTTGTTTTCAGAATGGCCCATATCATTATACACAAACAATTTTTTTGATCCAGTGGGGAAACCTGGAAGGGTTGAAAGCATTTTTCTAGATAGATGGAATTTTGAAACAGGGTTTGAAAATTTCACCGATCTATACCCAGATAAAATTCAAAATCTTAGGGGGAAAAGTAATCTACCATTATTTGCAATATAACTCATAACTACTTATAAATTATTTTGTAGGCGTAAGATTGATGGCTTTCAATTATGTTCCATATGCCCACAAAGATCCATATGACGGATTTGAAATTGAATTATTTAAATTATTCTGCATGAAATACAACTGCACATTGGAATTTATCGATGATGGGTTTTTTTGGGGTTCAATTTATAAAAATGGGACGGGGAATGGTAAAATAAACACTTGTGTTTTTATCTTAATTCACTATTGATTAACCGTATTAATTCTCAAGGTATCAATGGATTAGTATATACGGACAAATCTGATTTTGGCGTCGCAGCATATTTCTTGTGGATGGAGGAATTTATGTACATTGATTACTCCCATTCTTATTTGCGTGGCGCTGTGACTCTGTTAGTACCAAAGCCCATTCCTCTTAGCGGCTGGAAAGTGCCTTTTTTGCCCTTTGACATTAAAATGTGGTGCACATATGTTCTCACCATTATTGTTGCTACAATTTTTATGTATTTGATTACTTCTGCAACTATGAAGTATACAAGTAAGTACATTTTAATAATTTACATGATTAACTTATTGAAACGTTTTAAGGATTTAAGGAAGCAATTATAAGGAAGAAACAGTTCATTGCAATAGAAGATAGTCTGCTGAGAATCATTGGAATGTCAGTTTTACAACAGCCATCAATTCCTTTAGTACCACACACGCCCATTAGACATCTCTTCACCTCTTTGGAGATGTTTTATTTCATACTGACAACATGCTACTGTGCAAAACTTTCTTCCTATCTTACTGTGCCATTGTAACTATTTAAATATTTTTAACATGGAAGTTTGACTTAAATGATGTATCTTTGTCTAGATTTACAAAACCTATCGATACTTTTCATGAACTAGCTGCACAAAATTTTCCTTGGGCTGCTTACCATGAAGCTTTTGTGTATGCTTTACAGTTTGCTGATGATCCAGAGGTCAAAACTGTTGTCAACAACTTTCATGTAAGCTTTTAACTTTTACTTTAATAATTTCAATAAAACCATTAATCAATACTTTTTGCCTGAAGTTTTCTCTGTATTATTTGATACTCAAGAAGGTATATTGATCTCCATTAAAAAAAAGAAAAAAAAATCTTTACAGAATTAGCTTTTGTTTAATATCCCTATAAGGTATTTCGTACCAAGAATAATTTGAATTATTCATCAAAGTGTTTGTTTCTGTTTAAAAATGCATTTTCCAACTTCAGGGAAAGTTTTTTTTATGTTTATAGAAAATGGACATGGAGGGACTAAAGGAAGCTGCTAGGTCTGGGAAATATGGACTAACTCTAGAGCGATGCCCGTCAGGTGAAAAGTTTTATAAATTTATACATTCTTTCTTCTCCTCTACTTTGTTAGAAATTTTAATGATCTTTTTTTTCAATTTTCTTTTTTTTTGTATTTGAAAATCATTTCTAGGTCATTACTCTGAGCACGAGCATATAACTTTGGAAGTAATTGACAATTCTCATATTATGGCTGAAAATTTGTTTGGCTCTCCTGTCGTAGCTGTCATTAGGAAGGGTATGGCAGTTTTATGTTGTAGATTTTTTAAAATTTTATTTTGAATTTTTTAGCATCACCTTATAAAGAAAAATTGGACAAATTTATAAGTCTTGCACTTGATGGGGGACTTTTCAAAGCATGGGAAGTTAAAGCAGCACTGCTTTATCTGAACTCTAGGTGATTAATTTCAATTTAATTTATAGTCCTAGACCTATTCAATTTAAAATTAGCAAAAAACATTATTATTTTTTTAATTTCAGGAAACAACTTGCTATCGAACTTTCAAGAAGCCTGACTAGGAAGAGTGAACCTAAAAAATTGACTTTAAATCATATACAAGGCACATTTATTATTTATGGAAGTGGTGTAATTATATCTTTTATGATATTGATCTGTGAATGTGTTTATGGGAAAAGAGAAAGACTCAATCATTGAATACATTTTATTCTTAAAAAACCAACGCTAGCAATGAAAAATTAAGCAAGTACATATGTATCACAATTGTAGATTTATAGTCCTAAAATTAAATAATCTTCATGGATAATTCTATTTTCCGCATAATTCAGTTTGAATTTGGCCTAGGCTTTTTCCTTTTGTTTCGATTACCAAAAAGAAGACGAAGGCCAAGCCGACAAAAGTTGCACTCCCGAATAACCAAAAAGTATAGGCTGTGCCAATATAAAATAGAAGCGGCTGGAATAATTTGGTGACTGCAAATACCATTGTCCAGTTCACTACAACGGCTAGTCCACATCCGACTGCTTTTATTTCTTGTGGGAATATTTCAGCTGTCATTATCCAAGGAATAGGTCCAAACCCAACAGAAAAGAAGATTATATACACAACTACTGACATTAACGGTATCCAACTGTAAGAAGAAACATCATTGCCCCTGTCTTTCATGAGAAAATAAAATCCCAATGCCCATAAAGAAATGGCCATCACCAGCGATGATAGTTGAAGTAGCATCTTTCGCCCGGCTTTATCAACTAACAATGAAGAAGGAATAGTGGCAACTAATTGTGCAACACCTACAATTATAGTGGCGTATTCTGGTTTCAGCGAACTTCCAGCATCTTTGAATATAGATGCTGAGTAAAATGTAACAATATTTATACCTGAGATTTGCTGGAATACCATCAATCCTAAGCAAATCGTCAAAGCCCTTACGCTAGTTCTGTTAAAAACTGCTTGAAAAAATGAAACCTTTGTCTTTTCTTGATTCACAATTTCTTTTTCTATGTCACTGAGTTCTTTCGATACATTATATTTATTTCCTCTTAATGTTCGCAATGATTTTTCAGCCTGTATCTTCTTATTTCTCCTTAAAAGGTACATTGGAGATTCTGGTGCTTGGGAAAATGCAAGAAAAAATAATAAAGGAAGAATTCCGCATGCTATTGAGAGATTATTGTAACATAAAACAGCTCCAGTTACATAAGCATAGACAATACCAAAAACTAGTGATAGCTGGAAAGCTGTTCCAAAAACCCCTAAAAATGCATTAAATGGTTATTTAACAATATTTATTTTTTAATAATTCATCTTTACCTCTTACACTCTTTTCAGCAATTTCAGAAATATATGTAGGTACAAGGGCGCAAGCCGCACCTAACCCGATTCCAGCTACAAACCTTGCAATAAAAAGCCAAGTAACACTTCTAGCAGTAAAAATCAGCAACCATGAAAGGGCAAGAGGTAGTCCTGTACTCAATATAGCTAACTAAATTAAATTAAATTATTAAATAAAAATTTTAAAATAAAACTTTTAAAATAAAATTTTCTAAGTACTTTTTGCCCAATAATATTAGCAATTGGTCCTGCTAGAATCGCACCGAAAAAGGCACCAATAGGCAACAGTGATCCTGTCCAAGAAGCCTGGTCTTTAGTGAGAGTAAAGGGTGAATCTGGAGATGTGAGATAAGCCATAACTAGTGAAGTCCATCCAATCGTTGTACCACCAGAAATGACAACAATACCAACTAAAATAAATTAAAACTATACTGTAAGCAATCACCTGCCAGAGTTTATCAAAATGACTAAAGAATGAATTGTATCTATGTTAATTTTTAATTTTCTTTGTGCTATCATATTTATCTATGCAACATATAAAAACAACTAATAATAATAATAAAAATAATTTTAAAAAAGATATCAATTAAAATTAGTTGCTATTGAGACTTTAAAAAAAATTATTTGTTTTGTAAAATTGATTTTTTAAACTTTTGTTTTTAAAGTGCATCAGATAAGCTGAACTATTAAACAATAATTAATTATAATTATTTGTTTTTATACCTGACAGTGTCACTAAGTACTGTGGAAGTTTTTGCCCTTCTTGTGTACCTGGCGCTTCATCCAGCATACTTTGACTAATTTTTTCCTCTACAATACTGTCACAAAACCACAAAATGAAAGTAGAAAGTGTAACTTTTTATTTAAACGAATGTAATTTAACTAACACTACATTAATTTGTTTTAAATTTTATGCTATTTTATTCCACTTTTCATATCTTTACCTGATATCCTCAAGCTCGATCATCTTGATTGCACACTTTTATGAGGGAAAGAGCAAAACTAACTGGTCAAGAAGTATTAGATAACTTGCTGAGGACATAACTATTGAATTTAGATAAGAAAGTTCAAAGAGATTAATGTGTGTTAGCTGTGTAAATATTCAAATCATTTCAATTCCATCATTAGTTCAAATCAACTTGCTCCAAGTTGATTGAAAAAGATGAAATTTCAAGCTGTTACCTTTGGTACTGCATATTTCTCCTAGTTGCACAACAACTCAAAAATGTCAAAGTCGTTTTTGAGTGGCTAGATAAAACTGATTGAGATCTGCTCAAGTGTGCAATTTAGCAGCGTATTATAATTGCATAAAATGGCCGAGCCCATTGAATTGTAATTGAGAATAATATGAAAAAGTATTGCAAAATGGATTGACCCCTCGTCTGTGATATCTAACAAATAGTTAGAAGTTCCTCTTGGATGACGGGAAGTGTTTTACTTTACTTACTATTAAAAAACTAATAGAAAGGAATAGACTTCTCATGGCATAGATAATAGTATCAAAATTATTGATGCAAAAATTTAAGCAAAATTCAATCATTTGCAAGACTATAATTTTTTACTATTTAAATTTATTGTCATTACTTGATAGAGAGATTTAGTTTATTTATTTTTACCCAAAGTTATGTATTTATTATACATTAATAAGAATGTATTTTTATATATTAATGGGATTGGAGGAAGTATACAAATTTTATTTACAAAAGCGGTTATATTTTAAATTAAAAATTAATTTTAATTCAACATCAAAAAGTCATTGTAGAAAAATTGTTATCCATCGAATCGTTCAAATTTTCTGCCATTTGGTAACACAAACAGCTTAATTAATAAACAATTGTGTGATTTATTTACAAATTAAAAGTTGTAGTAATTAATTTGGCAAAACAAAGGTTTGTAAGATCACAAATCAGAACACAAATAGAAAGTAATTTGTACAATAGTGTTTAGAAATGTCTGATCGTACTAACATAATTTCAGTAAAGACAAACAAAGAAGGTACAAAGACAAGAATGGTATTACAGTAGTGGCATAGTTCTTATTTTGATTCATGTGTTCATGGGCAGAATGATCATGCATGGAGTGGTCATGCATAGAGTGGTCATGGTCATGATCGTGGTCATGGTCATGTCCTTCATGGCGTGCGGAACGTTTTTCTCTGTTGATATTTTCTACTTTTTCTGATTCATTAAGTTCTTTGTCCTCTTCCTCAATCACACTCGCTGTAACTACTTCAACTTCTGCTGCTTCTGGCTGAGGCTCTTGCCTCGCCGATGTCAACTTCGTTGTCGTGTCATTTCCTCTTTGTTTGCTGTCTTCTGATTTTAGAGGTAGTGCATAAGGATTGCTATCTTCTTCACTCTGGGGAACATTTTCAGAATGTTTTGTAGTTGGTGAATCTTCTCCCTTGAAAGGTACATATTGTGCTGTCTTCTCCAATTGTTCAGAACCTCTAGAGTTTAACTTGTGATTTGGTGGTAAGGCTGGAACAGTTTCTTCTGTCATTTGTTTACCATCATAACTAGGTTGATGATTTGGAGAGACATAAAAGGTTTTAGAGTTTTCATTTCCCATTGGTGTTTCATCATCAGGTTCTGATCTAAATAATGGCACATCATTGTAAATAGGTCTTCTTACAACTACGGGTCTGTAAGGTTTACGAATTTTTTTAAGAGGTTCGGTTGTAGCTTTCTTGATATGCTTGATATTACTGTCTAATGGGCTTGGAATAAACATAGGCTCAAACATTTCTGTTTGGGATTTCTGTCCATCAGTATTTTCAACATTGATAACACCTTCATTTCCATCATCGTCATAGTCAACTTCTGAAACTCTTTCTTCTGCAACTGCTTGTGGGGTTTGGATTATAGGTTTGAAACCACTTTCGATTACTAAAGAACCAGGATTAAAACCTGTATTAACTGCTATGGGAAGACGAGTGGTTTGATCTTCAGCACTTTGACTTATCATTTGTGATGGATGCATCTTATGCTTTGTTTTTTCTGGAGAAGGTGTAACATGAGAAGGAAGTGGTTTCTTAAATTTGTGGACATAAATCGGTTTTGGGTGTGGTGCTTGAGCAGGTGCCATTGGTCTTGAAGGAGGCATAATCGGATTTTGTGGTACCACAGGCATTGCACCAATGATAGGTCTTTGGAAATGGTTGGGGTGCATCATAACTGGTCTCTGGGGATGTCTGATAACTGGTTTTTTAATTATCACTGGTCTAGCCTGAGAGGCAGCATGGTGCATCATAATAGGTCTTCCACCAAGGTGTGGAGAATGAGGTTTCATCATTTGCTGTACTGGTCTACGGACGACAATCATCGGCCTCCTATTCACTGGCCTTATGAGACCGTTTCTGACTGGTGGGCCCTTCATTAACGGCATTGCATGTGGGATTTCCATTGATACATTTTGAACTGTCAATTTCACCGTAGTAGTTTCTGGGATATCTTCGACATCTTCTCTAACTGGTATCACATAATCATCTGACATATTGGGTCGTTTTATATTATAAGCCGGTTTTACTATTTTATAAGGGAAACTATTTTTTGTAACATTTTTTAGGTTGGTATCTGCAATTGTTTGTGGAGGGAAATCTGGTTTAACTCTTGTTGTCACCATTATACTTGGCTTTGCTACAAGTTCATCATCAGGAAGAGCAATGCTTGGTACTGGGTTTGATCCAGCTGCAGGGGGTAAATCACATCTGTCATGTACATGGATCTTCCATCCAAGGTATCTATGACTAAAGCACTAAAATAATAAATAAATAAATAAAGATGCATTAGAAATTTTAGTAATAATTAAAAATGCTAAATACTTGGTAATAAACTGTATCAGGAGTGTTCTTATCAGGTGTCCATTGAATGAGCGCAGGCTCTCCATTATCACAAATAAGTGTGAGAGTTCTTTGATATGCACCAAATGAGGCAAAATCACCTGCATCAGGCTTGTTGGGATCAGGAGTCCAATTGCAAAGACGACCGATTCCAGTCGGTACCACATCACCTTTTTTGTTTAATTCAGCACCGGCATAAATATTTACTTTCTATAACAAAAAGTAATTATAAATTATAGGCATTATAGGTGGTGCATCATATTTTATATAGGTTATTTATTATATTATAGCAAGTAATACTTTACCCTTCTTTCTTCAGGAGTCTTATGTTGATACCCTCCGATCGGGTCATCGGTAATGTACATTGGATGGAATTTAGCTGGGACAGATGATTCTGTTCCGCCTTCAACAACGAAATTGTATGTTTTACCTCTTACAACATGTATTTCAGGGATGAGAAGGCCATTTATGTAATAAGCTATTCCCCAGCCGACGTGACCTACAAAAAATGCAAAATTTTATGCTTGCTGAACTTGAACAGTTGAAATTGGTTTGACTACCAGTTATGGCAGGATATCCTCTTTTTCCTCCTGCAGGACCCATTTGTGCATAGAAAACGCCATCGTCTGGTTCATTGCACTGAATTGGGGGAATCACCCATGCTCCATTCTTTAGTGGAGGCACTGGCGACGGTGGTGGTGGTGTTTTATAAGTTGAAGCAACTTCTGTCGTGACCTGTAAAATGTAGATAATGCAGGCAAGTCAAGAAAAAAAACATGCTTAAGTTTACCTGAGGTTTTCTTGATACTACTGGAAGGTTGGATATATTTTCAACATTAGAACTTTCTGCAGTATGGTCCGATTCAGGAATCGGACAATTCCACTTTGGTGGGCGACCAAAGTCAAGGAATACATCGCCTATAAAGTTAACAGTATGGATAATCAAGATCTTTATTTTATTAATTAATTTTTTTTACTTATTAATTAAACCAAGAAATAACAAATAGTTGAAATGAAAATAATTTACCTTTCGAAGTCACTGAATGGTACGACACTTCAAGTTTACTGTTTAATGGACCAACAGCCCATATAACTGGCTGGCTTTTTGTAGTCAATATTGGTCGGTCAAGCCCGTCATGTGCTTTCAAAGGCCTCTGATATGTCACAATGGAGTAGCCATTTACCAAAGCTGCATTCAATAATCTAACATTTTCTGTGTTTGGCTGAAAATTTTAAGATGGAACCATTAAATTTCTAAACAAATATGAAGTTACTACGTTTTTTTTTACCTCTATCACATAATCAGGACAGCTGCCTCTTGTGCCAGCACACTGAGATTTGGCATCTAAGTAATAGTCATGAGCGTAACCGTTGAGTGAGTTTTGATCAACCCAAGCGACAACGACATCCCCACCAACCATAGCACTATGATCTTCCTCTCCAGAAAGACCGAAAGACATGTATTCACCATCTTCTGCAATTGTTAACAACTAATTACGCTCTCTGCATTTAAATATCAACAGTTAAAAATACAATGATTTGTTTTCCATTTAGGAGCTAATGGATTCCAAGACTTGATGGTGTGATATTTGGTTAAGATTTACCTTTCAAATTCAAGTTAACTATGGTCTAATATAAATAAAAGCTCATGATGCAACATTTTTTTACATAAACATTAGACTTTTGTGAGTTTTTGTTATAATTACACCCCTCATTGGGTACACGGTTGAGTTAAGCCCTTTTTATTACACAATTTAAATTTGTTTAAGAAATGTTTAAACCATTTTGAGGTTAGCCCATTATATTATAAATATTCTCTTTGTTTATAAATTGTATAATAAAGGCAATGTTTCCATTATTGTAAAAGTTCTAACACAATTTAGATACTGCTGTGGATGAGATGTTAGCGTCCAATTTATATTTACCACACTAGCGGTTCTGGGTTTGAATCCCAGTACAGCCCATGAAATTTTAATAGGATATTATATGTAAAAAATGTTATAAATTAGGTTGTACTCTCATCTGCAACACCCAACATGTTGGTTGGACATTAAGCCTTCTTGTATTACCTGATTTAAATTTGTTTAAAAAATGTTTAATTTAATTTGAGGTTAGCCCATATGTATTTCCATTATATTATAAATATGCCGTTTTTTTTGTAATAAAGGCAATGTTTCAATGTATTGATAAAATTCTCATGCTATTTAGGGGACTGTGGTAGATGAGTGGTTAGCATGTCTGACTCATATTTACCACACAAGTGATTCTAGGTTCGAATCCCAGCACAGACTATGGAATTTTAATTGTAAATACATATGTAAAAGTTAATTTGGTAGTTGATGTTAAGCCATTTTGTATTACACAATTTAAATTTTGTTTAGAAAATGTTTGAACCATTTTGAGGTTAGCCCATTCATGTTTTTATTGTATTACAAATATGCACTTTTTTAAAAATAAATTGTATAACAAAGCTTTCATTATGTTGGAAAAGTTCTAATATGGGGAATAAGGTGGACAAGTGGTTAGCGTGTCCGACTCGAATTTGCCATGCTAGTGTTTCTCGGTTTGAAGCCTAGCACAGCTGATGGAATCTTAATTATGAGTAATATGTAAAAGGTATTGTTAACAGGCTTGATCTATCATCTATGATACCCAATGGATTTGTTGGACGTTAAGACCTGTATCACACAATTTAAATTTTGTTTAAAAAATATTTAAACCATTTGGAGGTTAACCCATTTGTTTGTCCATAGTTTTATACAAAAGATCTAATTCTCCTTAAGATTTTAGCTATGATCATGATCATTATACTATATTTATATAGTTTTGTACGTATATTCCTCTCCTCCAAGTTAATGTTAAAGAAATCCTATTATCTTTAAGAGAATTGCAAAGAACCAATGTTTGGTTAGGAACACATGCCTTAAAGTTGTTACATGAATGATGATATTATTTTTAAAATTATGAGCTCATTTCTTCAAGTTTCGTTGCTACAGTTGTCCTTTTGTTTTAGAGGTTATGCAAAAGTACCAATGACATTTCTTTAAAGCAGGAAAGAAATTTTTTAAAATGTTTATATAATTGATCCTGTCTCATGTTTCTGAATTCTTTTTTACAATTGCTGTTTTTCAAATAGATTACTATAGCATGAGCTCGTTGGGTTCATCTTCACTCTAGGGCTCAAAGAATTTTAAATGCCTATTTATTTCTTTAAAACAACAACAACAAACAGATGTGTTTATATTTTGGAGCTAAGTTTAGCTGTACTATTAAAGTACAGATTGATGTTTCAAATTGCTCTTTAAAAGCAAACATTATCTAATCCATTCAAAACCAACCGTGAATATAAATCACACGTTATTTAAGTGAGTGTGACGGGATGAAGGGTCGAGGCCCGGTGACCCGTCGTCCTCGCTCCATACATTTCAGCTTGAGCAACCGTTTCATTTCCTTCAAAGAGGACAAGTGCGAACAATCGAAGCAATTCTGCTTGAGCGACTATGTACCACACCTTCACGGATAAAGTACAGGCTCAATTTATCATTTCAGTGAGGCAATGGAATAAGGCGATCATAGAAAAGTTGACTCTTAATGGAACTATTTGATTTCCTATATATTGAACGCGTATAAGTACGGCTTAATCGCCGTTATGTAACGGGGAAATTCTCCAAGATTACGCTTTAATATATCCCCAAGGGAATAATCCCACAATTTACCGACTTTCAAGAAGTTACACTTCCCTTGTGAAGTCCGAACAATGACTTGAGTAAGGTTGAACATTCCGTTTGACAGTTTTGTTAAAACTTCGTACAATTTTGCTTAATGAATTGTTGAATGAAGCTTAGCACATAGGCTCTTGTCTCGAATTACTGTTGGACTAATACGTCTATCTTTATGGTTTTTGAAGTATTAGATGATGTGGAATGTAGTCAAATAGTCCTTTTTTGTTTCTATTTGTCTTTCCATGATTTGTTTGTTGACACTGTAGAAAAATCGTGTAAAGACAAATAAAAACCAAAAAATACTATCTTTATAGTCTTCACGATGCATTAGCAAGTTTTCTTCACTTTTTCTCCGGCTTCAAGGTGCCAATTTAATACTAAAATCAATTTTAACCTTTGACTTTTTAGAGCCGCCTTTCAAACTCCATTACAGCATATTAAAGGCATTCTACTTTATTATGAAATAGGTTAAGCAATTCCATTTCCACCCTTTCACTTAATGGTGAGATCTTCCTTTTCAATTGAAGATGATGTTTTCCTTTTGCAAATAATCCGATCCTTGAGGGGCGTGCATTTTTCTAAAAGGAAGCTCATATTAAAAAAAAGGAAGTTTTACAAATTGACCACATACGTCGACCAATTTCGTCCAATAAGCCTTAGATAATATTCTTTAACAGAGTTACAGATCTTTTATCAACCGATCACTTATGAAAAGGTGTCTGATATCAAGTGTGACATATTTAAACATTATCAATTATATAAAAAAACCTAATCCAAATTAATAAATCTGATTGAATAAAAGAAAGATTTATCATTATTATTAACTATTCTTTATTTGCTGACATTTGCCAACCAGTTAGGAAACTGTAAAAATGAATGCTTATTAATTTCTTAAATTTAATTTTTGTGCCAAGCTTCATAGAACTTATAAATTTTCCTCCAAACTTATAAAGGATGTGTGATTCATTTGGCGGATAATTTACAGTCGCTGAACGCTAGGGAAAAATGAAAATTTCAACGTTTTGTCACGATTGCATATTTGTTTAATGCAAAATATCCACACTACCGGTTTTCATTTACATGTAGATTATCTGAAACGTTGGAAAGGACGTCGCATTTTTCCTCACCATTGGCAAACGGAATAACTTACGGGTAAGACATATTCGCATTCTCTGAGTCGTTTATTATATTTTATTTTTTCTATATTAAGAGAAAGCCAGATAATTTTGAAAACGGTTAGGAGCACAAAAAAAGACAAGTTTCAAGGTTGAAATAACAGGATTGTGGTTAATACGCTAGATATATTGATAATTAAAATCATAGACCTGTTCAATATTAATAGGGGGGAAAGAGGTCAAGATTATGCTTTAATATAAAGCAAAAATAATATACTTTTTGCATCTGAACATGTAACATGCCTACTAGAATATGTATTTTATGTTATGTTATTATTTTATTTTTTATGTTATGTTATTTTCTGTTATGTAACATAAAGTGTTTCGAGAGGTTTCCAAGCAAGAACACCTGAACTTAAGATTATCTCATTAGTTGTTGTATTTTTTATATATAATGATAATGATAGATCATCCCATCATGACTGATGTTATTTCCTTAAAAGAAATGCTTTGATACTTAGTTTGAACTTTTCAAGTAAGATTTAAACATACAAACTTGGAATATTCGTTTTTTCCGTAAAAACTCAGATCTTCCCAAATATAATCTTTGACATATTTACCTCATTCTTGCTAGACAGCACTTTCAAGATAGGCCTAAATGATCACAGTTCTCAATTTATAAGGAATCGTTAGTCCTATTGGTTTTAAATTATTCAGAAATCGTGAGATGCAGTCTGGTGTGAGATCTCACGATTTTTGAATAATTATCGATTAACGGTCACTAATCAACACACATTGGTTTTAAAGATCTTTTTCGAAATTTTACAAGCTTATAATGTTTTAATAAAATTACACTAAGAAAGTATATTATTTATACTCTATTCTATTGAAAAATGGCAAAAGGAGGGAAAACTCATAAGGTGGGGTTGAGATGGGGAGTTGATGTCCGAGTGGATCGAGGTCACGATAGCTCAGGTGGTAGAGCAGCGGCGTATCTAGCCGAAGGTCGTGGGTTCGAATCCCTCTCGTGCCATTAACTTTTTTTCATCTCAAATAAAAAAACCTTAATTAATTGTAATTATTTATACTGTTCAACAGGACTGCTTGACGTGATGCTCCAATGTGATGGCAAATTGCTTCTTCTATTATTTGGAAGAGTGGAGTGTAAGTTGGGTTGTAAGGGGATTATTATGGGTGGAAAGTGGAATTTGAAGAATCTGGTTCTTGCCAGGTCATGAAAGAAAGGAATGTTAAGGTCGGTGCGGATGGTGAGGTTTGATATGTCTGAAAGCTACGGATATTGGAGCGATTATTTGAACTCTAAAGTTCTAAGTTTATTCCTAGTCAGTAAGTTTATTCCACCGGTCAAGTAGTAGGTACTGTTTTAGTTCCAGACGTTCTAGTCTAGTGTGGAGTTACATATCAGTCGCCTGACTAGGAATAGTCCAAGAAAAAAGTGTCATCTTAAGGAAGAAAATTCTTGTGTAAAGGAGGTAGTGAAATACTTCGTAAAATTTAAATATTGATCTGTTTGTAAGGTATTGGTTGAAATAAAAAAGCCAGCGTCACAAGCTGGATTCGAACCCACGACCTTCGGCTAAATACGCCGCTGCTCTACCACTTGAGCTATCGTGACTTCGGTCCACTCGGACACCAACTTCCCATCTCAAACTACCTTTCGAATTTTTCCTCCTTTTTGCCATTTTTCAAATGTCGTGTAATCAGGAATGGACCTAGTATGCTTGCTTGGTACACCAGCGTTAACTGGAAAGATCAAAGAGAATGACTCTCGAAAATCTGAAAATTTTTGTTGGAAAGATTTGATGGTATTTGAGGATAAGTTGCTGTTGGGAAGGATGCCCTTGAGCTTATAAAACAGCCCATCGTGCCATAATTGGTTCAACGTCTGCACGACGTCGAGAAATATTCAACATTTTTTTAAGCTCAAGGGAGGACGCGATGTCATCTAAAACACTTTTATATTACAAATGTCTTTATTTTAGGAAGAAAAGACATTAGCTTGTTTTGCAATTGCCCAAAAATGTTTTTTAACGATTGAGTTGCTAAGGAGCTGAACTAAAAGGCAATATGAAAGACCTTGCCAGACACGTTTATACTAGCCCGGTTGTTGCGATTAATGAAAGGCAAAATAAAAATCATTTAGAAACTTGAACCAGATCACGGTTTCAAAATAATTAATTATCGACTCAAAAAAATTTTTTTTTTACTTCTAGTTTTTAAATTATAATATTACTTACCTAATTTGGCGACAAGCTGGATAACGACGCTGTCGCCTGCGATAGCCCAACGGACTTCGTAGGCCAAATCGTCGCTTAAAACTTCACAGTTGAGCTTCGACTGAAATAAAATTCTATATAGTGGACTTTACATGGAAAAGAAAGGCCCTAAGTCAACCATTGGGTTTCAACTAGCTGCCCAAAACTCAAAATGTACCTGATTTGTCTTTTTTTTTTCTTTCGCGGACTGTGTGGCCGGTGTCATTATTTGCCATCTCATTGACAATTCGCTCGTTTAATAAGTCAACGGTTCATTTGTGTGAAGCAACTTTGGGCTCGTCGGGTTGCATCAAATATCGTTACAGCACACTTTAGCCATTCCCGCCGGGTTCATTACAAGCGTGTCGCAACTCAATGATGCAAGCGCACCTTCTACATTCGCTAAAAATTTTTTTATTCTAAAATAAGTGACAAATAGCTCGTCTATTACTATTTTCGGAGGTGCACTGATAGAAATGAGTACGCAACTTTTTTTAAAATCCTTTAATTGTACAAAATAAAAAAAATAAAATTACAATCTATAAAGCTCATATATATTATTTCTGAACTAAAGAAATAAAAATGTTTTTAAAAGGTTTAAAGCAGTGTGATTTTTACACTATTAGATTGTATCTAATCACAGGTTTGCCTGGTAACTAATTTTACAAAATCACAGTCCTAAGGTAACTTATTGTTTACTGGCCTGTAACAAATAGAAAAAATGCCTTGCGAATACTACCAATATTACCTGTAAAAGCAAAATTGTTTTGGTTTTTGATTAGAAATTTTTCTCTCGCAAGATTTGAATCGATGTTTTTGATTTGTTTTAAAACAACAATTTACATATGTACATCGTATTAATTAAATTAATTTCGGTAATTTGGGTAATTCTGCTGTTGGAATGCCCTCCTTTGGTCAAAGAACCTTTGGTCGTTGGCGTTTCGTTGGTTAAACTGGTTAAACGCCTGTCTCTGGTCGAAAGCTCTCCTTTGAACGAGAGCGTGGTAAGGATTCGGAAGATCCTGAAGAGGTGGCTGTTGAAGAAACTGTGACGGTTGGTGGAAAACCGGTTGAATCAAGTTGTTCTGGTGGGGAACGAACTGCCTCCCTTGATGAAACGTCGGTTGCTGCAAGGCGAAATTCTGTGAATGAGGTTCGAAACTGTGCGACGGCTGGATCAATACGTTCGGCGTTTGGGCGGAATGGTAATTTTGGGCGAAAGAGTTGAAACGGTTTGGTTGTTGTATTACATTGTCCTGATGATGGAGCCCGGTAAAACCGTTTTGTTGCTGGTTGTACTGATTAAAACGATGCTGGGGCTGTTGAACCAACTGGGTTTGCCGCTGCTGCTGTTCGGGCTGGGGCTGGGGCGTTTGCAGCTGAAGAGGCTGGTTTCCGACTTGAGTGAAAACGAGCGGCTGCCCACCGGGTGTCAACGATAACGAAGACTGGATGTGAACTCCTTGTCCTCTTCCTTCGAAACCCTGTATAAGGGGGGCTGCGAATCTGTGAGCGACCGGAGGCCTGAAGGTCGTCGGTTTGATCAGCTCGGTGTTAAAGAGTGGCAGGACGTTTTCAAAACCTATCTGTTGCGGTTGTTGTTGATGTATTGAGTTTTCCTGTCTAAGTGATTGCTGAAGGGCCGGCTGGGGGGAGCGTTTCTGGAACAATAAAACCCCTCGTTAGACTTCCCATCTCGGCCCTTCAATGACTTTTAGATTTTCCGTAAAGTCGCTCTCTTTGCTCAGTCAAGTCCAATCGTTCGGTTGTGTCCGTTTTTGTCCTGTTCGTTACTTTTCTTCTTTTGCAGTGAGAGCGGCCTTTACGCTGAAACGCGCAGTCTGTCTGCAACGCCCTTGACTCTGTTTTACAATCCAAACTCTCTCACACTTTGACATGCAAATTATCTAAAGGTGAATCTCATCACGACTAAACCGATCTGGTATCATAGTATGATAATAGATGTGATAATGTTTACTCTAAAGCATCGATAAAGTTCTTTGTACCGACTGACCTATCGCAAAGCGACCCGGAATCTTTATTGAGCAAGCTTCAAGCCCCACGGGAGGATTCAGCTTCCGGATTACCGTACTTGATCAACCACCTAAGAGCGTCTCTACAAAAGTTGAAATATCTGGAAATTAAAGTGGAGAACATCGCCGGCCCTCGATCTTGAAAATCTAGGACGACTTACTACACGCTTTACATCCTCTAAACAAATGTCCCTGGATTATACAATTTTGGGAGAAAGGTAAACATGACGCAAGCGTTGCACAAGTAAATATGAGTAACGTCTAGTCCGAGGGGTCAGCAGAGATCGTTGATCATGCACGTGAAAGTAAACCCTTCCGCAAGCAATTTGTGGTGGAATCAATTTGTAAAAAAAATTAGGGAAAAAAAAGAAAACATCTTCCTTGTTTAAATGCAAAGAGGGATAATTTCTATAATTCTATAAACGGCTGTAAGCTCTGATTTATCAGCATTCTTTATGTTTCCCGCCTGGTTCGCACTTGGAGAAAGGTCAATATCAAATTAACTGTTGAAACATAAAACCCATAAAATACATTTTTTATATTTTTATGAGCGCTTGCAAAACATTTTCTTTACATGCTATTCAACCGGAATTGATTTGCTGAACTAAAAAATAAGTCCTTAAATAATAGATAAGTCCAAAAACACCAATATATAAGACAATATTTCCAATTTTTGAACAAAAAGTCATTAATAACGGATTGAATAGAAATGTTTGCATACTCGCCTATCCTGCTGTATTCAATGCTCTACAATAGTGTTATTAAGGGTCTATTGTCTCCAAAAAAAGCTTGAGGCTCGAAATAATTGAGTTTTTTCAACAATGCTTTTAAGTTCAAGCACCTCGAGTGACCACCAGTTGAAATTGTTAAGGGGTATGTTTTGCCAAGCCCAAGTGTGAGGGAATATAGCTTGTCGGATGGAATGTGTAAACAATCGAAAGCCTTATGTCAATTAAACATGATTTATAAGCGAGTTGTCAATAGTCTTTTAAAACATAGACGTGCTGCAGGGAAATTGGCGTTGCGAAACAAACCTAAGTCGTCGATTTTTTCATTTTCGTTATAAAATAAAAAGAATATATAAAAACAAATCAGAATTAGTTTTGTTTTTAAATTGCAAAATGCGGCTCTGTTTAAGAGCTTTTTGTCAAACTTTCATGGTAGACCATGTTAGTTCTCTTTTATTAGAAGCATGCTAGTTGACTCATTTGATTACCCAATGGTTGAAGTAATAAATAATAGCTGTAAGTAAGCTCTGAACGAAATGAAATTGCAGGCTTTCGTTGTTTTTTTCTTTAAAAAATATCACTATATTGCCTTCAATTTTATTTCAGTTCGGATTTGATAACTTAATATTACTTGATTATAAAAGCTCTTTTTTTCTTTTTGTAATGCTTAGTGTCGGCAGTAGTGAAAGAAGAGGCGGTGCTTTTATAATTAATTTTATCGTACGTGTTATATCTTCTATAACACTATTAGCACATGTTGAAAAAGAAAGGGAGTGACATCGTCGTGAGAAAAAGGGAAGAATGAAAATATCATCAAAATATGCCAAGGCGTTGAACCAAGGCTAAAAAATTAGCATCAGATTTTTTCGAAAAAAAGAAGAGTTGATTCAACGAAGAGTTGTGAGAAAGTCTATTGGTGTATCGATTATCTCATATTTACGAGATGATGATTTTTTTTCTCATACTTGCTTTATAACTGAAAAGTGTTTGTATTATAACTTTGTTAATATTCCCACGCCGCGTACGGATCACAGGAAGCAAAAGGAGGATACATACTCATTATTACATAAGGCTAACAGTTCGACTGTGAAAGAAGGCGGTTGTCCTTGCTTCCTCAGGTTCGTCGTTCCCTTTCTTTCTCGGTGTGCCTCGAATTTGAATCTTGACCATGCCGACATGCGGGCGCTCGTCCAATAACAAATGGGAGCTCGTACGAGTGAAAATTGAATCAAACCGACACCTCCTTACCTGCGGCGAGACGCCGAGCATTTTGAGCGAAGGTGGCACGTTGAGACCCGAAGGTATCTGGATGTGGCCGAAGTCGACCGTGAACGCCTCGCACCAGACGCCGAAGTGACCGATGTCGAAGACGGTCAGGTCACCTGGGAGGGTCAGCACTATCGTCTTTCTCACGTACCTAGATGTTAACAGAAAAAAACAACGTTACCAGCAGTTTGAAAAATTTCAAAACAAGGCGGACCACACCAACACACGTCTTATTGTTAGCTAAATTGATAATCCCAAAGCACTGCAGTTTTTCGGCTTATCCTTATACTGGATCCTTATTGTATGAAATAATATGTCATTGTTATTGCTGCAATCCTTTTTATTCGGTCTTTTGGGTACATAGGTCTCCTTGGAGCTGTTGCTTCGAATTTGAGGTTAAAATGATCAGTAGCTTATTCCTCCTCTTTGAGGTCATAGTTGAATATATGATGAACAACGTATATAACACTATGTGTAGCTGTTTCTCAGGTGACAGACATAAATCCCCTGAGTTTTACCCTATTTAGCTGAATAAACTTGGGTGCAAGTTTTGGTGAAGGGTTTTTTATTATAAGCTTGTTGTGTCTGGCACCTCTAGTTCGTTCAATTCTTCTTTTCCTTTGTATAGACTATTCCGTAGACAGCCCTGAGCTTGATCTTGTTATGCGTCTATAATTCTTCTTGTAGATCCTCTGGCCAGTTTGTCTGCTTGTTCAACTCAAAATCCTTTTGTCCTCTGGAACCCAAGATACTGTCAAGTTGTTATGTTTCCTAGGTTTTGGGGGTTGTAAGTAAATTCATACACAATTTCGGATGTGACATTTTGAAGCTGTTTTATTTCATGCATAAGCACACAGCTTTACAGAAGATTGCTCAAAATTTAGGTTCGCACAAAATATACCCGGTTCTTCACTGGTTCGTCTGGGTATCTTATGATTTAGTTTTTGTCCCTCTGATTTCTTCTTTCCTTGGAATTCTTTTAAAACATGTTTGTGCAGGATAACATATTCCTGGTATGATACTGCTATACTGATACTTGGGTCTTATAGACCCCATTTTCAAGAATAGGTCTCTGATTTTATTTGTTATTGCTGCACGGCCGAACGTTAGTCCCCATCCAAATTCTTTGTTTTTGGATTCTGTATGAGTTTTCCCTTGCTCCTTCTTGCATTTACCTTTAGCTTCTTTATGTATAGTTCCAATAGAGGTAGGTTTAACAGTGATTCTAAGGTGTGGTTGTTGTCATTGCTCATGATATACTCATAGTCAAGTGGAATAATTGAGGTTTGTAAGATTTTATAACTTACGTAAATATAGATAACTAGATAGAAAACTAGCAAGTTTCTAGCACAAACAAACAGATTGACAAATAAGTAATAATAGATAGTTTGATAAATTCATAGAGAGATATCTAGTTAAAAAAAGTTCTAAGTCTAGCAAACAGTCCCGACCTAGCACCTTCAGATTACCATTTATTCTAATGGCTAGGCCTTTTTTAAGTCAAAACAATGAAGTTAAGCAAAGGCTTAGTTGTAGGCTTGGAAGTAATCACTGTCATTAAAATGGGCTTAAATGTTTGCCCTTTGACTTAGGAATCGATAGAAAACTAGCTTGAAAAGTGTGAAAAAGAAAATCAAGTTAGATTGTCCATCAAGTATTTTTAATATTTGGATTCGAATTCAACATTTTTCTTGCAAATCAGCCCGATGACGCATCCGAATGGAAGACCGTACGGTCCAATAATTCCTAACGGTCCCACGATGTACTGTTTTTTTTAATTGCCAGAGGGAGATGATTCATACTTGATTTTACCTTTTGAATCACCTGGCAACTTTAGCAAAAACTTCCTTGTTTAATCTGAAAAATAGTATCTTTGGGCTACAAGAAAACCCGATAAGTATGTAACAACTGTAAAACGAATTTGGCTCTGAAGAATCTATAGGATCAAAACAATTTAAGAATTTATTGGGTATGTGGTCCTTGACAATCACATACCCAATAAATTCTCAAATACAAAGTTGGCCCATAACAAAATAACATTGAAAACAATTTAATAAATTTCAAATAATGAGCTCAATTACAATATAATTACTAAATTAAAATCTTTATAGATCTTTAACGGGTCCAATGTTTCTCCCTGTTTATTCATATAATATATTATATAAAGTGAAAGTAAATTCTAAATTTGATAGTTGTTTTGAAAATATTTCGATATTACTGGCCAGAATTTTGTAATCATTTGTATCCAAGGAGGCAATTTTTCTTATTCGGCCAAAACTTTATGAACTGGTTACGATGTAAATCCTACCCAATTCAACATTTAACAAAAATTTTTGGTCGTAAATTAAGCCTAAATTTTTTTGTCAATTTAGCTCAAAATTAAATCAGAAAAACGATTGGTTTTGTAGCAGTTTCAAGTCGGCCAGTGTTTATTAGAAGTTTTTAGAAATTCAAGCCAGTGCCTTACTTTCTCAAAGGAGTGATTTTTCCGTTTTCGTCTGGAATCCTTATCCCCTGAGGGCTCGGGTTGGGCCCCCTTCCGACCCAGAATTTGGCATCTGAAACAGAAAAGGCATTCATTACTTTCTTCTTTTCTAATCGCCCTCTTGTAAAATGAAAGTTGAAAAATTATCAATCGATCGCGTTTATCAAATTTCCTGCCCGTAAATCAGCGGGTATCTTTATCAGTTTTGAAAAAAGACAATTTCACTTGGAAAAACTATTCAAAATCAAATAAATAACTTTCAAAAGAAAATATAGAGCCGGGTCGTCAGAGAAGCTCTCACGTATCAAGAGCACTGTCGATAAGTGGCCCTCGGAGGATCTGACTCGTAGGAGTAATCTTCACCCGATTAAGGATAGGGCATGCGAGGTTGACACATGGACACTTACTTTATCTGGCATGTAGAGAAAAGTTGCTCGATGTGCTCCACCTAGTTGAGGAGTGCAATTCATATAGAATAATAAATAGGCTTAATATAGAGAGAGAGTAGGAATGACACCTGATATGAGAATCGTGCTTCAATTATTGGGTCCACGGTTCCGATTTTTGGAGGAAACATGGTTGTTTTATTTTATATTATAGTTTTTCTTGTGTATCTAGCATGTGTATAGAGTGAATGCATTTATTAACGTGAATGTACTTATTAGCATGGTTGTGTAGTGTGAGAGGGTCGCGGAATAGCGAGTAACCCTTCTAGCATCAATTAGGTTAGTTATCTGTTATAATTATATATTATTAGGCAATTTCTGTTTTCTTCTAAGTTTCGATTGAGTGTGGCATCAGAGTTATTCTTGAAGCTCAAGGGCATTTTCGAAGGGCTGACTAGGTTATAATGGCTGAAAACATTTCGGTTACTTATTGGGTCCGTCTACACTCATGGGCTTTTGTAGTTACTAAATCGTTTCGGCTTTACGTCATCTTACGTGAGGCGTCTTCTCCTTTTAGCACACAAACTACGGAAAACCCTGCCCTGAATTTCTAGACCAATTCCGTTAATTTCTAAAGGATTTGCTATGTAGGTGACCGTGAATATCGAGACTTAGCGGACCCACAAAAGCCTCAGATATGTTCAGACTTAACATATGCACAATATAAACATTTATAGAAACCTGTTAAAAGATGCGTAGCTTCACTTTATTACCATTTCTACCTTTCTAGATGTGGAACAGGCTATCGATACAGTTATCAGGGTCTACTCAGTTGGCTAAAGGGCAACGTACACTTTACAGACTTTCTGGCTTAAAGGTACTTTCTTGGGTGGAGCACCTTTCTTTGCAGAGCGTCAGTGTAGGAGTTCCACAGGGTAATGTCCTGGATCCGTTGTTACACAGTATTTACTATCTCCCATCTCATTATGACACTACGATTTTATGTATAGATACATCATAAAATCCCGATTCATTTTTGTTTACCGAAAACATGAGAGTCACCTCTTTTCCTTACAACATTCGTTTACAAAGCGAATCAAAAAACCAAAAGAACAAACTTTACCATCCGGCGCATCCCTCTTCTTCCTGTCTATTTCAATTATAATCCTCTTCTAATCGAAAACGTCTTCCATCACCTTGGGTAGTATTTAGACAAGCGATTCAGCTGGTACCCTCATACACGGCATAAAATAATAGAACTGAACCTATGCTACCTACTAATTAAACGTCTACTTGAAAACAGAACCAAAATTATACCCATTAAGAAGAAAAACTCATCTGCACGACCATACTAAAACCTTTATGGACTTGACTAAAACATACAACATTGAACTCTGAACTAACTAAAATCTCCAACCTCAATCAAACCCCAGACTTTGCAAAGTGTAGGGTGTTTCCAACGGCAATACACACATTGACTTTAACACCGTTTTATTAAAAACATTGCAAGATCTGGTTATACAAATCACACATCAATCCACCATTGGGAAACTTTCCTCCTTGTCACCTACAACTTTTATGGCTCAAACGGCAATGGCCTCTCAACCGGTTTTCAGAGAACGAAAAAATATGTCATTGCCCAAAGTGTGCTCACTTGACAGCTTCTCGACTCGTGATGTTTAGTGAAGTTTTGTACTTACTATGATGTGGTAACATAAATCATAAAAAAATTGTTTCTGGGTTTAAAGCAGTTTAAAAATACCTTTCAACATACTATATGAACTTTATAGGTTATAGAAACAGTTAGATAGATTTTTGCAAAAATAATGTATCTAGAAAGCTTAATTAGTGCGTATATACAGAGATTTGTTAAAAATGAGCGAAATAAGAGAAACTAGAGAAAAAGGAATATAAACATAGCATAGGGATGAGGCAGGTTTATTTCATTGCAACACTACACGATACAAGTTGAGGAAAACGTTTTTAAATTCATTAAACGCAACGACTTAAAAGGCTTTTTAATATATAATTAGCTTAATCATGCCACTGCTAATTGGCCGTCAGGTAAAGCAGAGATAAAAGCTACGCCATACTAAAACTTGATGAAATACGTAACGCTCTTGAGAAACCACCACAACATTCATCCAAACTGCTTAAGGTTTAAAATGTATAAATCCTGTTTGTTTTTATTGTTGTTTTTTCACAAATCCTTTGTTAGCTTGAAGAATTTCCATAAGACGGTGAAGTTGAGATGTCGAAGTCACGATAGCTCAAGTGGTACAGCAGCGGCGCATTTAGCCGAAGATCGTGGGTTCGAATCCCGCTCGTGACACTGACTTTTTTATCTCAACCAATACCTTTTCATAAAGATCTGCGACTTAGCGAGACCTTGCATCGTCTCGGAGGACAACGACTACAATTTCTTTTTTCTAAACCTTTTTTTCGATAAAAGCTTAATTTATTAAGACGAATTGTGCACAATCTTCATTAAAATTTGCTGTTTTGTACATAAGAAATATTTCAAACAATCCAAATGCAGTACTGGATGGAATAAGCCCCTTAGTCGTGGTTCGACGTGGTTTCTTTGGATTTGGATTGAATTAGATCGCCTTTACATCGATTTTTAATCCTTTGTAACTAACCTTCAAGCAATTTAGCAAAAGAACATCATAAATTTATTATTCTATGTCAAATTTCTGATGTCTAAGGAATGCCAGTTGAAATTTGGTTTTATTTGTAAAGGTTGATCATAAGGTCCTTCTTGACCGTTCGTCTTCCAGAGAAAACAAACAACAAAACTTTTTCAATTCTCTCAATAAAAAAAACCATTCCAACTCAAAATTTGGCTAAAATAAGAAAAAATAAATTCAAAATGCTTTCATAGTTTTTCTTCCGTTCATTTTCCTTACATGACCATTACGTGAAAGTGAGTCAAATCAGACTGCAGGTTCGGTAATTCCGGTTCTTATTTTCTCAGTTGGGCAACTTTAGCGACCGGTATCGGATAACACGATTTTGACTTTGAAGTGAAAAAAGCTCACGATCAGACCTAACGACCGTGCGACAATGTGACCCCCTTATGTCCTAAAATGAGTTTTGAATCTAGTTCTGTCAGAAACTAAGGTCATTAAATGGAATCGTCTAAGACTCTAGGAGGAACATTGAGACACTTCGCGTTTTTGTTTTTTTTTAATTTTGGGTCTTCGGTAGAATTTTAAACTAAAGAATAGAAAAGATAATAGAGGACCCAAAATTTGCTGGTTAATCAGTAAGAATAACGTCACACTCCAAATCTCTTCAAAATATATATGAAAAAATCAAAATCCTGCTAATTCTCGAGTAGCTTGGTAAAAGAAAATTGAAATTTCTTACTGATATAATTGTGTTTAAAATCATAAAAAGAACGTTGGAAGAAGAAATTGAACTAATGTTGCACTTACTTCTTTCTAAACAATGTGAGACTCAGCTCCTACCATTAGCTCTTTCTAATTTTATCATCCCACATGCATTTCACCTATTTCCAAATATGGTCTGAGTCAGTTTAGCAACAGAATAAAACGAGAAAAGCCACAGGATACGAATGCCATTGCATCGCAATACCCTCTGCCGAAGAAATGTAAGATAGTGTTAGTCAAGGTTTTTCTTCACGTCCAAATTGAGAAACATTCCTTTCGGATTAGTCGAATTAAAGAGGATCATCTCCTGAAAAAAAGAAATATATAGACGCGTTTCTAGATCGCTGCAAGGGCGGCTCTTGAACTCCGGAGCGCAAGGGAACCAGCCATGTTATGTAAAGGCTGCATTGCACAATAGCGTCTGAAAGTAGCCGGGATCGAACTTTTCGAAGCATTTCTCTCCTAAGTTAGCCGATCTTTGGCATTGTGTAGGAGTCGGTAGGGAAATATTCCCAGAATTAATCCACTTCCTCGATTCACTTTTATAAATTAACAACGATCGCGGCTGTTGCGCCATGGGCACTTTTTAGTGGTTTCTCAAGAACGTTGCATCTTTCCTCAAGTTCTTGTAGCTTTTATTTCGGTCGGTTAGTTAATGGCTTGATTAGGCTAATTATATGTTGAAAAGACCCTTTTCTTGGATTTTAATTTAAAATAAACAGAAGCGCATAGAACAGCAAAATGGGCGGAATAGATTTAACCCATATTTACATCATCGATCATTGTAATTATATCAAAGGGACTCGGTATTTAATTGGCGTTTTGAAAATATAGAGCGGGAAGAACATGAAGAAACTTTACACTCAAGTAGGGTAAATAATGAAAGGCAAATATCAATTCGTAATTGGTCTTAAATACGGTATTTGAGAGAACACAATTTCACAACAGTGCTCAAAACCTGAATTTCAACGTCTAACTATTTGCCCTTTAACAGGTAAGTTAAAATAAAGCGATGGCCGATAAGTATATTTGAACATCTTTTGGGAACCGAGCAGTCTCAATGTTCACGTATCTTCATCAAGAAAATGTAAAGAACCTTATTGAAATTCTTCAAGCTAACAAGGATTTGTGAAAAAACAACAATAAAAACAAACAGGATTTATACATTTTAAACCTTAAGCAGTTTGGATGAATATTGTGGTGGTTTCTCAAGAGCGTTACGTATTCCTCAAGTTTTAGTATGGTAGAGCTTTTATCTCTGCTTTACCTGACGGCCAATTAGCAATGGCATG